GCTGACAGAACACAGGCCTGTCTCTCCTAGTCAGAGAAAATCCTTGCTTGAAATGGAAGTCTTCTGACAATATTTAAGGATAATAATTGATAAGATGTGAAAAATATTGTTAGTCATAAATTATAGCAATAGAAAAAATGAATCTTCTTAGATATTATATGAAAAATCAAAATATCAAAGCAAGGAATGAAATGAAAATTGTGTGTTCTCAAAATGATTAGACCCATTTTAGTTGGACACTATATGCTGAGATTTGTATTTCTCTTCTCTAATGACTGTCTTGTCTTCTAGAATTACCTCCTTGCCCATTTTGCATCTGGAGTAATTTTACCCTTATTATAGAATTTCACTTTTCAGAGAGACTGCTGAGAATCTTTTTTTAATCTGCGGACTGAGGCTTAGCATTTATTGTAGTCATCATAGGTCAGTGAGCCCCAAGCTTGTAAATTGGACAACCTTAAAACTCACTCAGCATCTCTACATGGACTCACAGTACAGACTAAAACCAGTTTATACGTGCATAAAACTAGTCTCAAAAGTGCATATGCATTTGCATATGTTATAATGTACATGTGGAAATAATTTTTTGAATATGTAGGTATACCAAAATAAAGAAATTTATAGTATAAAATATCATATCCAAGAATTGAAAATTACCATTCCTAATAGAAAATTTTTTCTGAGCATGTAAAGTTATAAACTCATAAAATTAATGATGATCACATAGAAAGTTTCTCTCTCACACACACACTGTGTGCCAATGAGATTATATAATCTTAAGGAAAAATAAGTCTACACTTATTTTTCCAAGTACCAGGGCTTGAACTCAGGACTTTGCACATTTACTCAGCGTGCTTCCTCAGCTGATACTTTGCCACTTGAGCTATACCTCCAGCCCAGATTTTTTTTTTAATTTAATTTAATTTTATTTGTGAACACACTGTACAGAGGAGTTACAGTTACATGGGCAGGATAATGCGTACATTTCTTACCAAGCATTGCAGCCTCCTCCTTTGTTTACCCTTCACATCCCTTCCCAGCCTCCCCCCTCCCCCCCTAATCCCAATCCTCCTTCCCCCTCTTCCCCCCCCTTTACCCCCCCCCCCACCCCCCGCACCAACGTTGTAAAGCTCGTTTTGGACATGACAACTTGTACTTCTCATTGTTGCAACAGGTCCACCTGTATCCTTAAACAACTGGTTTTTCCCCATCTCCTCCACAAGTTATACTGACATCAAATATAGTGAAAGCAGGGGTTATACTGTGGGGGAGGGATATACAAAGCAACAAAGAGATAATCTTATAAATGTGTTAGAAACACATGCATGAAAGAAAAAAACATTAAAATACACATCTAAGCGTTCATTTTCCTGACATCACATTATCTGACCTTTTCCGCTTGACTCATACATATACTAGATATTACAAATAAGGGAAACCATGGGACCTACGTTTCTTTGGGCCTGGCTTACTTCACTTAATATAATTTTTTCCAAGTTTTTCCATTTCCTAACAAATGGGGCAATGTCATTCTTTCTGATGGAGGCATAGAATTCCATTGTGTATATATACCACATTTTCTTGATCCATTCATCTACTGAGGGGCATCTGGGTTGGTTCCATATCTTAGCTATGGTAAATAATGCTGCAATAAACATAGTTGTGCTGGTAGCTTTAGTGTGGTCTTGTTTGTAAACATTAGGGTAAATGTCCAAAAGTGGGATTGCTGGGTCATAGGGGAGCTCTATGTGAAGTCTTTTGAGGAACCTCCATACTGCTTTCCAAAGTGGTTGAACAAGTTTACATTCCCACCAACAATGAAGTAAGGTTCCTTTCTTTCCACATCCCCTCCAGCATCTGTTGTTGTTAGAGTTCTTGATTTTTGCCGTTCTAACTGGAGTGAGGTGATATCTCAATGTTGTTTTGATTTGCATTTCTTTTATGGCTAGGGATGTTGAACTGTTCTTCATGTGTCTATTGTCCATCCTTCTTTCTTCTTCAGAGAAGTTTCTCTTTAAGTCTTTCGCCCACTTATTTATTGGGCAGTTGTTTCTTTGAGGATTTGTTGTTGGGGGATTTAATTTTTTGAGTTCCAAGTATATTTTAGATATGAGACCCTTGTCCGTTGTATGGCTAGTAAAGATCTTCTCCCAATCCGTGGGCTTTCTATTGATCTTGCTAGCTATGTCATTTGCCCTGCAGAAGCTCTGCAACTTTATGCAATCCCATTTGTCCAACCTTTCTTTGATTTGTTGTGTTTCCGGGTCTCTATTCAGAAAATTTCGGCCTGAGCCAAGGAGACCTAGGGTTTCTCCTATTCCATCCTGTAATGTTTTCAGAGTGTCTGCTTTGAGTTCAAGGTCTTTGATCCATTTGGAGTTGATTCTGGTGCAGGGTGATATATAAGGATCTAGCTTAAGTTTTCTACATGTAGTTAACCAATTTTACCAGCACCATTTACTGAAGAGGTTGTCTTTCTTCCATTCTATTGTTTTAGCTCCCTTATCGAAGATTAGATGGCTAAAAGTCTGTAGGTTCATTTCTGGGTTTTCAATTCTATTCCATTGGTCCTGAGGTCTGTTCTTATGCCAATACCAAGCTGTTTTGATTACTATTCCAGCCCAGATTTTTGCTGGTTAGTTTGGAGATGAAGTATCATAGACTTTTCTGCCCAGGCTGGCTTTGAACAACAATCCTCTGGATATCAGACTCCTGAGTAGGAGACAGGCATGATCCACTTGTATCCAGCATGTTTTTTTTTTTCGTAAATACAGCACACATGTGATTTAACACAGTATTTATTACATGAGGAATAGGATCTCGGCATGTTCACAGAGATTCTTTATAGTATTTCTCCATAACCTATTGTATAAATAAAACTGAAATAATACAATCTCATTTTATTGGATGGACAGGTTAAGATCTGTCCTTGATCCTGCTCACAGTCTCTAGAACTCTCAGAAACAATTTTTCAGTAATGTCATACCTGGCCACTTCAACTAATCTGTATAATGTATACAGAAATTCATATTGCATAACAGTAAAGGACACAGGCTTTCCATGATAAAAATACTTGGACAATATAAAACGGATCTTTGCTCAGTAAGAAAAGAAGAACTCTTGGAAGAGCAGAGCAGTTCAGTCTAGAACATGGAATGTTTTGGGCTGTGCTAGACAGTGAACCTGAAGCCTTTGGTGTGCCAGGGCAGTGTTCTGTCACTGAGTTAGGAGAGGAAATACGTACATTTTCATGCATCCTTCTCCCTTCAGCTAGAACTTGATGCAGTGCATGCTTAACAGGGTATTCACTTGATCTTGATTGTAGAAATTATCTAAATTGATTACAAAGATGTGGAAATGCACAAAAATACTAAATAAGACAGGAATTTTTCCTCTCCCCACTGCCAAGGGCCAGCTGCTGTTTCTATTAACAGAAACTTCACCCAGGGCTGCAGTCCAGAAAGCCTCTGGGAACCCAGAAAACTGCCATGGTTAGCAGATTCATCTGATAACAAGCTCTGACCTGAACTTCCATGGGTCTGCTCTGTTTTTCTACTGTATCAGAAAATCATGTTTTGCTACAGAAATATTTATGTTTATTAGAAAATGCCATAGCCAGTATCATTTCTGGGAATATTTTAGACTCAAAATGTGGTTGAGTGCCATCCCTGAGCAAAAATGCTAACCCAGAGTACAAGGCCTTGAGTTCAAGCCCCAGTACTTGCACACATACACACACACACACACACACACACACACACACACACACACACACACACACACACACACACACACACACACACACACACAGCTAGTCACCAAAAAGAAATCTGAAAATTCAAAATTTTGGAACATTCTGGACACTAAAGTTTCCAAACCTTGATCTGCTTATCATGACAAGGCAATAAAAATCACTACCACTCCCATATTTTAGGAAATGCATTTATAGTTGTGTAAAGTCGTGGATTCTGCTGCATGTTTGTGGCATTTATTTTTCCAAATTATTCAATGGTTTTCTAAACCATGGTTTCAGTAGTTGCAAAACCTGCTGTCATCCCAGCTCTCAGGAGGCTGTAAGTCAGAGGACCTGTGGTCCTGGCCAGTGTGGGCAAAATATGTGAAACAGAGAACAAAGGGGGTGTACCTCAAGCAGGGTGTCTGTCTAGCAAGTACAAGGCCCTGAGTCCAAAGCCCAGTCCACACAGAAGGAAAAAGTTGTAAAATGTTTCATATTGTGGGTTTTATATAATTTATTTAACTAGTATTCTGTTCTTGGTACACTTGGTAAAGGAACAAAGTTAATTTCATAAATTGCCAGATCTCTCTCTCTCTCTCTCTCTCTCTCTCTCTCCCTCTCTCTCTCTCTCTCTCACACACACACACACACACACACACACATAAATCAGCTTTTTAAATTTTACCTGGTATAATTAGCATTGTTCTACAAACCCAAAGAGGAGAAAGAAAGGAAAGCTATTTACTTTTATGCTTAAGCCATAAAAGGATTCCAGATTTAAATTCACCAGTGAACCAATTTCTCCTTCTCATTAGAAGGTAAACTACAATATGTCATAAAACATAATCTGTTTTTCCACAAGCTGAGTGAAGCTGTAGTATAGTATAAACCTGTGTTTCTGTGCTGGCATTCTACCTGTCTGAACTTCATTTTTGTAGGTTGGTGTGTGGAGTTGTCAGGGACAGGTCACTGCTGTCACACAGAAGGCTGAGTGAGCCACCACACAGCCTGGCTGAGGTTTGTCATAGACTCCAAACAAATGCAGAGTGACCGTCTTTTTGAAAGTGGACATTTACAGCGACATTTCTTGATTAGCTAAAGTATATGTTTAATTCTCAGTAATGAAAACATTTCCTATTTATTATTTACTTAGTATCTTTAAGTAGTTGTACAAAGGATTTTTAGTTCATCCTGTGAGTTTGAGTACCTTGCATCTCGATCAGCATCACCCCTTCCGCCATTCTCCCCCAGCTCTCCCACCCCTCCCTCCAGTGACCTAGTCCCGTGTTCACGAATGTGCACTGAGTGTCATGACTGCATTCTCCCGCCTCCTCTCTGCATTCGTCTGCCCCTCCCCTTGACCCTATCACTCCTGACAACACCGTCGCAGCTTCCTGCTACTCATTTTGTTAGGCAGAAGTGTAGTTGTTCAAAGGAATCTCATCATAGACCCTCCCCTGTGTAGACAGACCGTACTTTAGGCAGTCTGTCTGCATGTGTTTGCATATATGTGTGTAATTTAGATCTTCCACGCATGAGGGAAAACCCACTTCCTTTGTCACTCTGAGCTTGACTTACCTCACAACATAACTCTGTGATAAAATTGACTGACTAGCTAAAATGCCTGTGCTCTGTAAGGGATTTTTATGGTGGTAACTGTCTCTCCTAGGGTCTCCAAGGAAGCCCGGGCACCCCTGGCACGCCAGGCCCAGCTGGGCCTCCTGTAAGTACTGTCTCAGCCCCACCTGCCGGAGGACTGGCTCACTTTGTCCTCTGGGCCTCAATCCAGAGTGCTGAATGGCTGCCTACAGACAGCCTCACCCCACACCCACGCCCATACCTACACCCTTACCACACCTATGCCCACACCTACACCCACACCCATACCTATACCCTCACCCAAACCTATGCCCACACCTACACCTATACTCATACCTAGACTTACACCCTCAACCACACCTATGCCCACATCTATACCCACACCTGGACATACACCCTCACCCAAAGCTATGCCCACACCTACACCCTCACCCTCACCCAAACCCCCATACCTACACCCTTACCCACAACTTTGCCCACACCTATACCCATACCTACACCCCCACCTATACCCACACCCATACCTACTCCCTCACCCAAACCTATGCCCACATCTACACCCACGCCCATAACCTATGCCCACACCGATACCCACACTGACACGCACAATCCCAGTTCTCACACAGTCACTGCAGGCTTCTTCCAGACCGCAGTGAAAGATGCTGCAGAGAAAACAGCAATTAGAGAAGACAGAATGCAAAATATTTGGTATTTCTTGACATCAACCTTCAGAAGAGATGTTCCAACGGCAATATAAGCTGAGAATTTATTTTGTAGGAGAAAAAAAATGGAGTGAAGATGACTGAATTTATTTTTGTTCCTATATATAAATTTTTAACACTCAGTCAAAGCTCCTGCTGCTCCCTAAAACACACCATCACGGCCGTTGTTGGTTATCCTTTTTATCCTGGTTATCTTTTTGTGCTGGTTCTGGGGTTTGAACTCAGGGCCTTACTCTTTTTTTTTTTTTTTCTTGGTCAGTTGTGGGGCTTGAACTCTGGGTCTGGGTGCTGTCCCCCAGCTCTTTAGCTCAAGGCTTGTGCTCTACCACTTGAGCCACAGCACCACTTCTGGCTTTTTTTCTGCTTCTGTGGTGCCGAGGAATTGAACTCAGGGCCTCATGAATGCAAGGCAAGCCCTCTACCACTGAGCCACCTTCACAGCCCCTCAGGGCCTTACTCTTGAGCCATATTTCTACTTCCAGCTTTTTGCTAATCGATTGAAAATAAGAGTCTCAAGAATGTGTCTTCTCTGGCTGTCTTTGAACTGATATCCTCAGATCTCAGGCTCCAGAATAGCTAGGGTTACAGGTGTTAGCCAATGGCACATGGCTTTTTTTTTCTTTTTTTCTTCTTGCACCAGTACCATAGCTTGAGCTGGTGAACTGCATGAGCCAAACCTCCCACCCTGGTCATTCTAGCTCCCTGGAAGGGATTTTTTTCTTTTTTCACCTGCCAAATGTAGCCATTTACTCAGAGTTTATTCTAGGTGATTCTCAAATTCAATTGCAAATAACACAGCTACATTTCAGTTTCAGATTGGCACGTATGTTTTTAGTTTAAGTTCGTTGCAAATAATGTGTTTATTGGCTAAATCCAGCCATCTAACGCATGCCTCAACCTCACTTCCCTCCTGAAAATCTTGGTGTGTCTTAAACGTTGAGTGATAAAAATCACACGCTTTGTGCCAGTGGTAGGGCCTGAGCTCGGTGCCTTGCATGATTTGTCCGGCTTTTTCTCCCAACACTGGCGCTCTACCACCTGAGCCACAGCTCTGCTCCCAGGTTTTGGGCAGTAATTGGGATCTTACACGCTTTCTGCATGTACTGGCTTGAAACCCAGGCCTCATCCCAGCTCCAGGGTGGCAGGGACTCTGGAGTGGGCCACAGGGTCGGGGTTTAAATGGAGTGTGAGGAGCAGCGGGCGCCCCCACTGACTGTTCCCAAAGAGGAACTGGGGTGGATTTCCTTCCCAAGGCTGCGCACCGCTGGTCCACAGGACGTCCAGCGTGCTCTATCATCCGGGCTGCTATCAGCGGAGGGTGGGCGCCGCCACGCGAACTCGCTCGGGTCACTGCCTGTGGCCGCCTAGCGAGCAATGTGGGCCGAGCCCAGCACGAAAAGCAGACCCCAAGACCCGCTGGCTTCTCTCCCTGCAGGGCTCGTCGGGGAGGAGCGGACACCCAGGGCCCAAGGGCGCCAAGGTGCGGAGCATCCCCAGGGAGTGGGGACAGAGGGCGGGAAAGCGAGCTCATCCTCGCATTCGGAACACGCGAGATCGCGGCCTGGCAGAGGCCCGAGCTGCCCGGGGGAGGGCGAGCCCAGCACTGCCTGCGGAACTCGTGAGGCCCCTGCCTGGCCTGGCGGAAGCCTGAGCCATCGGGGGTGGGGGAGAGGCGGACCCAGCCGGGCGTTGGGAACACGCGAGGCCGCGGCCTGGCGGAGGACCTAGCCACCTGGCGCGGCCCGCAGGGCCCCAGCACCCTCGTCCACACACGCACGGAGCGGGCCTGGTGCTAAGCCCGGAGAGGCGGGCCCGCCACGGGGAGGCCGGCCAGACCCCTCTCTGCTTGGCAAGAACACAGAATCAGAGGCATCGGCAGAATCAGAGGCCCGCCGCCCCTACAACTCCTGGAGGCCTCCTCTGATAAACGCGCCCTTCTACCCTGCTTATTTCCTCTCTTTCTGTGTCAGTGCTGGGGCTTGAACTCTGGCCTAAGCCAGCTTTTTGACTCAAGGCTGGCGCTTTACCACTTGCACCACAGCCCCGCTTTTGACTTCTCGGTGGTTACTTGGAGATGAGCCATGGACGTCCCTGCCTGAACTGGCTTTGAACCTCTATCCTCTGATTTCAGCCTCTGAGCCACGGGGATCAGCCACTGGCGCAGGCTATCTTGCTTCCTTTTGTTAATAGAGAGTGGCTGTTGACATGAAGCCCGTAATCAAATTTGGGAAGTGTTTTTCTGACACTGGACTTTTTATTAACCATTTCTTGCATCGTGACTGAAACTTAGAACATTTGTGATGCTATAAATGTAAAAGCAATGCAGTTATATACACAAGTGGCTAAAGACTAGAGGCCACAATAGCCCCGTCTCATATTCTGATAGACATTCTATACTCTTAGAAAAGAAAAGGAACTACATTTGTCCAGTTTCAACTTTGTTTTACAGAGTTCCACTTGCAGCTTCCTTTGCTCCTAGAGGAAGGCTAAGGCTGTGCCCATGCAGGGCACCCCTCTTGCCCTGCTCCCCATACCCCTGCTGTGTGTGGTGTCTGACTGGGTCATGAGGTCCAGTACTAAGGAGGGAACAGTGCCTCCGCCTGCCCACACAGGCGGGTTGTGATTTTCTACTCTGCTCAAATCACATGGCGGTTGCCACTGGTTCCCAAAAGAGGAAGATGGCAGAGGTTATGCTCTGAGCGAGGGCAACCCCTCTGTACTTGTAGCACCCACTGGAGGGGACCCCAGGCTCTCCCCAGAGGCCCGAGGCTCACGTAGCTCTGTTTAAAGTGGGCCTGGTCCACTAGAGCTCCCTGAGTAAGGATCTGCTTGGGTGTGGGGTGAGCACAGCTCACCTACAGCCTACAAACCATTGGCAGGCAGAGGCAAGGGCCATGCCAATCACATCTGTAAGCCCATTAGAAAGGCAGCTGGGTCACAGTGTGTCACGGATGGCTCTGAGCAGTCAGAGCGGACTTACAGTCATGAATGGAAATGATTTTACTTTTGTTTTCCTTGCAGGGAAATGAGGGACCCCCTGGGATCCCTGGACCTCCCGGACCTCCTGGGCCACCTGTGAGTTCTTTCAGGGTTAAAACTTAACCACCACCTGTTTACTCACAACTTTTCTCACTCCAGAGCTCTCAGCACTGTCTCCTGAGACGTTTGCTTGTATATAAATGACAGCCAGTGCCACGTGCAGAGACCATTGGGCTTCTCTAGCTCAGCCCTAATCTGTACTGCTCAGATTTATGTGCCCTGAGCCTCCCTAGGATGGCCTGGGGTCTGGGGAATGGGGAGGCCTTCCAACCTCATCAAGCCTCCCTTGCCTAGAGGGTGCTTAAAAAGCAGAGAGCCTTTCTGGCAAGGTGAGTTGGCTCTTTAAATGTGGCATTATTAATAAAGTTAAAAAATACAGCATTATGCTATATGTGTTCATCCCCCACACAGTGTCTAAGGCGAGAGGCAATGCATCCAGGGCGCCCTGCTGGCTGCAGCTGCCCTGGAGAGGCAGGCCACTGGGGATGCCATGGCATTGGAGGGCGCAGAGGGAGGATGGGGCCGTGCTCCAAGCCATGTCTGCCTCCTCTGGGGTCACGCTCGAATCGCAGACCTCCTGAGGTCCATGCCAATCTTGGTTCCTTTCCACTCCTGGGGAATTTTGAAGCCAAACCAGTAGAAAAAGGGAGTTTTTTTCTGAAAACTGCAGGGTGTGTTAGGATCCTGTGCACACTTGCACATTTTACACACAAAAACTTGGACTCTCTACCAAATTTGCTCTGGTAAGTCTTTCTCCTTTGATCAAGAAATCAAGGCAGAGGGCTGGGAAGGTGGCTCAGTGGTAGAGCGCTTGCCTTGCATGCCTGAGGCCCTGGGTTCGATTCCCCAGCACCACATAAGCAAAAAGAAAAAAAGCTGGAAGTGGTGCTGTGGCTCAAGTGGTAAAGTGCTAGCCTTGAGCTGAAGAGCTGAGGGACAGCGCTCAGGCCCAGAGTTCAGGCCCCACGACCGGACTCTCCCAAAAAAAAATCAAGGCAGAACTTAGACCGGACCCCCACAAAAAGAAATCAAGGCAGAACATACTTGGAGTTCAAATTCTAAAATACTCTGTCTTCTCTTCTGGAAGTTAAAAAAAAAATCAAGGTCTCCATTGCAACAATGAGATGTACAAGACGTTATGTTGAAAAATGAACTTTACAACTTTGGTGCTCGGTGCGGGGAAGAGGGGTGGGGGAGATGGGAAAGGATGGTAAGGGGAAACAAAGGAGGAGACAACAATGGTTGATAAGAAATGTACTCATTACCTTGCTCATATAATTGTAACCCCTCTGTTCGGTATTTTCACACACACAAAGAAAATCAAGGTCGCATGTAAGGGTCATTTTACAGTGGCTTAAGAAATGCACACTTAGTGGCAAAAATATTTTTCCATTTTTTTCCAAGATGTACATTAAATATATACTCTGAGAAATGTCCTCTGCAAATCTCAGAAGTATTCTTCCTTTAGGACGCAGTATGTTTTGTAACAGAACATATGGATGGTTTTCTTCTATGAATGATGTTTTGAAGATGTGCAAACTCTAGTCTCTGAGCACACGAGTGTCATCAATTGGAAACAGTAACATGACAGTTCCTCTGATTTAGCAACTAGAGTGGAGAAAATTATGGAAAGGATAATACACTTTCATAATGGGTTTTAAGGATCCATTACCCCTTTGCAACATTTCAAAACTGAGGTTTTCTATGCCATACTGGGTGCCCTACTCGCCCCTGTGATCCTGGCCACTGAGGCTAAGCTCTGAAAAGCTCAGTTTGAAGGCAGCCCAGATAGAAGAATCTATGAGACTCTCTTCTCCAGTTGATCAGCAAAAACCTAGAAGTAGGACTGTGCCTCAAGTAGTAGAGCATCATCCTTAAGTGAAAAGCCAAGCAAGAGCACCAGGCCGTGTGTTCAAATCCCAGTATCAGCCCATAAAACCATTTCCATATGCCGTATTTTCCCTAAATGCTGAAATGTATGATTGTTTAAACTGCAGAATGAGTTGTTTAAGTGTTGATTACTCAGGAATTTTATATTCATATGTCTCTTATTAGAGGAATCCCTAAACCTGTATTTGTGGAAACAGGTTTCACAACACAGGGTTGAGAATGAAGCCATCTTCCCATTTGCCTAATTTCTTTTTTTTGGGGGGGGAGGGGGGGTCCGGTCGTGGGCCTGAACACTGGGCCTGGGCGCTATCCCTCAGCTCTTCAGCTCAAGGCTAGTACTCTACCACTTGAGCCACAGCACCACTTTTGGCTTTTTTCTTTTTGCTTATGTGGTGCTGAGGAATCGAGCCCAGGGCCTCAAGCATGCAAGGCAAGCACTCTACCACTGAGTCACCTTCCCAGCCCCATGCCTAATTTCTTATTTGGTATGAAGAGATGGAGCGGTGTTACTCCTATCCCCAGCTGCATTTGTACCCCTGCACTGGCCAGTCCCATCCAAGAGTCACCAGGCTGTGAATACTTAGCACAGACTGACAATTTGAAAGCTGAATTCAGTGAGCAAATACTGCTTTTCCTGTGAATGGCTGAGTCTCCTCTGCGAGGCTGACCACAGGTCCTGCATGGAAGCGTGTCTGCGCGCTTTGCTCACACGTGCCCTCCCCAGTCCCTGCAGCAGCTAATCAAAGAGTATTAAACCACTATCAAAAATAGCGTAAGATGGGCTGGGAAGGTGGCTCAGTGGTAGAGCGCTTGCCTTGCATGCCTGAAGCCCTGGGTTCAATTCCTCAGCACCACATAAGCAAAAAGAAAAAAGCCAGAAGTGGTGCTGTGGCTCAAGTGGTAGAGCGCTAGCGTTGAGCTGAAGAGCTGAGGGACAGTGCCCAGGCCCAGAGTTCAGGCCCCACAACCGGACCCAAAAAAAAAAAAAGCATAAGATAAAATAGGAAATAAGTTTTAAGTAAAGGGAGGAGGATGGAGGGGTGACACTGGTCAGATGCATTGCACACAAACTGACAAGTCGAATTGAAATCCTGTTGTTCAACTACTTAAAGGTGATAAAAGTGGTGTTTTGTTGTTTGTTTGTTTGTTTTTTTAAAAATGACAGGCTGGGAAGGTGGCTCAGTGGTAGAGTGCTCGCCTCGCAGGCATGAGGCCCTAGGTTCAATTCCTCAGCACCACAGAAGCAGAAAAAGCTGGAAATGGTGCTGTGGCTCTAGTGGTAGAGCGCTAGCCTTGAGCTGAAGAGCTGAGGGACAGTGCCCAGGCCTAGAGTTCAGGCCCATGACCAACCAAAAAATAAATAAATAAAATATATTGTACTGTGAACAAACAGAATAGGACCATCACCATCCTGTGATGGAAGGTGGAAATGCTACAATAACCCTGACTCTCCTCTCTCCCCAAGGGTATGTACTTCAGCGACAGCAACGGCATGGGCAGCTTGTATAAAATCCAGGTATTGACAAGTGTGATGTGAGATGATTTCCCAGCTAGGTTGGCCATCCAGTCTTATCCTCCCCCTCCTCTTCTTTTTAAGGGAGGCGTGAATGTTCCCAGTTTTCCAGGACCGCCTGGCCCCCCGGTGAGTCTTGTCTTTTCTCTCCTAGCATACCTCTATGTACAAGTAGCCAACAACCAGTTTTACAAAAGGAGGAAAGAAGTAAAACCAATTGTAATGAAGCTGAGAAAATAACAGCCATAGTAATGGACACAATTTAGTATAGTGCTTATAAGTCCTTGCGCAAACAGTTCTTGTCAGGCAGTCTAGTCAAGTTGTTTCTTAACCTTCACTTTCAAATCCAAACTAGCAAAAGCAAACCTTGGCAAATACTCTTAAACTAAGCATTAAAACACGTTGGACAAAAATGCCTCATATTCTCATAATTGTGTTTGTCACTATTAAAAATGATCTCACATGTATTTCTTACAGGGTCCAAAAGGGGATCTTGGCCCAATGGTATGTATGCTTCCATGCTTGGTGTCATTTACCAAATAGATCTTTACATAGTTGAAAGATGAGCATTAGACAAAGAGACCCTGCCTCCTTGACTACTGAGAGAGACAGAAGCCACCAACCACAGACACGCTTGTGTTGGATTGTTCTTCCCTCCCTCCCAGTCTCTCCCTCCCATTTTCTTTGTTTTATTATCTTTAGGTAGTTTTGCAAAGGAGTTGCCACTTAACAAAGCAGTTTGTGAATGCAATGTGTCTTGATCAATGTCATCCCTTTCAACTCTCTTACTCCCCCACCCCCCCAATCCACCCCTTCCCTTAACTCTTCTAGACTGTGTAAACATACACTGGATCCTTTACTGTCTGTGTGCTTTATTGTTAAGATTCATTAGTTGCAATGTCACTGTCCTTGAGCTTTGTCTCTTTCTCTTAGCGTGTTTGTAAAATCATACAATGGAGGTTGGTGCATATAAAACCCCTGATAAATAGTACACTTGGCTTCTTTTGATGATTGATTCAGCTTCAAGTAGATCTTGGAAAAGAAATCCTTCTGAGACAGAAATTCCTTAATTTGTCTGACATCTGACAGACAAGAAGGAAGGCACTGTCTTTTCTTTGAATGTCTTGAGCAGTTATTCTGTTCCCAGAATAATGTATGCTCTTATTCCAGGCTCGTGAGGAGGAATGCATCCTGAGGTTCACACTCAGCCTGAGGGAGGCAGAAGGGGCATGTCCTCCATGACCTCCCAAGGGAACAGAGTGCTCACTGTTGTCAGCATCTCTCCACCCACCAAATCAGATTCTCTTTGATCTCTGGCATTTTTTCCTGCCACTTTTCCTTTTCAAGCTTATGTTCCATCCTTCCTGTTCTTTTTGTACATCTGTTTAGCCTTTCGGTATAAACTTAAAACTCAGATGTACCTGAAGCTGAAATAAGCTTTGAAACTACTTTCTACTGCCACTGGAGGAAGCATAAAGTGCTACAAGTTATAAACGCTATGGATAAATATCAGACCAGCAAATAAATGAGCTAGAAAAAGCTCATCTATAAATTCCATATCAACCTCTGTTTTTGAGAGTTTTTATTTTTGTTGTTGTTGTTAGTTTCATTGTGCCAGTACTGGGGCTTGAATGCAGGGTCCGGGTGCTGTCCCTTTTGTGAGGAAAGATCAAGCAGAGGAAAGGAAATAAGACCCCAGAGAGCACTTCAGCATTTAATCACTGCTAAAGAGGGGCCACATAGCACTGAGAAGAGTCCGGGATGACACGGGGCGAGAGGGTGGGGTGTGGGGTCAGATGCCATTGGCTTTGAGGTTTGGATTTGGAATGTCCTTGTGATTGTAGCAGAGGGCCCTGTTTGGGGCCTGTGACGTCTTCGCAGGTCTGGCAGAAGGCCCTGTACCTTCAGACATCTCTGAGAACAGCTCAAGGCTGGGGGTTCTGATGAGATTCTGGGGGCATTGCAGGGCGCCCCCCTGGAGAAGGGTGGTGAGTAGGCCCTGGGAGCAGCACCGAGTTAGGAGAACAAAGCAGAGTCCCACTGCCGTGGCTTTGCTTCACTCAAGGCTGGTATTGTACCACTTGAGCCGCACCTCCATTTCTTCTTTTGGGCAGTTAAATCAGAGTCTCGCAGACTCTTCTGCCTCGGGTTGGCATCAAACCACAATCCTCATATCCCAGTTTAGAAGGCTGATGTTCCACCACTTAAGCCACAGCATCAGTAGATGATAAGTGTCTCATGGACTTTTCTTATCAGACTGGCTTCCAATCACCATCCTCAGATCTCAGCCTCCTGAGTAGCTAGGATTACAGGTGTGAGCCACCAGCTCACACATCCAGTAGTCCCAGTATTTCTAATCTGAGTGAACTTGTATAGGGAAACATTACCCTTAAGTGAAATTAATATCTGAGAATCATTGTGTTCCTTTGATAGTCAAAATATAAGTGATTATATATGATCATGTGATCATAGATGTGATCATGTAATCACATGATCCATGTATTATGCTAATATAAGTGAGTATTAACCTCTTTCAAATAAACAATGCCTCCTTTTTATAATTTTAATTTTCGGATGGTTGTACAAAGAGATTACAGTTTTACATTCAACCCTTGCCTGCTCCACCTCCAGCCCCCCTCCCTGCCAGTCCTGTCCCACCCAGGCTGCCACTCCTTTGTCTCACCTGTGCACTGAGCGTTGAGACTGTTCACCCACAGTTCCTTCTGCATTGACCCCTTCTCTCTGGATTCCTTCACTCGTTTTCCTTCACTTTGTTGAAGCGTCTGTGGCTTGATCAAAAAGTGGCCTTCTAAAGATGGAAAAGCAAAGCATTCTTTTACTTGTCAGCGACTTGGGCTTTTTCACAGACCCTGAAGCAGCATAGAATGGGAACAGCTTAACAGTTACAGTGAGGACTGACAGGATGCATATAGTGTGCATTTACAAATGATTTCTGAGGCGTTAGGACCCCCAGTGATGACGTTCCATATCCAGAAGTCTGTAATAAAAATGTAAATGCAACTGGGAGTTAGGGCTTTGATAAGATTTTTGAAAGTAGATTGAAATTGTATTGCAAAAATACATTTATGGAATGCAATTTAAAATTCCACTTTTCTATATGATTATGTTTAAATCACTTAGTGTCCTAAGAAAAATATTTGCAGTTAATAGCAGTTCATTAATAAGAAAGAATCAAATAACTCCCCAGGTCTCCTCTGCCGCATCTATATGTTTATAACTAGTCATTCTTTGACCAAGGTTTTCCAGATGTATTCCTGGAAAGCCTCTGGGCTCCAATAGCTTGGGACCTGTCACAGGAGATCTGCCTCTGCAGATGCAGAAATGGCTAAAGGATGAGAAACTCTGCTTTCAGAACGCCAAGCTCAGTCTCTTCTTCTCCCTCTCCATTTCTCCTGGGTTTTGAAGTCAGGGCCTCATGCTTTCTAGGCCGGTGCTCTACCTCTTGAGCCATACTTGCAACCCCTCACTCACTTAGAAATTTAAGGCAATTCCCTGGTAATCTTCTACACTGAGGCACCTCACAAGTTGGCCAACTTTGTTACCTTCCACCCCTTCATCATCCCTTCATTCTAGTTACTGTTAGAGTTATCAATGACTACAACAATGCATTCTGATTAAGTTCCTAACTAGGAAATATATCCCCACTTTTCTGGAGAGTGGCCCTTTTACTTTGATATGAAAGTTTGAGCTCAGGGCCTTGTGACAGCTCAGGCACTGTCAGCACCTGAGCCATGCTACACACACATACACATACCCCTTTTTACTTCAGTCATGTCAGGGAGGTGTTGTGTGTGTGTGTGTGTGTGTGTGTTTGTGTGCCAGGCCAGCCTGGGCCCCTTTCCACTTTGGTCATGTCGGTGGGGTTTGTGTGTGTGTGTGTGTGTATGTGTGTGTGTGCGCATGTGTGCGTGTGTGCATGCCAGGCCAGCCTGGGCCCCATTCCACTTCAGTCACATTGGTGGAGTCTCTTGGGTGTGCCAGGCTGTCCTGGGCTGTTATTCTTCTATTTTTGCTTCCCACAAAGCAGGGATGATAGGTGTGCACTTCCACGTCCAGCTGCTTATTGATACTGACTTGGAGATGACTTACTGGTCTCACCCCAACTTTCCTCTTAACCATCCTGATTTCTACATCCTGAGAAGCAAGGATTATAGGCATCAGCTCACATGCACATATAAGAACAGTTTTCATTCTCAAGCTTCTTTCAGACTATCTCACACTATCATATACCAAATGCAATAATACATTGCTTGAAAATAGCACATTCCACCAGGCACGGGTGACTCATGCCTGTAATCTTACCTACTTCAGAGTCTGAGATCTGGAGAGTTGAGGTTTGAAGCCAGTCTGGGCAGAAAGTTAGTGAGGCTCTGTCTCCAAAATAACTAGAATAAAACAAACTTGGAGGCAGGGGTCAAGTAGTAGTGAACTAGTCAAATAAGCATGAGGCCTTGTCTTCGAACACCAATATTGCCAAATAAAGAAAGGAAGGACAAAATTAACAAGGTTTAAGAAACAAAGAACTTCCACTCATCTGGTTGAATAACCCCATGCAGATCACATATATGGTATACATGTGCATACCGGAGGGAAACCAGGAGGACAACACAGAACTAGAGGGAATCAGGGAAAACAGAACAGCGGGACCCATCAGCTGCACTGGACATTGATCAAAATGAACTAAGCAACTCAATGGCAGGATGGGAGGGAGGGAATGAGTGGGAAAGAGGGAACAGCTAACACTGTGCAAAACAAAAGAAATACATATATCACCCAATGTGGAAGAAATAACTGTATTGCAAAGCTCATAGAACTCATAAATGTTATAAACCACGATAGACAATTTGCCCCATGAAAGTTAGAATGTGTTTGTGACTTTAAGCATAACTATCCCACAATACTGTGAAATTTGGGAAATTATGTAATCACTTGATCACAATAAAGAGTTTGAAAAAAAAGTAAGGAAGGGAACAGAGCAAACCACTTACTTGTTAAATTATAAATCAGCAAGAAGCTAGACAGTGTTAGAATGAGGAAAAAAATATTTGCTTGTAAACCAATTCCTGAAATCCTTTGATCACAGCCACTGCCCTCTCTGGTTTTATTTAACAGGGAGAGCCTGGTGCCATGGGGTTGCCAGGACTGGAAGGATTTCCAGGTGCAAAGGTAAGCACAGAGGTACAAAGGAGCCCATTCAGCCTTTGGAGGTGGGGGAAGCAGTGACAGACTGACAGACAAACAGGAGGAGAAAGAGGGAGTTGAAGTGCTGCATAATATCTTTAAACAGCTAGAGGAAAGGGGCCCTAGGTAGCATCTTCAGTAGCTGCTAGGAAAGCCAGGGGCGGGAGAAGAGATGAATATGCGAAAGATAGACTGTGATACGGGGGTTGACCTCACGACCTAGAAATACATCTTTAATATAGTCCATTCTAAAAGTTTATTTCTCTTTCTTATCCTTTTATTTCACTTTTGTACACAAGATGTTACTTTTATTTGGACTAACAGATTCTAGCTCTTTCATAGCTTTATTTATTTATTTATTTAGTACTGGTACTGGGGCTTGAAGTCAAGGCCTGAGCACTGTCTCTTAGCTTTTTTATTCAAATCTGGTGCCCTACCACTTAAGCCACAGTTCCACTTCCAGCTTTTATGGTGGTTCATTGGAGATAAGAGTCTTACGGACTTACCTTCCCAGGCTGGGAGGAATTGAACTGTGATCCTCAGATCTCAGCCTCCTGAACAGCTAGGATTATAGGCATGAGCCACCAGTGCCTGGCTTTTAAAAAATACTTCATACCATTTTTATCTTTTGTAACTCATGTGGAACTTATATGAGACATGATGCAGAGAGAGAAATTAGACACTTTGAAGGAAGTTATCCAGTTATTTATGTATCCATTTAATGATACGAGTCTTTCTTTACTAAAATCTTATTATGAATACTGGCTTACTTCTGAGATTTACGTTTTATGAAGGTGGCGTACTGCTTAACCTTCTGCCAATAGTCCCTCATTTTAATTCTTGTGGCCTTATTACATGTTTATATATTAATAGTACTACTGTCTATTATTTAACTTGTCTCTTATTATTTTATTATCCCAAAAAATCTTTTATATCTTTTGCTCAAACTGCAATTGTGTAACCATTTTATTAACTTTATATTCAGACTGTAATGACACTTTCACTACCCATCTTATCTCCAAGAACAAAGCATATCTTTAATTTAACTAAGTCTTCTATACCCCTCAGTGAAGCCCTGAAGTTCCTTTTTGGTGTGGGTCTGCCCTAGCAAGGTTACATTGCATTGCCCCACATGTAATCATCAGAAAGCTCTGCGGCGTCAGCTCTGCTTGACAAGGACTCTGTTTCTCCACAACTAGCTAATTGGATGAGGAATAAGACAAATGGAATTCTAACTCTGTTCTCGTCCTGCATCCAATGAGGCAAGCACAGGAAACAGCTTCAGCTGACTCATGTGCTTAATCTTTCAAGCAATGGTTTGTTTGAATCATTTTATAGAATAAAAATAATGACTACTTTTAACTGTATGGATGTGTCAGATCTTACTAAACAGAGGTCACAGACTCATCATAATACTTTTTTTTCATTTTAACTATTATTTATTTTGGTTTCAGTGGAGAAAATGAAAATACAGCCAGTTTAGTGAGACCCTTTGTTGATTTCCTGCCTAGACTCTAGCTTCATGTCAGCTTATTAGTATTTATCAAATTCAAACCAAAGCTTTACCAAACATGAACTGTATTTGACGATTAGCTTTATAAACAAATACTTCAGCAATTCCATTTTAAGTGGCATTTTTAACTTTTAATCCCCACAGGGAGATCGAGGCCCAGCTGGGCCACCAGGAACAGCCGGGGCATCGGTGAGTCCACACACGTGCACTTTACATTACCGCTAAAGGTGAACTGTGTGCACACCTTGAGCCACCAATCGCCACAACTCCACTGGCATTAGGCTCCTGGAGAGTCTCTGGTTTAAAAACTACAGATCTCCCCCAAGTTAAGAATGCTATCCGTGTGTGTGTGTGTGTGTGTGTGTGTGTGTGTGTGTGTGTGTTCACCTGTGTGTGCAAACACACAGGCCAGTACCAGGACTTGAACTCAGAGCCCCCACTTCCTGCTTTTTGCTGTCACTTGGAGATAAGAGTCTCAGGGATTTTTCTTCTCAGCTGGGATTCCAACCTCTATTATCAGGGGTCTTAGCTTCTTGAATGGCTAGTATACAGGTGTGAGTCCCCCAGTGCCTAGCAGCAATGCTGTTCTGTTTCCACATTAAGAATGTTGTTTCTTGGTTTGGGTTTTTTTTGTTTGTTTGTTTGTTTTTTGGTTTTTTTTGCCCCATCGGGGACCCACATTTGTGTGTGTTCTGCTCTGAACACTTCCCTCCGATCTGCTTGTGTTTTGAGGTTTCTGCCGTTCTGGGCAGTCCCTTCAAGTTTCTGTATAATAGGAGCTTCTTCCCATGTGAGGGGGCTGTCACCCTAGGCCAGCCCCACCCCACCCCAGCCTGGGACACCCTCCCACACCCGGGCCTGGGCCCCTCCTCCTGCCCAGGCCCTCCTAACACCTGCTCCCAAACCAGTCCTTCACTCCCTGGTTATTTTGCTGCCCTCTGGGGCCAGTGCTTTAATCTCATCACCATCTTTTCCAGGGAATGGAAAGCATTGGGAAGGCTGAGTTGCTTCTCTGAGCTGGGGTCCTTCTGATCTTCATTCCTGAGGCTTTGATTAAAACTTATGGCCATGCTTGATGACTAAGAGGTCATTGACCTTTTGGTGGTGCCCTGGGCAGGCGGGCAGGCCCAGGGTAAGCACGTCAGGAAAGTCTGCAGTACCACCAGCTAGGGTTGCAGAGCTATGAGAAAGATGGGGAAGGGCCCCACCCAGTCCCCCTCACACCTGCCTACTTCCCACCTTCCTACCTCACCTCCTGCCATCCTGCCCACCCCCTGCCTCACCCAAAGTCCCACTGTGGCCAACACCATCTCCCACCAACCCAGTCCTGAAAGGAACAGTAGCCCCCACCTTACTCCTTTTATATACCAAGTCAAGTAGCAGAACAGAAAACCCCATCTCTTTATCTTTTACTGAGAATGGCATCCTTTATTGAATTTGTTCAGCTCCAGATAATAATTTGTATAAGACTAAAAGTTAAAAATGAACTTTTTTAACAAGCTTTAAGGAGTGTGTGTGTGTGTGTGTGTGTGTGTGTGTGTGTGTGTGTGTGTGTGTGTGTGTGTGTGTGTGTGTGTGTGTGTGTGTGTGTGTGTGTGTGTGTGTGTGTGTCCAGTCCTGGAACTTGAACTCATGGTTTGGGCACTATCCTTGAGCTTTTGGCATTCGGGGCGAACATGCTACCACTTGAGCCACAGCTCCACTTCAGGCTTTTTGATGGCTGGTACATTGGAGATAAGATTCTCAAGGACTTTCTTGCCCAGGCTGGATTTGAACTGTGATCCTCAGATCTCAGTCTCCTGAGTAGCTGGGATGACAACAGTGAGCCACCAGCGCCTTTCTTCTCCATGGTGGACTACATGTTAGATGGTGGCTTATCCCCCACTCCCCTCCTCACAGCACTTTTAGGATTCTGTTTCTGGAATTGTCCTTAGATCATCTTGGTAAGCCATTCTTGTTTACACCCTCATTCTGCATCCGTGTGATCTAGTGAAGCTTAATTTCCCCAGTCTCACCACAGTGTGAGTACAGAGCTCTTTTTGATAAGTGTCAGTTCTGGGGCTTGAACTCAGGGCCCTGTTGCTCTCGCTTGGCCTGTTGCTCATAGCTGGCACTCCACCACCTGAATCACACCTCCAGCTTGACTCTTTGCTGGCTAATTGGAAATCGTCTCTCTCAGACTTTTCTGCCTGGCTGGATTTTAAATATATATTGTTATTACTATTTTTATCTTCAAATAGTTGTTCAAAGGGATTTCAATTCAGCATGTCCAGCTGACCTTGCCACACCATCGCATGTTAAATGGGGAGACAGATGGGCCCTGGGGTGCTCGCCTGCAGCCCCAGATGTTCAGGAGGCTGATGCCTGAGCATGTGGTTTGAAACCAGCCTGGTTAAGAAGTCTGTGAGACTCTTACCTCCAGTTGACCAGCCAAAAGTGGGCAGTGGAGGTGCAGGAAGCTGTCTCCTGATGTGTCTTTCTGCTTTGCTTCACCAGGGAAAGCCCGGCCGTCCAGGTCCACCAGGAGCCCCCGGTGAGCCGGTGAGTGGCCAAGAACCTCTGTTGCGGGCATTCCGTGTCAGAGAACTGCCGGCCATTGATGTGTTCTGGGGACACCCTTACAGGGCCAGAGAGGACCCATGGGAGACGTGGGCTTCCCTGGACCGGAGGGGCCCATGGGAAAGCCGGTGAGTACCGCCTGCCTGCCCAATGGGTTCTAGCATCCCCTCCCCCTGCCCGTCTCTGGAAATTGCCAGGCTTAGAAAGAAGTAAGAGCACTTCTGACAAATGGACAGGCAAGGGGGGAGTCCCTGTGTTGTGTCTTTATGGTTCACTCAGTAGTGGACAAGGATGGATTGCAGTAAAGGAAAGTTGGCCCATTCCTTCAGTCTCAGTATTCTCAGCAGAGTTAAAAAATAAAATGGTGGGGCTGAGGGTGTAGCTTAGTGGTAGAATGCTTGCCCAGCATGCATGAAGCCCTGGGTTTGATTCCTCAGTACCACATACAGAGGAAAAGCCAGAAGTGGCACTGTGGCTCAAGTGGTAGAGTGCTAGCCTTGAGCAAAAAAAGCTCAGGGACAGTGCACAGGCCCAGAGTTCAAGCTTCAGGATTAGCAAAAATAAATAAATAAAATGGCCTGTCGCATCCTAGAACAGAAAGTGAAAGACCCAAAGACAACAGCCCTAGGAATCTGCGAGGGAGGCAGAAGCTCTTCTCTCCAGTCCCTTCCCTTCTACCCAGCCTGCTCCACTTTATGGGTCACCATTGCCCTGATGGTTGTTCCTGGCCCAGTGTCCTGACATGAGGGCTGTGCTCAGTCACGCCCTGCTCTGCAGTGTGTATCTGCTGCATGGTGTGCATCTGCTGCATGGTGTGCATCCGCTCTGCAGTGTGCATCTGCTGCATGGGGTGCATCCACTGCATGGTGTGCATCCGCTGTATGGTGTGCATCTGCTTCATGGGGTGCATTGGCTCTGTGGTGTGCATCTACTCAATATGCATCTGCTGAGTGGTGTGCACCTGCTGCTTGGTGTGCATCCGCTCTGTAGTGTACACTTGCTCTGCCCTGTGCATCTCCTGGCTGCCACTTGTGAAGGAGGAGTCTGGTGGGAGGGAGGGGCCTGGCCCTAAGCCTGACACACCCTACCTCTTTTTGCAGCATAGGACAATACTAGGGCTAAAGCTGGTGCCCATGGGTGTTAGGAAAGTCTCTACTACCAAGCCTTTCCTGTAGCCTTTCTATGTTCCAGTTCTTTTCCAGTTAGGGTCTTGAGTGTTTTCAAGGCTGGCCTAAAACAACAGTCTTTCTAGCTATCCCTCCTGGGTAGCTGGGATTACAGACAGGGCCCCATTGTACCAGGTTTATCTGGTTAAGATGGGGTCTTATTAATATTTTTTCTGTTACTAGGACTTGATCTTAGGTCCTGGGTACTGTTCCTTATCTTTGTCACTAAAGGCTGGTGCTCTACCACTTGAACCACAGCTCTACTTCTGGCTTTTTGCTGGTTAATTAAGAGTCTCACAGGCTTTCCTGCCTGGGCTGGATTCAAACCTCAATCCTCAGATCTCAGCCTCCTGAGTAGTAGGATTACTGGTGTGAGCCGTCAGTGCAAGGGAAGGGGAGACATGGTTCCAGAAGAGTTGTACTCAGTACCTGATTCATGTACCTATCACTCCACTGTATATCAAGTCTACAGTAACAATAAAAATAAAAGTAAACCTTTAAATAAAAAAGGTCAGGGAATCAGGAGAGAACTAAATGGGGCCAGGTGCTGTGGCTCACGCTTGTGATCCTGGCTATGGAGGAGGCTGAGGTCTGAGGGTCTCCATTTGAAGCCAGACCAGGCAGGAATGCCCCCAGCACCCTAATTTCCAATTAACCACCACAAAGCTTGGAGTGGAGCTATGGCTGAAATGATGAGTGCCAATCTTGAGTGGAAAAGCTCAGGGATAGCACCCAGGTCTAGCATTGGTGCACACATGCGTGCACATACACATGCACACACACACAAATGAGACCAAGCGAGTAGAAATGAAGTAGACAGAGAAGACTAACCATCTACTAAAGAGCAAAAATGTATCTCAACTCGGTTCTTCCTTCCTCATGAGGAATGAGGGGGGCAGTGCAGAAGTTGGGGTACAGATGGCTGAGGAAGCTAAAAAAAGAGAAGGTGAAGGCATTCTTCCCTATTTATTTTCTCTATGAAGGACAAGTTGAGATTTCTACATAAACAAGAGGAAGGGGGAGTTTCTGTAGAGATTTGAAGCAATGGGCCAACATATAAACTACTTTCTCTGTCTCTCTCTCTCTCTGAGGGGTGTGTGTGTGTATGTGTGTCTGTATGGATGTCTCTCTCTCTTTTGTGCTGGTACTGGGGCTTGGCTCTTCTGCTCAAGGCTGGTATCCTACCTGAACCACACACACCTCCACTTCCAGTGTTTTGTTGGTTAATTGGAGATAGGAGCCTCATAGTCTTTTTTTTTTTTTTTTTTTTTTTTTGCCTGAGCTGGCTTTGAACCCTGATCCTTAGCTCTTAGCCTCCTTACTAGCTGGGATTATAAGTGTGAATCACTGGTGCTATTGAGATCTAGTGCATTTGCACAAGCAAGAAACTAGCAGGTGAAAGACTGGAACTCAGAGCCATTCCATTGTATTGTATCATCAACAGTACAATTAAGGAACTATCCTTGAAATGGCTCTTTTTGTGCTGGTGTCTCTTAATGCAGAATTAGAAATATAAATCATTTTTGTCTTTATAGGGAATGAATGGAAAAGATGGATTACCAGGGGCTCAGGTATGAAAATCCCATTTAAAGCAGGAAGTATAAAATTGCTCCTGGATAAACATTTCCAGAATATCTGCCAACAGTGAGGTAAGACTAATGCGAAACCCGTGAGGCATGACTTTCCGTGTTGATATCTTCCAGGGCATCACAGGAAAGCCTGGAGACAGAGGTCCCAAAGGAGAGCGTGTATGTATTTTATGCTGAGGGTGCCATTCACATCTGCATCACAAAGTGCCTCACTGTCTGAGTCCCTCCCCCTGGGTCCCTCCCCCTGGGTCCCTCCCCCTGGGTCCCACTGTCTGGATCCCACCCTCTAGGTCCCTCAATTATGCACAGAGACACTGACACACCTCCAGTGCCGGTGTTGGGCAATTCATTTCATTTCTTTTTCTATTCTCATCCCAGGATCATGTAGATCCCTAATGGTTCTCTTAATTTTCATTGTCTTTAAGTCAAGACAAATACAAGAGCAATCACAAGTGAAAAGTACTGAGCTGACACACACACAGTTGTGCTTGCTGAGACCCTCCCCACACAGAGCTGTGCAGCTGGCCTAGTACTCAGGGCTGCTTCATAGACCCTGCTCCCTCCTGTGCACACCACAGTGGACACATCACCCTCCTGACCTGACCATCCGTTTCTTCCTGTGCACACCAAAGTGAACGCATCACACATCTGACCTGACCACCCATTCCCTCCTGTGCATACCACAGTAGACACATCACATACCCGACCTGACCCACCCGTTCCCTTCTGTGCATAACACAGTGAAGATACCACACACCTGACCTGACCACCCATTCCCTCTGTGCATACCACAGTGGACACATCACACACCTGACCTAACCACCCTTTCCCTCCTGTGCACACCACAATGGACACATCACACACCTGACCTGACTATGCATTCCCTCCTGTGCACACCACAGAGGACATATCACAGTGTAGAGACAACAGGAAGCTGGGTGCTGGTGGCTCACGCCTACATTCCTGGCCACTCGGGACTGAGATCTGAAGATCAGGGTTCAAAGCCAGCCCAGGCCAGAAGTGGACCTGGGGCTCAAGTGGTAGAGTGCCATCCTTAAGCAAAATGCTGAAAGTGTCCAGGCCCTGAGTTCAAGCCACAGAACTAGCACACACACGCACACACACACACACACACACACACACACACCACCACCACCACCACCACCACCACCACCACCACCACCACCACCAATGACAAAAACATTATTAAGGAACCTTGGCTGTCAGATTCAGACACATGCAATGTACTCTTACTCCCAGCTTCCTCTGGCATCTTACTCCAGAGATAACTATAGTTAATTTATACACCTATAAATAACAGTATTATACTGTTGCATAGAATATATTATTATAGTAATAATGTACTATATTCAATCAAATGCTGTATACTAATAAATCAATATACTAGTATTCTAATGTACTAGTTTACTAATACACTATTATACTATTAGGGTATAATTATTAGTACATGATGGTATTATGCTATTTTGAATAATAGTATAAATGAACCATAAGATACTAATTTATAATTTTAGTAATTTATAAGTATTATAGTTTGTTTACATGATTGGTATCATGCTATTGATAATTAGTATAACATCATCATTAACACATGTTATTACAAGATTATCATTTTTGTATTCTGTTGCTAATCTTAGCACAGCTTCTTCCCCCTTGAGATTGTTTAGGACCCACTGCAGGAACCAGCATTACCTGGTGGGAACCCGGCTGGTGGGGACGGGGAGGAGGGACACTGTCCTCACTGTTAATGACATCCACACAGGAAATGACTCCCACAGCACCTGGTATTTTCTAAGCCTTTTGTTTGTGTTAATTCATTTATTTCTCAACATTGTGGTACATAGTTCAAGTCCCTATCCAGTGCCCCACAGTGGAAAAATACTAATACAAATGCAGACCCTTCCCAGAAAAGATCATTGCTTCTTCTCCCTCCAAACAGGGTGACCAAGGAATCCCAGGAGACAGAGGGCCCCAAGGCGAGCAGGGAAAGCCAGGCCTTGCAGGCACAAAGGGGGCCCTGGGACCTGTGGGGCCTCCAGGAGACAAGGGCTCTGCCGGACCCCCAGGCCACCGAGGCCCCCCTGGCTCCCCCGGCACTCCGGTAAGTGCTGCCAGGCTTTCCTTGGCGGTACAGTGATTTATCACAGCAGGCGTAGAAATGGGCATTTATGTTACTCACTGTTTTCCTGTCCGTTGGCATATAGTTGATTGTACATTGCAAGCACTTTCCTGTGAATGACAATTCTGCTGGTACACATAAAGCATACCTATACTGGTGGTCAGAGTTCCGTGCCACACTCTGCTAAGCACCACCTCGCTTGCGCTCATTCCTCCTTGCTCTTACGAAGGCAGAAAGTTGATCTAGGTCCAGCTGACTCCAAACCCTGCTTTCCACGGTGCTGTGCACACTGCGCCTCTACTACACAAAACCACGTGTGTCTGTTTACGTGTTAGAACACGTCCATCCAGAGAGGTGCTTAGAAGGAGAAATCATTCAGGCAAAGATAGCATATTTAGCTCAACCAGTGCAGGATGTTATTTATTCACAACTCTCCGGTTTTGTGGTTGTGGTCATTGCTTGGAGGAGTTTAATATGAAAGTATCCATGAGAGGATTGGATCTGATCTGTTACATAAACAGCAAAATTGGACCTTCCCACCATTCTTGTGGTTTATTTTTAAACAGTTTCCCCAAACTCTACTTGGATAAAGCTGTACAAGTTGAACTTTTTGTTCTGGGCCAACAATTAGTATTAGATGCATGAATTTAAGCTCATTTTTCCCATGAGTAAGGGAAATGAAGAACTTCAGCAGGGCATCTTTGGAGCCACACTGTCCACCATAGGAGGCCACCACATCATCTTCTGTAGCTTTTTGTATTCCAAGAGAACTGACTGCTGTAAATAGACCGGCATCACCATGTTAGGAAAGGCCATGAGACCACGGACCGGCATTGTCATCACACAAGCAAACAGGAGGGAGGAATTTGCAATGAAGAATGATGGGGAATTGACCAAGATAGGAATGTTTATTAGAAGTTGATTTGGATCATGATGCTAACATTTGGTTAGTGCCAGTTGGGTTCTGGAACCTTCAGAAGTGAAGTAGCAAAAATGTCCTTCCTAACTCTATGAAGCTTTCCTGCTTGCTTAACAGGAAAAATGTTCATATAGTTGGTCAAGATGCCACGCCATAGCTTTTGAAGAAAGTATGCCCTTCAATTGACTCCAAGACCCCATAGAACCCATAGACCCCATTGGCAAAAGCATTTTGCTAGCTAAATGTGTTTCTACAGAAGTTAAGTATGTAAACCCTGATATTTCTGGTCTTATTCCCTTGTGCTACACTTTCTTGTAACACTATTCTTCTTTCCTTCCTTAGGCTGATGCTGTTTCATTTGAAGAAATAAAAAAGTATGTCCATCAAGAGGTCCTGAGGGTTTTTGAAGGTTAGATTTTTGCTTTGTAACATTTCTGGGTCCCCACCTCTCCAGTCACACTCTTGGAGGATAACCTAAGAAAGGCTTGCGAGAAAGCATCTCGGCAGGGGTGGGTCCCCTGGGAAGTCCTTCCTTGCCCCCAGTTGAGTCTCACTCCCTGGAAATTCCTCTCCTTAGGCCTGGTCTGTCAGCCAGCACAGTCAGTCTGTCAGGTTCAGCATCCTAGGACAATCTTTCAGGTTCTGTCTATCCATCAGACTCCCTAGTTTTCTCCTATCTGTGGAACGAATGTGTCTAACTTGTCACCCCATCCTTGTGAGAAGCTTAATTTATAAGTTCCTTCTTTTATCCATGATTTCATGACTAAAATGGACTTTGATTTGGCTCTGAGTCCGAAAATTATGGCCTACCAGCTATGCCCTCCAACCACAGTGGGGAAATACATACATACATGTGCATGTATATATGCATATAAATATATACATATACATACACAAATACATGTCCAGCATTGGAGCTTGAACTCAGGGCCTGGGTGCTGTCCCTGAACTTTTTTGCTCAAGGCTGGTGTTCTACTGCTTGAGTCACAGCTTACTTCCACCTTTTTGATGGTTAAGTGGAGATAAGAATCTCACAGACTTTCCTGTGTAGGCTGCCTTCAGCCTCCTGAGTAGCTAGGATTATGGAATGAGCCACTGGCGTCTGACTAGTTTCTGTATTTTTATTGATAGACTTTAAATCTTCAGATCTTTTTAATGAAAAGAATACTTCATGACATGTAAAAATGTTCTGAAATTCCAGACAGTCTGTAAATAACAGATACGTGGCACAGAGCCATGTTCTTTACATTTTTTTCTGTAGTTGCTTTTGCACTACATATGTTTTTGTACTGTATATACAGCAAAAAATAGTACTTACTTTCTAGTCCCTTTCAGAGAAAGTTTTCCTAACCTTGCTCTAGATAAATAAATGTAAAATATCATTCATTTTTTAAAAATTTTTCTGAGCATTTAGATGTTACTATTTATTCATTTGAATTTTCAGTTAATCCTGATCTTTCCTTAAATTTAAATCCTTTAAATTTAATTGCTTCCCATACTAAACTGTGTTTGTTTTTGACATTCAATATGGTTTTATGTCCGTTCATATTAAACTTTATGTGGTATGGGCTGCTTGTCTGAGTAGACTGGCCTAGTCCTGGGCTCAGTCTCCAGTGCTGGAAACAAATAAATACATGATCAAGTAACTCCTGGCCAGTTATTAGCTTGCTCTTCTATCCTGGTGTCATCTCTGTGTTCTGTGTGCACATCATTGTTGTAGTTGTTGATAGAAAAGTAGTATTAACAAGTCAAAAGTCACCTAGGCACCGGTGGCTCACACCTGTAATCCTAGCTACTCAGGAATCGCGATTCAAAGCCAGCCTGTCGTAGAAAGTCTGTGAGACTCTCAGCTCCAATAAACTACCAAAATCCAGAAGTGGAGCTGTGGCTCAAATGGTAGACCATCAGCCTTGAGTAAAAAAAAAACAAAGTAGACCACAAGGCCCTGAGATCAAGCCCTAGTACCTCTACCATAGGGGGAAAAAAAAAACTTGTAGTGTTCTTCAGGAATACAAGATATAATCAAAGCAGATACATATGTTCAATCCCTGTCTCTACTGCTAATGCATTTCAAAGCCAATACCTACAAAAGTTGTGCCAAAAATGCAGTAATTGTGATGAGTCAGAAAGCAAACAGGAATTTGTATGGTGCTGTTGAATCAGCAATTGAACTGAAACTGTAAAACAAGACATTACAGGCAATTACTCTTGTGATATTTTTGCCCTCTATGCAACTATGTAATTTTGATTTCCACACTTAAGAGACATAAAAAGCCCTGAGATAATGGAACCAAAAAGTGATTTACAAAACAGATTAGCAAGCCACCATGAAATAATGAAAAAAAAAAGATTTACAAAACAGATTAGCCAGATGATGAATTGAAGTTATTTAAGCTTAAACAAAGAGGTAGCAATATGACCAAGTAATGAGTATTTTTCTTGGAAAATCAAGCATACAATTATAGTTTCTTTAATGGAATAACAAAAGCAAGGTAAGTATTTTATACTAACACAGTGAGTAATTAAACTTTTAAATAGGTACTAGAAAAAATAGGATGAATTTCCCTTCAAAACTAGTTATAGGGGCTGGGAAGGTGGCTCAGTGGTATAGTGCTTGCCTTGCATGCATGAGGCCCTGTGTTTGATTCCTCAGCATCACATAAGCAGAAAAAGTCGGAAATGGTGCTGTGGCTCAAGTGGTGGAGCACTAGCCTTGAGTTGAAGAGCTAAGAGACAGTGCCCAGGCCCAGAGTTAAAGCCCCACAATTGACAAAAACAAAAAAACAAAAAACTAACTTATAAATTCTGCATGTGAAACAGAGGGTAGTCCTGGGCCAGATGAAATCTGAATGTTACCCTTAATAATGACATTTATGGTCACATTAACATTAATGTCCTCATTGTATTAATAGTGTCTTCACATGAATCTCGACAGTCACATTATAGTAACAGTGTCCTCACATGAATTTTGACAGTCACAATGTAATAACTGTGTCCTCACGTGAATCTCGACCGTCACATTGTAGTAACAGTGTCCTCACATGAATCTCAACATTCGTATTGTTGTAACAGTGTCCTCATGTGAATCTTGATGTTTTTGTGGCACTGGAGAGGCCTCCTGCCGGGGAGCCCTGTCTTGGCCTCTCTGATTAGCATGATGGCCGTGATTTTTGCCTTGGCAGGTGGAATGTGTGTGTCTGCTGTATACACACTTCCATCTGAAATATAATTTGCTGCCTCATTAGAAAGCATAGCTAAAAAGAGACTAATTGAGTAAACATCCCTGAATCAGGAAATACAATTAAGACTATGGTGCTTACCAGTTCATTTGGACGCTCAGACATTTTCCATGCTGGAGGACTGGAGTAGGGATCTGGGAAAGAATTAGCCTTACTCAAAATGACTATTCCTTAGAGTATCTTAAAGCCGGATACAGCTTTAAAATAATTTAACTTTGCTAAAATTTATTTTTAAACAATACCAAAAGTGCTAATAAGTTCTTACATTGAAAAGGAAAAACTAATAATGTGAATCTTTGTGTTTAGACCCTGAAGTATTCAATATGTTTCAACTGAACAGAAATTGTACAGAAATAGCTTCTCTTAAGAGCTATGACATATGCAAAGCTTCAAATTGTGATTATTGCATTTCATATTTTTATTAAGTACTCACTTTAATATACTGTAAGGAAGATGTGTTTACAGTCATGGTGGTGATGTGGAAAAAAATGGTTAAAGAAATGGTTTTTTAAAATGACTTTTTAAAGCCATCTAAGGGCTTTCATTGTTTTGTTTTATTTAAAGCTTGTACTGGGTCTTGAAAATGGGGTTTTGTACTTCCATTTGGCCTTTTCACTCACAGTTGGAGCTCTGCCACTTGAGCCACAGCTCCACTTCTGGCTTTTTGCTGATTAATTGGAGATAAGAGTCTCACAGACTTCACTGCCTATGCTGGCTTCAAACCTCAATCCTCAGATCTCAGCCTCCAGAATAGCTAGGAGTACAAGTATGAGCCACTGGCGCCCAGCTAATAATATGTATCTTGATCATTTAAATGATTTAAAATATTATATTCTCTATTCATAAGAAATGAAAGGCCAAGCCATCACTGAAAACAGGGGAATTTAGCCCCAACTGTTGGAGAACTTATGGACATATTTGAGTAACTACACAATCACATCATCAGTGGCAACATCAGTGGTCCTAAAGTTATTATTAAAACAATTTTGTAGGTTAGGTGTTGGTAGTTTGCACCTGTAATCCTAGCTACTCAGGCAGCTAAGAGCTGAGAATCACAGTTCAAAGTTACTCAGGCAGAAAAATCTGGGAGACTCTTTAATTAACCACTGAAAAGCTGAAATAGAAACTGATATGATAGAACACCAGTCTTGAACAAAAAAGCCAAGAAAGAACATGAGGCCCTGAGTTCAAGCCCCATACTGAGGCTTGGCACAAAAGCAAACCAAAAAAGGCATTTTATCATGGGAACCTAAATTCTCTCCACAAATCATAAACAGTTGTTAGATTCTAGACTGCTACAGCTTAGAAACACAATTTAAAACTCTCTGAGCAACACAATTCTGTCTATAGAATTCATTTTCTGCATCTCATCACAAACAGCACCCCAGCCACTTGATAAATTATATGTACTTACCTTGGACTGAATTTTTTTTTTGGTCGGTCGTGGGGCCTGAACTCTGAGCCTGGGTGCTGTCCTTCAGCTCTTCAGCTCAAGGCTAGAGCTCTACCACTTGAGCCAGAGTACCACTTCTGGCTTTTTCTGCTTCTGTGGTGCTGAGACATTGAACCCAGGGCTTCATGCATGCACTGAGCCACTTTCCCAGCCCCGGACTAAATTTTTTAAAAGCACTTGTCCATTGTTTTGAAAAAAATATTCCCTTTGCATGACGTAAAATATTTTTTCTTTTGTACATGAAGAGAGGATGGCTGTGATCCTGTCTCAGCTCCAGCAGCCGGCAGCAATGTTGGCCGGGCATGCCCATGGGAGGCCCGGCCCTCCAGGGAAGGACGGGCTGCCCGGGCCCCCAGGAGACCCCGGACCCCAGGGTAAGTCTGCAGGTAGAAGATGGGTCGAATTCATTTCTAATCTTCAACACATGCTAATTACAGTTAAAGGAACATACCTATGTCTAATATACACAGAGTGGATTAGTAGAGCATACTTTTTGTCCATGTCTGTTTTAGAATTACAGTTTCATATCAAAACTGATTAGTATGTGCTATTGTAAATGCCTTTTATATAGTAACAGTAATGTGTGTTCCTGTACTGTTCTTGTCTAGCAGCCTTTGAGATGTGTGTGCTACCCTGTATGCTGTTAGACTGCAAGACCCATCATCTTAGAATCTCAAAGAAACAGAAGAATCATAGACAGTCCTAGTACAAATGGTCATTAAGACCTAAAGTATTGGGGGGGGGGGAGTTAATGATCTTTCAGCTGTAAATTCTGTGTGTGTGTGTGTGTGTGTGTGTGTGTGTGTGTGTTCCAGATCTAGAGCTTGAACCCTTAGATTTTTTTGTTCAAGGCTAGTGCTCTACCACTTGAGCCACAGCTCCACCTCCAGCTTTTTATGGTTGGTTGGAGAGAGAGTCTTGTGGACTTTGTTGTTGCCCAGTGTGGCTTTGAACTGTGATCCTGGATCTTAGCCTCTTGAGTAGTGAGTATTAATGAGGTGTGAGCCACCAGTGCCCAGCACTTTTGACCTTTAAAGAATTTTTCAGTGGGGGAGGATGGTAAAAGGAGTAGTGGCATTGATCAAGGTTCATTGTACTCACAAACTGACATACTGAATTGAAAACCCTCTTTGTGTAACTACACAAAAATGATTTTAAAAAGAATTCTTCATATGGTTTCTAAAGTTTTAAAGCCAAAGTTATTCTTGCAAGTTATTGTTGCACTGTTGACAGCTTGTCAAGCGGCATGATCTTAAATTGAGCTGGACTGAGTTCTTCTGACAGAGCAATGTGGTAAGAATCTGGCTTCCTATCAATTAAGTGGCCACATGGGCCTGGCTTGGAAGATTCGAGAATCCTGCCAGGAGCCATCTCACGAGACAGAGCAGAGAGGCTGTGGCCTAGCAACTGTGGGGCCTTTTGCCTTGGAGCATTTGATTTAAGTTCAGACCTGGAATCCACTGCCAGGCACCATCACTCACTTAGCACTAGCCCCACTGCCCTGTTCTTGCAGCCTTCATGGTCCTTGAGTATCCACACAGATGGATGGACACACAGACCCTGGTGAGGGCGGCCACGGTGGTACAGGACTAGGTTACCCGCACAGCTCCTGACATATTACACTATGGACTGGCTCCAAGAACCTTGTTCCAGGTGAGGCCCTCTGTGGAGCCTCAGACAAATCGCAATTTTAAAAATCATACTTTGCTTGGTTATTCTGGAAGACAACGTTACATGGGTTAGATAGCTAGTCTCATTGCTTAGCTGGAAAAAAATCACTCAAAAACCAACTTTCTCTCTTTTCTTTCTTGGTGGTTCTGGTACTTGAACCCAGGACTTTGTACTTACTAAGTAGTTCCCATCTGAACCTGTGAGCCACATCCCCAGTGCTTTCTACTTTGGTTATTTTGGTGACAGAGTCTCACATTTTCTACTGTGACCCCCTATTTATGCTTCCCACTGAGCTGGATGACAGGCGCTGTGACTATACCCAGAATTTATTGGTTGAGATAGGATTGCATGAACTTTTTGCCTGATCTGGCCTCAAATCATGATCCTTCTAATCTCTACCTCCAAAATGGCTAGGATTGCAGGTATGAGCCACCATGCCCAGCCCCTCTAATTTATTAAACATGTATGTCTCCTTTTTTGAGATTATGAGAAGTTAGGTAATTGGAGTTGACGTGTGTACATGGCTGGACCATGGTGACTCTCTGTCATTCACTGGTCAGGTCCACTCTGAAGCCAGACCATATGGAGTACACAGGGCCTGGAGAGGCCTTGAGACCCCATCTGGGACCAGACTGAGAATAAGCTCCCATGATACCAATGTGTGTGTGGGGGGGGGGTCCTTGGGCTTGAACTCAGGGCCTGGGCATTATCCCTGACCTTTTCTGTTCAAGGCTGGTCCTCTACCACTTGAGCCACAGGCTCAAGATTTGGGGTAGTCCATTGGAGAAAAGTCTCAGCTTTCCTGATTTTGAACTGTGATCCTCAAATCTCAGCTTTCTGAGTAGCTGGGATTCAGGTGTGAGCCATTGGTACCTAGTTGTAGACTTCTTTTATTTACCTTGACCCTAGATGCCTGTGACAGCCCTGCAGAGGGCTTGTGCACATGGCCATAGCTGCACATAGCAGGTCTGGCCGATCTGAACCACTGAGCTGTCATTTCAGTACAGAAAGATCTCACTAGCAGAAGTTTGACCCACTGGGATGTTTTATGTTGTGTATTTTTTTTTTTTTTTTTTTGGTCAGTCATGGGGCTTGAACTCTGGGCCTAAATGCTGTCCCTCAGCTCTTAAGCTCAAGGCTAGCACTCTACCACTTGAGCCACTGCACCACTTCCGGTTTTCTGAGTGGTTTATCAGAGAAGAGGCTCATGGACTTTCCTGCCCAGCTGGCTTTGAACCATAATCCTCAGATCTCAGCCTCCTAAGAAGCTAGGATTACAGGCATGAGCCACCAGCGCCCAGCTTATGTTGTGTATTTTTAAAGCTCTCCATTGCCTTACTGTGCCTTATCTAATATTTGAGTATAACTACAGATAACTAATACATGATTCATGCTGTGAGGAAATCACTTAAATATCCCAGACTTGGTAAATGGTTCTTCTGTGTTGCTACAGGACAATTTTCCTTTATGCATCTATTTCTCTCTCAGGCTACCGAGGACAGAAGGGTGAAAGAGGTGAACCTGGAATTGGGCTGCCAGGGAGCCCTGGGCTTCCAGGTTCCTCAGGTAATGGTGATGTGTGCTTTGTACCAGTCAGGCAACAGTAATGTGTGTTTGGTTCCAGTCAGACAATGGTGATATGTACTTGGTACCAGTCAGGCAGCAGTGATGTGTGCTTGGTACCAATCAGACAGCAGTGATGTGTGTTTGGTACCAGTCAGGCATCAGTGATGCATGCTTGGTTCCAGTCAGACAACGGTGATATGTGCTGGGTGCCAGCAGCCTGTCAGACAAGAATGCAGGCTAGAGTTGGGGGAGGGTAGAGGATGGCCACCGCTGCCTGGTCTTCTGAACAGCTCTTTTGTTCCACTAGCTCTGGGTCAGCCAGGTTTACCAGGTGCCCCAGGCCCCCAGGGCCCGCCAGGCCCCAGCGGGCGATGTAGCCCAGAAGACTGCCTCCCTCCTGCACGGAAGACCCCACATGGACAGGCAGGACATGGACACACCTAAGCCAGACTTCGTTCCTGCAGGGCGCCTGGCCGTCAGAGCTGTTGCAAAGCTGTGAAACTCACCATCTGTGGGCGGCTTTTCTTGTCTTCTTTTACTTTTTTAACATGTGCAAGCAAACATCAAAAGTCACAATTTGAGTCTTACTCAATTGCAAACCAACATGATTAAATTTCCCCAAATTCATTCCATATGTTTTGCTTTATGTTGCTAGTGATGCGCGAGCACGCACATGCGCATACCAGTAACTGGGTTTTGAATTCAGGGTCTGAGGTTGTCCCTTAACCTTTTTGCTCAACACTGGTGCTCTACCATCTGAGCCACAGCTCTACTTTTGGCTTTTTGGTAGTTAATTTTAGATAAGAGTTTCGTGGTCTTTCTTGCCAATTCTGGCTTTAAACCTCCATCCTCAGATCTCAGCCTCTGAAGTATCTGGGATTACAGGCATTGGCCACTGGCATCGGGCTTACTATGATTTTTTTATTCAGAGTTTTATATGAGATTTGTAAGCAAACCTTGTCACTGATTTTTCTTCACAAAGAAACTGCACAGTACCATTTGGTATTCGACATGATGCACAGTGTGTAGACAGTTGCTGGTGGTTGGCTTTTGGTTTCTGAATTTTGAGGTTTTAGACTCATCTTAAAGTTTTCTTTGAGTTTAAAGTCACCATCGTTGCTAAACATTTCTGTCAACCTTGAGCTAGTGCATCATTCCTGTTGAACTTTTTTTCACTTTTTACAAGAAGAATTCTTCCACCCGTGTAAAAAACAAAGAGGGACAAGCAATAAGAGCTCCATGTAGATTTTGGAATAAAAATACAGGAGACTATTTTTTTAAATCAAGGAGTCCCCAAAGTCTCAAAAGCCCACAGCTGAAATGATTATGTTAGCTCTTTGTACTGAGCTCAATTTGAAGCGATCACCGCTGGAATGAATGAATACTCCACGGGGGAAAGAAGAACAAATGAGCATTTCCACAGGAGAGCCTGCCCTTGGTGCTCCCCCTCCCCAGCAGACTTTCTCTTCTGTCAACAGAAAGCTGTTTTCCTAAGCAGTGTTTGGGTGGAGACGGGCTGCCTGTGGTTCCCCAAAGCGAGACCCTTGGGCTGCTTATCCTTCAGATCTCATCCTCGGACTTTCAAGCACAACCTAGTCATCAAAGGGAAGCACAGGACTGGCATAGACTGGAAAAGGCGACTTGCCCTTGGAAATGAGGTGGAGTGCCAGCACAGGCACCCCAGGAGGGGCTTGTCCAGAGGTGGAAGGCAAAGCTCCAGAGGCGAAGCTCCATACCCCAGACGACCGACCACCCACACTCCTGTTGGCCCAGGGATGGCAGGCCAAGGCAGGATGTGTCTGAATGCACCCATGACTGGGCTGGTCTTCACTAGAGAGTGGCCCTCTGGTCAGGACCGTGTATGTGGTGTACATGTACATACAACCTATTATTTATAGGGAATTTTGCTGTATATTTCAAATCCAAGTGTTACTTATTTTCCAAGGTTATTTTATTTATTGTGTTTTTTAGCATTAAGTTGACTTCCCTCATTTTCTTTCCTGTGCAATACCTACAGTGGTGCTGTGTTTTTGAATGACTCAATTGGGATTTGCATATATGTTTTGCATATTTATCTTCTTAGTAAAATAATTCATCCACAAAAAGTGTACATAGATTTAAAATTTGGTGCTGGGTATATCTTGAGTTTTTAATTTGTTACAACTTCTCTGACACATACTAAATTTACTTGAATCTGTCATAAGGCTAAATTTTTTACATCTTTTCAAAGATTATTTTTTCATATTAGTAAGTTGATCTTTTTACCTCTTGGCTAATTCAAGAATATTTATTTTGCCATTTTAATGTTTCATGGACATTTTTGCTGATGGTTATGTTTAATTTTTTTACTTTTTTAGTTGAGACATATAGAGAGAGAGAGAGTTGTGATTCATTTTCTTATGAGTCTGTTCATTCTTGTTTGCAGACTGTGTCAGCATTGTTTCTAACTAATTGTATAGCTTGGGATCTTTTCTTTCTATTTCGTGACTCCTTGACTGGTTTGTTGCTGCTTTGAGAAGTTGGGTTTATTCCAGTGGTTTGAAAAGGGCAGGGGTAAAACACCATCGGAACTCCAGATGACTTGTTTCCGTAACAGAGGTGAGGGCATCTTCTGGTCTGGTGCAGGCAGCGTGTGGTGAGCAAGTCCTGCCTCCTCTCCCCGCTCCCCTGTGGATATGTTCTACAGACCTCCACTCTGGGCAAGGGATGGCAGGACCCCTGCAAACCCTAAGGCGCACCCACTGAGGGCAGATCTGGGGAGGGGGCGGACCCCTGACCTGGCCCCTGGGCAGGGTGAGCAATGTCCCTACATTTCCATAATCCTGGAGCATCTGGTTCCATCCCTGAGCATTTCTTTCTCTCCACGTAGAAACAGCCATGGAGGGGGAGAAAATGACTAAATTCCTCTCAGGTGCACTCCAGACAACATAAATGTTCAAGTAAAAAATACTCTGGTTATAATTACAGTTAATACCAAAACTGTTTTTCCCATACACAAGTATGTTTGACTTCCAGTCTTAAAATTTCTCCCAAGGTCAATTCATACTTTCAGATTGAAATCTGCCTACATAAAAAATAAGGGCTGATTTCAATGAATATTTGTGGCCCTTGGAACCTAAAGAAAAAAGGAAGACCTCATGTTGAATTCCCTCCCCGCTCCGCCAGGCCTAGGTCCGGTCCTGGACGGTATTTCATCTATAGTACTTGGAAACACCCATGCTCCCCCACTATGGGGCTGTGTCATTCCCCCCTCCCCCCGCCCCACCCCGGCCCTGTCCCTTCTAGCTGAAAATTAATCATGACATTTACAACCACAGTCAGTCTTCACTTTTTAAACTCCTCACGTTGGTCAGAGTGATTTAACAACTTACCTCCTCAGCTTGTTTTGTATTTTATGATTTTGAAATTTTTAAAATTTTGGTCACTCATGGAATTTAATTATTTTAAGATAAGTTGTCTGTAAATATTTTCATTTTGATGTTTGGCATATGAAGTGGTTTTTATGAGTATGTTCGAGGCAGTAAGTTGGTGTTTCTGAAGAATGGGAGCTGGGATGTACCTCCTCCTGTCCACAGGACATGGACAGCCAATACATCCTTGTCTTTGCACTTTTTACTTTACTTTTGTAAATCATTTTTGTAATACTTGCTTTGTTCACTTGTATTTTTCCTAATTTTCAGCATCTTTGTGAAGCTGGCACAGGGGCCTTTGTTTTGTTCCCTGCTTCAATTTTATTTCTTCAGTGTGTACACACACACACGTACACACCTGGGCAACATGCAAATGAGCCATTTGTGATTTTGTTGTAAACTGCCCTATTTTAGTGAAGAATGCAAACATAAAAAATCCTGGCCTTTTAGACAGAACAGGTGCTTTTCTGAAAGAAAAGCAAAAAGCATTTAGCTTACTTCAACAAGTAGACAATTTGCCGAATTACACAGCCTCTAAACCCCATCAAGTAAAATTGAAATGTCTGTAATGTCTATATGTTTTCTCGCATGTACTATTTACAAATGATAGGAACACTGCTGTTCAAAATACTGTTTTCCCTTAACATTGGTAATAATACTCAGGGACTAGGGATTCCTAAGTACCACGCTAAAGTTGTCTGCACTTTATAGATTTGTTCCCTGTGCTTAGTCTTAAATTATTTTCCATTTGGTCTGGGTTTAAGACACACATGCCATCGCTACCTGGCTTCTCGGGTTGCGTCTTCACACTGGAGGGTCAGGTTGCCTCCTGCACCTGCTTCTCCCCAAAGCCACCCAGACATGGGTGACGGAGGGGCGACAGTATCACAATACCTGTACTCACAAACTGACCTGTTGACTTGAAGCCCCTTTGTACAACATACATTTAATTTTGATTTAATTTAAAATATGATTGGTACAGGAAAAAATTACCCAGGCTTCTAAGAGAAGAAATTCATATATTTCCTAGCAAACTGAACATAATTCCACTGAACTAACTAGCTGATAAAAATAGCATTTGCTACATTAACAATTTGAGTATCTACTGGGAATTTGAGGACACAGCACAGATGGCTGTCTCTGCCCTTGTTTTCTGAGTAACCCAGACATTTCACTCCAGATCATGCCAGGAAAATCAGTTCTTTGATGAAATGAAAGGTAATACTGGGCCATGCAGAAAACATTTTCATTCAGCCTGGAAGTTCAGCAAGAGAAAAATTACCTGAGGGCCAAAGCTCGGTCTAATAAAACTCAGATGATAGAGATTCCAGGTTCAAATCCAATAGCAAATGATGGGTGGTGCCACCCAAAGTTAGCCACTCGCTTCAAACTTGTCAAAATGAATACTAATGAAGTATAAGATTTTGCTTATGGGTAGTATATGAAATCCACAGAAATGTGTGTGTACTTGAACATAATAAGCCTATGATTGTAAAGGTACTCTTTATTTTACTGTTATTTAATGTGTATTGAAGAAATATCTTCACTGTATTCATGTATTTAAATTCAGATTGTAGCGTGCATATTTTATTATTATTTATTTTTAAAATCGCATTTGTGATGTATTTTTTTTCTTTGCTCTGTATCTTACCTCAACCAATTGTTTAAGGTTTAATTCACTATACTCACGTTAACTGGGACAGCACTACTTCTGCTTAAAACAGGTAGATATAATTCTTAAAAGCCTTCATTCTTGTATCTTCCTTGTGCGTAATGATCTTGTGGCTTATCTCAGCAATAAAAGAATTGGCCCTTATTCAGGGAATTCTACAGGGCAGTTGTTAACCATGTATTTAGCTCCATGCTATTAGATCTCAGCCGCAGTGAAGCTACCAAACCATCCTCACCAAGACTACTCTGCACCGTCAGTGGGAGTCCCACGGGCCCCTCTGCCAGGTTCAGGTTTATAACATGCTGACAGTGATACTTTTTATGAATCATTGCTTGACTTGGAACAATTAAATTCACAATGCATCTCCCCGATAGCAATTGAAAACCCTCATCCAACAGTTTCAGGTAAGAATTCTAAGTAGAGATAGGAATCAGGGTTGGGAGGCCCTTAGGATTTCTGTCTCCCAGCAAGACCGCCTCAGGAAAATCATGGGAGACTTGCCAGGGTCCTGAGTAAGGTGAGCTTTATAATGGTCTCATAAGGCAATAGTATTTAAATACAGAGCGTGCTTTCTCAATAGAAATTAAACCAAAGCATGCGGTCACCAGGTGCTGGTGACCCACTCCTGCAGTCCCACTTCCCCAAGGCCGAGAGCAGGATTGCTGTTTGAGGCCAGCCCTGGCAGAAAAGTTCAATGGACCTATCTCAAAAATATGAGGAGAAAACAGGCCTGGAGATGTGGCTCAGGTGGTAAAGCCCCAGCCTGTTGAGCATTCAGCCTGAAGTTCAAGCCTTAGTACCACATACACCAAGACAAACAACATGCTGTTAGATTGACATATTTCTTTAGACTAAGCAATGATAGATAGTTTTTAACTTCTTTAGATTCTTTTTACAAACTAACAAGGTGCTATCTAAGGAATGCTATTGTCTTTTCACATTCACATTTTCAACTTGGATGCCAAATAAATTGAAGTAAGTGTGAATCACAACTTAGAACTCAAAAATCAAATTCCTCTGAGCCAATGTCCCTTATTCTGTCTCCAGTAATGGACAACTTAGAGTTGAGGGTAAAATACGGAGGCATGTAAAACAAGAAGCATGGATTGCATTTATTAGACTAAAATGATCCATCAGTGTTGCCTTCCTGGTGACTTGCTCCAGTCAGCCAGGTCCTGTGCATGTCTCCAGTCCTTCCTTCCAAAGCACTGGCGCATGTGCATTTGCAGAATCCTGCTGCCAGCCACTGCTCATGTCAGATTCACCAGCCACGTGTGTTCATGTCAAAACTGCCATGGTCACCATTAATTCATTAAAGCAACATTGACATACATGACCAATAGTACTTGTTTTACCTTACTTTAATGACCTGTGTTTCTCAAATACAAATACTCCTTTTGAGAAATTTGAAGTCATTTATATCCATTGCTCTCAATAGACAGCAGCCTTACTTTACTGAAATTTTTTCTTAATATGTTTGGTTTATTCCTTTGCCATGTTCAGTGTTTTCATGTAAATTCCTTGATATTTAGAATGGGTTTTTACTTATATTTGTTTATTTTAAAACCCAGATTTTATACCTCAGAAACATCATTTTTAACCTTCAAAAACACTATCATATACAAACAATCAGATAATCCAGTTGTGGGCAATTCTATAAAGTAGGGGTTTACATTACACTCACGTCGGGTCTTACCACTGAGATTGAAGATGGCAGAACTGGAAGTGGAGAGTGTGGCTCAAGTGACAGACTGCCAGCCTGGTGCAAAGAAGTCATGGGCAGAATACCAGGCCCTGAGTTCAAGCCCCAATAGCTCTACAAAAAATACATATCAGTATTAATTATTCCAGGCCAGTCACCTAACTTCCTCTGACTGCTTAATCATACTCTCCTGCTAGACAGAAGACATTTGCCCCAACTACAACAAACTTCGGTGTTCAAATCAATTAATGTGGCAAAATGGTCATTTTCACATACCTCTCTTGCTGGTACCCTAGCAGAAGTTTTATCTGTGTAACCTCTCACAGGATTTGGTGATTTCTATTTTGCTAGAGAGACATTGAATGAAATGTTTATGAGCTGTCTCTCATGGCAAGGATTTGCTAAGCATTTTTCTTTGCTATTGCTTAGTAGCCATTTCTGAATACTGTTTTAGTTAACTGTACAGAGCATTGTTCCACAGGTTGGCTGTTTGTTCCTTCCTGAATCTGTGGAAATTGTTATACAGCCTTGATATAAAATGGATGAGTGAACTGTTCTTTGAATTTAAAAAAAAAAATTTTTTACAGATTTCTTCTAGAATTGACATGTTCATCTGTTTACTTTTTATTTGTTCTATTTGGTTATGTCACTCCTGATGCAAATAAAAGCACCTTGTGAAAAGATCGTTTCTGATCACTTTCTGATTCATATTATCGCAGTTCCTGAGAAGTGTATGACTTTTGTAAAAACTGTTGAAGCTTGAGCCCCCAGCCTGTGCAGACAACTCCAACACAGCCAAGTGGGAGCTGCCAGCCTTTCTCCTTGAACACAACTCTGAATAACAAGGAGACACACACTAGCATAGTCTGGATGAAATTCTAATAGAAATAAAACAACCAGACTAGAATTTTAAAGCATATAGAAAGTGAACACACACAAAAAAATTATAGCACAAAATATTAAGACTTCTTCCCTTGAGTTGAGAAAATTGAGTTCTATAAATGACCTGAAAGGGTTGATGCATGCACAGAGGACAGGGAAGAGTCACCTGCCACACACCCCCTCCTCGGAGCTGGGTCTGTGGTCCCTGTCCCCTTCCTCAGGGACCAGGGGTCCGTGTGACACTTTGTATCACTGTGACCTCTTCTGTAGCCGCCCCCTCCCCGTGGCACATGCCTGTGAAGGCTCTTGCCTGCCTGCCCTTCTGCCCCAACTTCCACTGAGAGAAGCTTAACCAGATCCAGCCACAAACGCCTCCTTTTCATCCTTGCCGGGCACTGATGATGAAGGGGGTGGAGAAAAATCTCCTGCCAGCCCTGTCCTGAGCACCTGTGGTCCAGGGAGAGACGCTGCCCAGGACCTGGCCACACACCTGGTTCACTGTGAGAGAACGGGGGGGGGGGGGGGGGGGGGAGGAGGAAGATGGTGTTGTCCTAATGCCAAACACAAAGATACAAGGAAAACCGCAGACTCGTATCTCCCAGAGAACAGGGCAGATTCTCAGTGACGCATGAGTAACTGTGCTGCCCGCAGTGTCACCCGCAGACACTGGCCTGGAGTCTGCAGGTCAACTCAAACCCGCAAACTCGCCCAGGCCACTTCTCCGCCCCCAGGACAGCCCCACATCCAGTCAACAGGAACTCTGGGCGGCTACCGCTGCTGCTGTGGGCCCTGAGATCTCCCAGCTCCCTTCCTCCCTCAGGCTGTAGACCTGCAGTTGTCCTGAAGACAGAATGAAACCCTACTGTGTGCAGCAGCACCGACAGACCACAGACTGTGTTAAACACAGGAGGCAGATGCAAGAGCCAGGTAACACACATTCTCACTCTTTGGAGTCAATGGACTCTAGACAGTCTGGAGAGTCTGGACAGGGCAAGAAGCCAGAGACACCAGCAGCTTCTTCAGTGCAGGAGAAAAACACTGGTTAAAACAGGTATTGTGCATTTCAAAACAATTCAAAAAATATAAAACTCTCAATATACAAAAGCAACTACCAGTTGACAAGAAGGAAATACCCATTTCTGAGCTGATTATTACACATTTGTTCAAGCTCTGGATGTCTCAAAAAAGGACTGCAAAGCCAGGCACGGGTGGCAATCCACTCAGGAGGCTGATTCTGAGGATCTCTATCTGAATCTAGATGGGGCAGAAATGAACATGAGACTCTTACCTCCAATTAACCACAAAAACCCAGAAATGAGGCTATAGCTCAAGTGGTAGAGTGTTTACCTTAAGCAAAAAAAGCTCTACCTTGAGACAGTGCCCAGGCCCTGAGTTCAAGCCCTAGGACTGGCAAAAGAAAAGAAAAAAATACAGTGCTGCAGCTAAGCTACTTTGTAAAATGTATAAGAAATCATAAAGCATACATCAGTCTTTGCAGCAGTGAAACTCTAGGTAGGAGGTAACAAGTCATTGAAATAAGATCAGTGATTCTTAGCCTACAGATTAATTGAAACTACACTTAAAGCCATGAAATCTGAAATATGCAGAAATGTGCACATACAGCTATGATTTTTCTGGGGAGTGGGTTCAAAAGTCTATACAGCCCTATACATGAATGTACTCATGTACACACAATCTGTCACATGCACACACAATCCATCACAAGTAATTCCCTTGATAGAATTTCTTAGAATGTCACTAATATTACAAATATATACCTATAAAAAACCAATAATTAAAATGTTAATATATCTAAATGCATTAAACATTAATACATTGAACATGATTATTTTTAAAAAGCAAGAGATTAAGAAATTGTATTTACTGCTTCTTTGGTATAACCAGTGATGAATGTTACCTCGAATTGTTCAAATAATCTCAGGTCCAGTGTGTTATACTTCTGTCTTTAATATAGAGGAGCTCAAAATATTGGTGGGTTTGGTACACAATACATACAAATCAACCAAAATTCCTTCTGAAAATGGAAAACAGGAGAGGACGTAAGTAAAAGCAATTCTAGAGTCTGTTCTTGGCTACTGAGCATATGGATGGAAGGTAAAGCACCGAGTCCACTAACCATAGTGGGTTCCTCAGACTGGCCTGGCAGTACTCTGTGTGCCTTGGTCAGTAACCTGAGAACAAGCTCTGAAGTAAAGACACACACAACTACAGGCACTGAGGTAAACCCGTTGTTTTTGTTTATTGACAGTGGCCCGGATACATCACATGTGGAGAACACAGGTTCAAGGGCTCGAGAAGAGGGGTATACGTTCATTTACAGGTATTGGTTTTGTTGGCAACATCTGTGTTCTCTCCAGAGGCAAGGGATGAATAGCACCATCGTACCAAATCTGCGATGTCAAGTGGGACCCAGGTCCTCCTGACGGAGGTGACGGGTGGTGGTCCTGCCCAGCTTCTGGGCGTCCTTCTCCGCCAGCTGTGTTTACACATGCTGCACAGGTCTCTCACTACTCAGGCCCTTTGCTAAACGCTCGCTGGCCAGCCTGCAGGGTGCAGGAGGCTGGCTCACAAAAACCTGCAGGTCCAGGAGGTCCTGGGGGCCCAGGCACCCCTGGAATCCCTGCCACACCAGGGGGCCCTGGCTCCCCGTCCCGGCCATTTCTCCCATAGCTGGCAGGGCCTGGGTCACCTGAAACACAGAAGGTTGTCTATGTGAACAGAGCAAGCTCCCAGCTGCAAACCAGCACAGTGCACCCGGCCCTCATGCCGCCGCTGCAGATCAGGGACTTCATCCATGCTTTCAGAAACAGTGGATGATGACGAAAACAGGGAGAAATCCCTTACTGGATTTGGGTTTGAGAGACATTTAGGGCTGGACGAGAGCTGGGTGTTCACACCCCACATTTCCACCAGTAGAGCCGTGCTGCGCAACAGGAAACCTTCCACTGAAGAACAGACACGTCTACTGAGAACTGAGCTGTGGCCAGCCATGGGCTGCAGGTGTACAATACTGCCCGACTCAAAAGTATTGTCTCAATATGCTTTGCTTCAGTACATGGCGAAAGCATCTTTGAGGTGAGCGAACTCCTTCTCAGCATACAATGGACACATTGAAAGCACAGTTACATGAAAACATGCACGTGATACACCAAAACTAGAGCTCAGCACCTCAGCACTCCACACACACCATTTCCCTTCCCACACAGCACCATTTCCTCTCACTTCCCAGGTAACACAGCACCATTTCCTCTCAGCACTCAGCACAGCACCATTTCCAGGCTGGCAGCTTTTTGCTGGTTAATTGGAGATTAGAATCTCAGACTTTTCTGCCTGGTTGTCTTTGAACCTTCATCCTCAGATCTCCTCTTCAGGTCTCAGCCCCCTGGGTAGCTAGGACTACTACAGCTGGGAGCCAACAGCACCTACATAATGTTTTAGGTACTTCTGCAAAGGTCTGTTTTCCACTGACAAGTTCTTTATGCTGAGATTATAAATTATGACGGAGCTCTGCCCTGCATCACAGCAGCTGAAACAAACCTACATGCTCAATTAGATCTTTTTTAGACTTAGTTTTCTTTCTTTTCTCAGAGGTGTCCATTTTCTCCCCATCTCAGTGTTCTCATTACATATGTCTAATCGTAGAGGCCTGTCTTTCTGTACATACCACTATATGACACATGAATATACATTAGCTGTGCTATCTGCCTAATGATTATACAGTTTGGGTTTTGTTTTTGGTGTTTACATTTCAAGGATCCATAAAAACATTTGAGATTCTAAAACATGAACATCCATGTCACTCTCTGGATGAACACCAGGGGGCAGCCATGTAACACAGAAAGAGGTCAGGCATGTCTGCACACTTGAGTGGTAATGAAGAGAGACTGATCTCAAACACAAATGGGGGCCCTTGTTTGCTTGCCAACAATTAATTCTCAGCGTTACATAGGTTGATGAATCATACAATTGTTTTGTAAGCTGTGTGTACAAAATGCTTCATTTCTTCCGCTGAGCTAACTTTTGTGATGTTTGGTAGAGCCAGTATACTTTTGTTTTGCTCTGTTTGTGCCTGTCCAGGGGCTTGAACTCAGGGCTTGGGCTCTGACCTTGAGCTTTTTTGCTCAGGGCTGGTTTCTATCATTCGAGCCATAGGGTCTGGTTTTCATGCTGGTTAATTGGAGATGAGTCTCATGGACTTTCCTGCCTAGGCTGATTTTAAACCAGGATCCCTAGATCTCAGCCTCCTGAGTAGCTAGAAATGCAGGTGTGAGCCACTGATGCCCAGCTAGCAGCAGACATCTTAATGAGACAAACCCAGCCCCAAGCACTAACACTAACTGAACCCTGGCAAGGAGCTGAGGGGCTGGGGCAGGCCGGAGGAGCACCGGAGGCTCTGGGCATCGTTCACACATCTTGGGAGAGACACTGAGGTAAGATGGGAAGTTAGCCAGAGCCACAGCAGACTGCTCACAAAAGTGCCTCTGGGGCTTGCTTCAGCTGTGCCAGGAGGCCCCACAATGCATTTCCAGCCACACCTCAAGTTCTGCTAGGAAACTAAAATACGAGTGGTTCAAAGCCACAGACTGCCGGCTATCCTAACTACTCAGGAGGCTGAGATCTGGAAGATCTTGGCTCAAAAATTCTGCCACTTGAGCCACAGCTCCACTACTGGTTCATGGTTATTGGAGATAAGAGACGCTTTTCTACTCAAGCTGACTTCAAACTGTGATCTCGGCCTGCAGAGCAGCTAGGATTTCAGGAGTAAGCCACTGGTTCTCAGCTGACACTATGCTTCTGAAAGCATCTGTTTAAGAAATTAATATTTCAAATCTTGACACCTATTTTCACACAAAAGGTCCACCCATGACTCACAGATCATTTAATTCTACATTGGAGTCCTCTCCCCATGTGCTACCCAACCACTCACCTAGAGACCAGCAGCTCACACACACACACACACACACACACACACACACACACACAAAACCACTTACCTGGGAGACAAGCAGCTCACACACACACACACACACACACACACACACACACAACCACTCACCTGGAGATCAGCAGCTCTCATACACACTCACACACATACACACACACACACACACACAACTCACCTGGAGACTAGCAGTTCTCATACATACACACACACACACACACACACACACACACACACACACACACACACACAACCACTCACCTGGGAGGCCAGTAGCTCCTGGCAATCCTTTGGGACCTCGCCCGGGAGGACCACGTTCCCCTTTTTCTCCCAAGTCACCTGCATTTCATAAAAGAAAGGTTATTTTTGCATATGTTTTTAAATCACACTTCTGCATTTTAAACTTTAAGCCAAGCCAAAATTCCGAAGGGAAGGAGACTGCAGCAAACCAGATTGCCATCAACATGAAGCAAAGTAAAACTTCAGTTCCTCATCTTAACACAGCTAAAGCGGAAACACCCAGAAGGATTGTGGGCACAGACATGGATGTAGCATTTCACAAAACTGAATATGCATTCTTGGTATTCAGTAATATAAGAACGGAAGGCTACTTTCTTCTTATGACAAAACATACTCATCTCAACCTAAAGCTTTACAGGTCACACAGGGCAGGGGAGTTCAGAGGAACAGGATGGCCACCGCCCCTGGGGCTGTGCTGCCACTCAGGGGTGTGAGGAGGTAAAACCATCCTGAGGGTAGCCGTGTGGATGCCGGTGGCTCACGCTGTCATCCTAGCCACTCAGGAAGCTGAGATCTGAGGATCAAGGTTTAAAGCTAGCCGGGGCAGACAAATCTTTAAGACTTTTATGTCCAATTAACAAGTAAAAAGCCAGAACGAATGTGTGGCTCACATGGTAGAGTGCCAGCGTTGAGCAGAGAAGCCAAGTGAGAGCTGGAGGCTCTAATTTCAAGCCTAATACTTGTGCTCACACACACACACACACACACAAACACACACACACACACAGAACTGCTCTTACTTTCAGGTGATATGAGTATATATTTTAAAATTAGAAAATCAATTTCAAAGCTGCTACAAACAAAAATTTGAGTAAAGTATTAGGGTTCAAAATTAAAATTAATATCTGAAGATCAATATTTAGGTACAAATGGCAGTTATAAGACAATGTAAAACATACCACAAATAATAGAAATTAAAATATTAAATAGCTAGAAATAAGCTTGATTGGAAAAGTACAAGTGTAACAAGAAACAATGTTTCTAATGGATACCAAAAAAAAGATTGTAAATACTTTTAAATGGAATGACATCTTTATAAAGATTGTCCATTTTTCCTGTTAAATGTCCATTAAGACCCCACCCCCAAAAGCCCCCAGTGGAGGGGATGGTGAAGTTTGCTTAGAAAAGCATTTCAGTCAGAACAATGTGGGTCCCCTCCTTCAAAGGGAGAAGTCCTGAGTCCTACCAGCTATGAACACAGTTGCTGGTCTGTAAGGAAGGTAGGGGGGTCTGCGTTCCATGAGGGAGGGGACAGTGGAGGTCAGCTGGAAGGGAAGTCAGGGCCAGTCCCCTGGGCCTCCGCCATCAAGGAGGAACGACAAGCAGAAGGAACTGCGGAAATCCTCCTGTAACTTTAGTTGGCCTTGATTTATCATTCCAAATGTGAAGAACGGCTGGGCGCTGTGGCTCATGTCCGTAACCCCAGCTACCCAGGAGGCTGAGACAGGATGAGCGTTCAAAGCCAGCCTCACAGAAAAGTCCTGAGACACCCATTTCCAGTGAACCACCAAAAGGCTGGAAGGGGAGCTGTGGCTCACATGGTAGAGCACCAGTCCTGAGTACAAAGGCTGGGAGGGGAGCTGTGGCTCGCATGGCCGAGTACCAGGCCTGAGTACAGAGGCTCAGGGCAATGCCCAGGCCCTGGATTCAGCCCAGAACTGGTACATGAAACACAAAAGCAGGATTCCCCCCCCCCCCAAGGTGATGGGCAGCAAGAACATGGACAAGTGCTTTCTCTAGGCCAGCACTCAGCCTGGGGTGGCCTGGCTATTACCGTGGCCAGTACAACGCGGCCACCCTCTGGCCACCCTGGGGTGAGGCCAGAGAGAGCCCCACACTGTAGCCCCACACCGCACCGCACCCTACCCCAGCACACACTGCACTGTACTGCACTACACCACAGCCCTGCACCAAAGCCCCACAGGCTGCGTTTCTGAAGCAGGAGACAGCATGGACAAGAGGGAGGGAGGGATTCTCTCTCTCTCTCTCTCTCTCTTTCTCTCTCTCATCAATTGGTTCAATCTCTGAAGCTTTGAAACATTGCCAGACTTACAAGAAGCCCCAGTTAAAGCTCATTCTTTTTTTGTTGTTGTTGTTTTGTCGGTCATGGGGCTTGAACTCTGGGCCTGGGTGCTGTCCCTCAGCTCTTTAGCTCAAGGCTAGTATTCTACCACTTGAGCCACAGTGCCACTTCGGTTTTCTAGTGGTTTATTGGAGATAAGAGTCTCACGGACTTTCCTGCCCGGGCTGGCTTTGAACCTCAATTCTCAGATCTCAGCCTCCTGAGTAGCTAGGATTACAGGCGTGAGCCACCAGTGCCCGGCAAAACTCATTCTTTAACATGCAGTTGTGCACATGCCGAACAAGTGATTGAATGAATGGTCCTGGCTGGAGCTGGCCAGGTGGCCCCTTTACCCCTTCACGGCCAAACTGGCGGCCTGCTTGCCCTCCGACCTTCACTGGAGCACCATGACCTTCAAGGGAAAAATCTGGGTGTGCCCTGCCCCCCCCCATTCCCACCTGGGCAAATTCTTACCTTTAGGTCCTCTCAGACCAAGAGCCCCAGGGGGACCTTTGATCCCTGGGAGGCCCCTGATCCCCATCTGACCGGGGAAGCCATTCTCTCCAGGAGGGCCAGGAGGTCCAGGGGGGCCTGGGCGCCCAGGGAGTCCTGAGATGCCCACATCAGGGCGCTTCAGACTGGCAGCCATCTCTGCAAAGTGTTCTGAAAGACAGCAAATGACCCAGGAGTAATTCAGATTAAGTGTGCAAGCGTGCGTGCGTGCATGTGTGTGTGTGTGTGTATGTGTGTGTGTGTACGCGCACGTGCATATGTGTCCCCAACTTGGCAAAAAATAAAAAGATAAAGAAAGGCTAACTCAGAAAAAAAGCACTATTTTATTATGAAGCTATGAGCGACTGTAAATGATAATTGGTAAAAACAACATTGGCTTTAACATTATTTAAAACCTGCTAGGTGGTCAGTGGTTTAAGCCTGGTAATTCTAGCCACTCAGGAGGCTGAGATCTGAGGATCAGGGTTCAAACACAGCCTGGGCAGGAATGTGTGAGACTCTTATCTCCAATGAACCACCAAAAAGCTGGACGTGGAGGTGTGCTTCAGTGCAAAGCACCAGGCTTGAGTGGACAAGCTTTTGGATCATGCTGCGGCCTGGAGTTCAAGCCCTAGTACTGGCACATACACACCCACACATGTGCCCACATGAGCATACTTGCACATGCAGGTATGACTCAAATCCTCTCACTCTGAAAGCAGACAGCGTCCCTTTTATTTGCCATACAAACTGCAAGGATTAAGTCAGGCAGCAGGAGTTCACGGGCTTGGGCTGTGGCTGACTTGCTCAAGCAGGAGTTAGTGTTGTTAGCGTCGGCTGGGCTCAGGGGCTGTGGCTACTCACCCTGCATGACTCTCATGCAGACCTGCTTGATGTGCTGGTCTGTTGGAGCTCTCCCCTGAGCAGGAATGGAAAGGTGGTTCACCAGGGAAGTGCAGGCGATGTAACCCAGGAAAGACCCAGGGGGCAGGATTTCAACCTAGCCCAACGGGCAGAGGCCCCCTGCGGCCAGGAATCTCCCAGAATCCCCTGCAGCCCGGCGTCTCCTGGAACCCCAGGACCATCCACTCACCGGAGGGCCCTGGATGCCAGGTAGACCAGTGACGCCCTGCTCCCCCTGCACACCCCGGGGCCCCGGCGGTCCTCGTGGTCCTTCGACTCCTGGAAGCCCCCGACTTCCTTCTGGCCCCCGCAGGCCGGGCTCCCCAGGGCTCCCAGCCTAGAAGAGAGAGAGTGGGCACAGCGGGCCAGACACCTGAAGGTATGTCCTGCTGCCAGCACCAACACCAGGCATTCCTGGAGCCCACGCTCTACGCTCTGCCTGGTGAGGAGGCAGCCCAGGGGAGCACCATCCACCCCAGGGGAGCACCCCAACAACCAGCCAGTCTCCTGAGAGCTCCAGTTATAGCAAAGCCATACAAGTGTTTACGATTATTGCCATTTCCAAATCGTCACTGGAATAACACTGCTTCAGATCGCGTCTTCCCAACTCAAACTACTCTCTAGGATCTGCTCTGTGGGTGGGGTTGTTTTGGCTTTCTTTTTTGTTGCTTGGTGCTGGGGCCGAGCCCAGAGCCTCGCACATGCCAGGCACACGCTCTGCCCCTGAGCCCGGCCTCAGTGCCACGCTCCTGACTTTCATAAGGCTTCTTAGAAGTTTATGTCCACAAAAAAATAAACAATGCCATGAGTTCCTCTATTTGGACATCACTCCTGCAACACACATAAAACAAACCTACCTCAAAAGTGTAAGTTGTTTAGCTTTCATAACTTCTGGGTTAATTTGAAGATACCAAACATGAACATAAACTAAACCAATGCATTTACCACATCTAAAATGTGGCATTAAAACACTTTACCAAGGAGCTGGGAAGGTGGCTCAGCAGTAGAGTGCTTGCCTTGCATGCATGAGGCCCTAGGTTCGATTCCTCAGCACCACATAAGCAAAAAGAAAAAAGCCAGAAGTGGCGCTGTGGCTCAAGTGGTAGAGCGCTAGCCTTGAGCTGAAGAGCTGAGGACAGTGCCCAGGCCCAGAGTTCAGGCCCCACAACTGGACCCCCCCCCCAAAAAAACCAAACAAACAAAAACACTTTGCCAAGCCGGGCGCTGGTGGTTCACGCCTGTCATCCCAGCTTATCAGGAGGCTGAGATCTGAGGATTGCAGTTCAAAGCCAGCCCAGGCAGAAAAGTCCATGAGACTCTTATCTCCAATTAACTACCACAAAGCCAGAAGTGCCGCTGTGGCTCAATTGGTAGAGTGCTACTCTTGAGTGAAGAAGCCAAGGGCCTAGCACAAAGCCAGAGTTCAAACCCCAGTACCGACATACACACAAAAACGGGCTTTGTATGCCTTTCTGAGCCTGATTTCATTGTGCTTCTTGTTTCTCTTGAAGCATTTTGAGGGTGTGCTATTTACTCAGGGGACGGTGGCCGCCATGCTGTCAGCTGGTTGGGTATACTCTGGGAAATGGAGACCACACCAGAAATAAGAGGCCCGGGCTTGCTGGGAGCTGGGGGCAGTGGCATGGCCTCTTTGCCCGTTTCTTGGTGTCTCACAGTGTTCGTGTGCATTCCTTTCACATGAACGCCCACTTCAGGGTTCCTACGAATTGTTTCTGATCCAACTTGTAAGGGCACTGCTTAGTTTCCACAAAATGACAAAATAAAACATGCTGATCATGTTCCTTTCTAAGTTCTTCATCGTCTTCTGCTTATGCCACCAGTTTACCTCCTTGACTGGGACACATATGAGACTAAGAAAGATACTGGAATATTTTACAATACTGTAGCTGCCGATAAAATCCACTTGTATGATCAAAGCAAAACCCAAGCCAGTTCTTTAAAAATGACCTATTTGGTGAGCAGAATAGAGCCTACCATGTAACGTTCATAAAAACCCATTTACAGTATTAAAAACATTCCATTTGGAGTGACTAATTTAAAACCAAAGCCTAGCATGGTGGTGCATGCCTGTAATCCCAGCACTGGGGAGACTAAAGCAGGAAGAGTTTGTGGCCAGCCTGGGCTACATAGTGAGTTCTAGTCTAGACCATGCGGTGTAGTGAAACCCTGGGAACAGGGCAGGTAGATATATTTCCATTGCTGTGGATTGTACTGGGTTAGCTCATTACTTAGTAAATTTGGGCATTTAGTTCCTTGAAGCTAAGCCCTCTAAGAATTAAACTTAAGAATTAAAGCCTTCTAAGAATTAAATTAAAGCCAGAGCCTTTCCCGTGATGCAGTTTTATTGATTATGACAAGGGGTACTGTTGTTACTGGCAGCACCGGGGATTGAACTCAGGGCTTCATGCTTGCTCAGCAGGTGCTCTACCCCTTGAGCCACAGCCCCACAGTGCCTTTTCCCATGTTTTCAAGGCAGGGCTCACTTTAGACCCAGGCTGGCAATGCGTGTCTCATCTCTACATCACTGGACATAACAGGTGCACAGGGCACCAACCTTCCCCCCAACACACAGGCCACCTGCAGCCATATGACTGGCAGGTACCACCCTGCACAGGCCTGGAGATGGACCGAGTCTCTCAGCTTCCTTTTTGCCTGGGCTGGCCTTGAACCCCAGTCCCTCAATCTCTGTCTACAAGGAGCCAGGCTTGCAAGGCTCCAGCTTGCTTTGGCTCATATCCTTAATTTTATTTATTTATTTATTGTGGGTCGTGGGACTCGAACTCTGGGCCTGGGCACTGTCCCTCAGCTCTTCAGCTCAAGGCTAGCACTTTACCACTTGAGCCACAGTGCTACTTCCAGCTTTTTCTACTTATGTGGTGCGGAGGAATCAAACCCAGGGACTCATGCATGCGAGGCAAGCACTTTACCACTGAGCCACCTTCCCAATCCAGTTTTCCTTACTTTTTAAATTAAATTTTAATTTAAAAATTTTCATGAAAAATTGTTGATTATACTTACAGATCCCTTTGAGCCAGGCAATCCCATATCTCCCTAAATTAGTAAAACAAGATTACATTAGAGCAATATATTCACATTCGATAGCTTCCCACCCAAAACATTTAAAAAAGAAAAAGCTACTGAACTATTGGAACACAAGCACCATAAACTCTGGCACTGCAGAAAGAGTTTAGCTCAACAGCTGGATTCTAGTTCCGATTCTGCTACTTGACGCTGTGGCCAGTGTGAGCAGGGCTGGCCCGGCCTCCAGTGACACAGGCAGGGCTGGGTCAGACCTGCCCACAGATCTGTCCAGGACTCGAAACATTCAGGTGAAAGATGGTAAGTAACATCCTGTCACAACGTGTAATAGGCATCTGAACCTATTATGAAAACTTAGCTTTCAACACTAATTATTTTAAATTCATTCCAGCCTAAACAAAATGTACATGCTCTTAAGCTTTGAAAAAAAAAATTTAGTCTTCCCATCATTCATTCTAAATGAATTTATCTCATGTGCTGGTATATCAGGTAATCTCTAATATAAAACACAATGATTTCAAACATTTTCTGAGCTCAAACAATGAATAACTTTTATAGAAAGTACAGAATAATCTTTGTTAATTTTCTTCATTCTTAAAGTAATCATCTGCCCAGTTCAGATGTTCTATCTACTTGTATTCTAAATCTTGAATGCCTGAATTACACATTACCAGAATTTTGTCCAGCACTAAGATTCCCAAAGCAATTCCATGAACAGCTGCTCACCCTGAGCCCCCAGGAGCAAGATCTGGGTTTCCAAGTGAGCCCATGCTAGGTTGTATGTGAACCCTTGCATGTGCCCACAGACCCAGACACGCAGTGGACAAGAACGTGCGTTCCCCCTCCATAGCTGGAACTCTTGACAGTGTCGTCCTGTGCAGATGGAGGGGACCACTTGGGTGGGTTTGAGGCAAACCAAAGCCTCAGAGCTAACTCACTGCCCCCCCCCCCCGAGCTCTGCCCGGCTTTTCCTGCAGAGGCTGACAGCATAATCGCCAAGGTGCCCAGGTCGAGGCCAAAGGTGTCTCAGTCACCCAAGTGTCAAGAGAGCTAGGGACGGGGGACCTTCCAGCCAAGGCCTCTGGGGATAGGACTCCTCTCCACTTTCCTGTATCTTACCTATCATCTTGGGAGTCTTCAAGGGTGGACTTTAAAGAAGGTAATGAAGCGAGTATGACCGTATGATAAAATATGCACGCACATGTTCATATGTGTGTGTGTTTCTAACAGAATTCAAAATTGATAAGCAGTTATAAGAAAGAAAAAACAAACAAACTCACCAGGTCGCCTCTTTGTCCCGCTTCCCCCTCCTCACCAGAGGCTCCCTGAAAAATCACGGTAAAAGGTCACACTTTTCCGTCTTTGTCCCCGGGGTCAACTTTACCCAGTCACTAGCCCTAAGGGTTACAGAAAGAAAATGCCCTTGGTGACGTCTCAGTGCTGGAGGCCAGGCCAAACTGAGGGCAGAGGCCAAAAGGGGGTCACAGGTGAGGCTGACAGCTCTTACCAAAGTGGAGCTGAACCCAGGTGTTTACAGTAATGAGCACAGCCCGCAATCTTGTAATCTGGCAAGCCTGAAAGAGGCCTCTGACCGCAGGAAACAGAGGCCAGAAATAAAAAAAAAAGAGCAGTATGCTGCCATGGCTTCTGTGGAAGGCAAGTGTGAGTTTCACTCACAGCAATAACAAAATGAGCACCAGGAAGGGAGAGCAGATGGGGGGGGGGGGGCAGGGAGAGGGGGAGGGGCGAGAGAGAAGGGAGGGAGGATGCAGCCGTGGTATCCAGTGTATGTATGACAAAATGGAGCTGATAAGTTGAGGGGGGGTGGGGCTGGGGGACAGGGGGGAGAACAAGGGGAGAGGTGACATTGATCAAATGCACTGCACTCACAAGCTGGGGTTTTGAATGGCAACAACCTCTTTGTACAGCTACTTAAAAGATAATAGAGAAGGAAAGAGAGAGAAAGATGGAGGGAGGCTGGGAGGGAGAGAGGGATGGAGGCTGGGAAGGAGGGGAGGAGGGAGGGAAAGAGGGAAGGAAGGGGGGAGGTAGGAGGGAAGGAGGGGAGTCAGGAGGGGAAGAGAGGTGGGAAGGAAGGAAGGAAGGAAGGAAGGAAGGAAGGAAGGAAGGAAGGAAGGAAGGAAGGACGGACATCATTTCACACCCCTAAGCTGGCCGGTAGCTACTGTTCGGCTCCCTTCACGCTCTGCGCTCACCTGTTCTCCCTTTGGGCCGGGCTCGCCAGTCACACCCTGTTGTGGACAGAGCAGAAACAACACGGCTTTGGTATTCTGAGGTGCTTGCTGTCTACCCAGCCCCCCTCACTGGGCTGGCAGGCATGGCATGAGAAACACCCCTCCCCATGTCTCACGAGAACGGGGTCCCTGACGCCACAGGGGCCCCTGGCACAATTTAGAACTGAGCAAGCTGCAGCTGCAATTCTTACGTAGACTTCTGTTCTTCTGCTAAGTCAACAGATGTTAGTTCTTTTTTGCCTGCCGGTTCAAACTCAGGGCCTGGGTGCTGTCCCTGGCATTTCCTGCTCAAGGCTGGTACTCTACACTGGGCCACAGCTCTACTTTTGGCTTTTTGGTGGGTTAGAGATGAGGGTCTTGGTCTGCCCAGGCTGGCTTCAGACTGAGATCCTCAGATCTGAGCCTGGGGAGTAACGGGGATCATAGGGGTGAGCCACCGGCTTCTCAACCAAGCCTCGGAGCTTGCACAAACCTTTCAGGGTGGACTTCTCTGACACACCCTAGAAAGCATCTTCACTGGGCCCAGAGCAAGCTTGGTCTGGACAGGCACCAACCCCCTCGTCAATAAGGCCTACAGGTACTGGGAGCTTACCCGGTCGCCTTTCATTCCCGGGAGGCCTGGGGGCCCAGGCAAGCCGGGGAGGCCCGGGCGGCCCAGGGGGCCCTGGAAAACAAACAGAGCCCCAAGTCAGGGTCTCCACAACACAGAGCACAGCCAAACTTGTGTACTGCATGTCACATGACTCACCTCCACATGCACACTGCACGTCCATGGTTAGCATTGCACAATTTGCGAGTATACCACACATCACATGGCTGTCACATATGCGCCATGTATCACACAACTTTCACACATGCACCACACAGCTAAACTTCACACATGTACTGTGAGTCACATGGTTAACACATCCTCCATGGTACCAAAGACACAGTTTTGAAATTCCACGTTTACATTTTCACACATGGATCAAGCGACCAAAATAAAAGGCCACTGACTAAATAGCCTTTTGTTAATTAGTTTTCTCTCCTGCTTTTCTTTGTTTATTTAGTGCTGGTATTGGGGCTTGAACTCTGGGCCTGGGTGCTGTCCCTGAGCTTTTTTACTCAAGGCTGGCACTCTACCACTTGAGCCACAGCGCTACTTCTAGCTCTTTGGTAGTAATTGGAGATAAGATTCTCACAGATTTCTCTGCCCAAGCTGGCTTTGAATCTCAGTCTTCACATCTCAGCCTCCTGAATAGCTGGGATTATAGGTATCAAGCACTGGTGCCTGGTTCATATTTGTTCTTAAAAAGGTACTCTTAAAAAACTGTTAAAAAATATTTTCCCGAAAGCAGATTGGAGCCTTACTTACCAGTTTGCCAGGCAGGCCTGGGGACCCTGCCGGTCCTGTCTCTCCTCTGCTGCCCTGTGAAGCCACACACATTACTATTAGCTAGCTGCCCAAATCAAATGTTTAAGCACTATGTGAATAAATAACATTCAATCTGTATTTTTATTTATTTAGATATAAAAGTCATCAAAATATTCTCCCTTCAACTGAGGGCAGAGGCGTCTGACACGGCAGGGAGTCACTTCCTGACCCTTCTGGTGCCTTATGTACAGAATGCAGCTCCACTCTGGACTCTGCATTCCTGCAGTGTTGAGACAGGTCTCAGATTGTGTGCGGGGTCTGGAGCACAGAGTCAACTTTCAGCCCTGCAGAACATGCTAAAGAAATGCCTGGCAAATGACCTTCTACCCCAGAAGAGCAAGAAAGAAGCACAGACAGAGATGTTTGCCTGAGAACCACTTCTGCAACTCCAAAAAGCCAGAGATTGTAGAAACTGATGAAGAAATTAGACTTCCTTTCACTTATTCTCACTCTAAACAGTTCTTAAAGAATTAAGTTCTAATGAGACATGCAACTCGTTATGAATATACATCAAGAGCAACATTTATTTTACTTTTTTACTTGAGAGCTGAGTTTGAAAGTGTTTGACATCCTAAACTGGTTTTAAAAAAAATTTTGAGAAAGACACATGCATTCATCAGCTTTGGCTTTTGAGAATTGCATAGAGTCTTATGCAGTCTGATAAAATACTCGTTTTATTTCCAACATGTTCAGCTCAACTGAACACTGAGATTATTAGCTAATAGTCACATTTCCTGGGAATATCTCAATGGCAGCGGCCACAAAAAACTTGTTAAATGACTGATAAACTTGCACAGCCCAGCAGCTGTGATGCTAAACTTACCCTCAGCCGGGACAGAAAGATAATTCTTCGCAGTGATTGATATCTGCAAATCCCTTTCTGACTGATAGCAATAGGATCAAAAGGAGCCAGAGTAAAGACAAACATCTGCTGTCAAACCCATAAGATCAGCCGGGTGCCTCATGCCTGTAATTCTAGCTACTCAGGAGGCTGAGATCTGAGGATAGGAGTTCAAAGCCAACTTGAGCAGGGAAAAGAATCCATGAGACTCTTATCTCCAATTAACCAGTAAAAAGTTTGTGATTCCAGTGGTAGAGTCCCAACCCTGAGCATAAAAGCCAAGTGAGAATGTAAGGCTGGATCAAGCCCTAGTACTGGCACAAACAAACTGTAATCACATGAAAGTACTTTTTTCAACCGGAAATAAGAGCAGAAAGTCATTGTGCCTCTTAAACATCTCGCTTCTGTCTCCTTTCACTGTAAAGAGGAATTCTATATACCTAAATAGCAGTCCTGCATGGTGTTGATCAGCACCAACACCAGCAGGTCTTCACCATCCACGATGAATGGGTGGCATGCACAGGCTTGGGGAGGACCACAGGGGAGGACGGGCAGTGAGCAGAGTTTGGGGAAAGAAATACTCACAGGAAGCCCCCGGGGTCCTCTGGGCCCCTCCTCTCCTGCAGGCCCCTGCTGGCCCTGGTCCAAGAACAAGAACAGAGGGAGCGTCAGTCAGCGTCACTTGGTGACATCCCCTGATGAGAAGGGAAGAGGGTGGCTTACCGGTTTTCCAGAATTCCCCAACAGGCCAGCCTTCCCTGGAGCTCCGGGGCTTCCCTGCGGGTGAAGTGAGCACTCAGAGCAGCCCTAGCCACCTGGCCTGGCCCACACCATGTATACGCCTGGTATATTTGAGTAGCCTTAATCATCTACCCTGTGGCAAGCTGGGAGAATGTAACTCTCTTCCTTCTGTTTTGTGTGTGAGTGTGTGCTTTCTTTCTTTTCATTTTTTTATTTTCTTTCTCTTTATTTTTTGGTAGAACTTTTTAATGAATGCCTCCACATCCTGTAAGTATTGTCTAAGAAGTATATTAAAGGTGATAGGTTAACATTTCTTTATTTAAAGGGATCCCTAGCTGGGCAGAGGTGGCTCATACCTGTAATCCTAGCTTCTCAGGAGGCTGAGATCTGAGGATCACAGTTCAAAGCCAGCCCAGGCAAGAAAGTCCAATTATCCACCAAATTAACCACCAAAACGCCAAAAGCAGAGCTGTGGCTCAAGGGTAGAATGATAGACTTGAGCAACAAAAGCTCAGAGATAGCACCGAGGTCCTAAGTTGAAACACACACACACACACACACACACACACACACACATGGGCACACACACAGGAATCCCTTTTAACTTGAAGATTTTTCTTTCTTCACAGTATTGGTTATATGGATGTTTACCATTTCCAGCATACTTCCTTGGAGCCCTTTTACTCTTATTGATACTGTTTTTAAAAAATGGAGTGGACACCAGGAAACAAAGGGATTGCTATGGAGAACACCTCACCACCCTGCTTCACAAACAGCGTGCTCTGGGAGAAGCCGATGCCGTCCACCTCACAGGCCTTAGTGGGACCCAGCGTGCTCAGGCGTGTACCCGTGGGCCAGTCCACACGCACCACTAGTGCCAGCTTTGCACAAGTATATGTTACCTATTCAATTCTAAAGCAAAGTTGCTTTTTCTTTCATTTTTTTTATGTGTTGTTTTTACTAGCTTACCTTTTGATGTATGTAAAATAAAGTAGTGGCTGATATAGACAAAATACCATCTCTTCAGCTAAAGCTAAATTATCTGAATAACGTCATAAGGCTCTATGGCATCATCTCTCCCTCACTTTAAATAGTAAAAAATAGTAAGCCTATGTTTTATTCTGGCAACGGATAACATTCTCACATAGGAAGTCTAATTTTCAAGTAGGAAAGGATTAGCATTTGAAGTTGTTTACTTTCGGTATTTCTCCTGGGGGTTAAATATAAAGTAAAAGGTAGAATGGAGATATTAAAAAGCATCAAGTGTGTTCTCAAAGGAAACATATCAGTTAAATTTACCTTTTCACCAGCAACACCCTTTGCACCAGGAATTCCAGGTACACCCTGAAAAAAGTGCACACAGAATCTGCTCTCAGTCACCTCCCCGAGATGCGCAGCCCACTGCCGCCAGAGCTCAGACAGCAGCGGCACGCTTAAATGCTAGCGTCAGGGAGCAGCACCTCATTCCTCAGCTCAGTCGGGTGTCCTGTGCCCACTGCGCACAGGGCATTGCGCATCTGTTATCTGGCTTGGTCAGATAACAAACCCTGAAGAGAATCCTACGTATGAGCTACAGTCACCTGTGAAAGATGAGTTTCCATGCTATGGTCTATCACCACGCTCGGGTCAGCAGTGGCCTTCTCAGGCAGAAGAACATTATACAGACAGCACATGGCTTGGGAACAGAGTACAAAAGGAGGAGCGATGAATGTGGTGGGCTTTGGAGTGGAAGAGAGAATGGCAGAAGGATGCCAGGCTCCGGATCTGGCACTCCACACTGCCTCTGATGCCATAAGAAGTACAGGTGCCAGCCAGGCGCCAGTGGCTCATGCCTGTAATCCTGTCTCCTAGAGGCTGAGATCTGAAGATCTTCGTTGGAAGCCAGCACATGCAGACAAAGCCTCCAGACTCTTATCTTCCACTAACTAGCAAAAAGCCAGCATGGGAGGCTCAACTGGTAGAGTGCCAACCATGAGCAAAAAGTGGAGCAAGAGTGTGAGACCCTGAGTTCAGGTCCCAGTGCCCCAACCCCCAAAAGTAAGTGCATGCGTCCAGCAAGGGCCAGTCCTTGTTATTACCAAACTTGTTAATTGGACACTTTTGCCTTCAAAGAGTCAAGAATACATGCCGTGAAACCCATTTGAGGTTTTAGTCACATGCATGCTAAAAACATCACTTTGAGTGTGCTATACTTCAGAGAACCCATACTCTCTCATGAAAGGCCAAACAGTATGAGGAGACCCCCAAATACAAATAATGCTTTTGTTTAGAATGGTTAGAGAAGTTGAAAACTCTTCGGAGAAATAATAATACAAAAGTATACACTAAACTAAAAGTAAAGCATCATGCTGTCTCAAAAGTCACCACACACGGTCACGTGTCTCCCTCTGAATTCAGCGTGACGCTGCGGTGAGCAGATACACAGGCAGGCACTCACCGGTAGTCCCTGGAGACCCGCGTCCCCCGGAGGCCCAGGCTTCCCCGGCTCGCCCTAGGAGACAGCATCATAGCCTCAGCTCATGTACGCTTCTGAGAAACAGTCTTCATCACAGCAGTGAACCTACATAAACCTCTGCCTTCCTTTTAGGAGTCCAGCACTTCTAAGTAAAAAGATTTTTCCAACAGCTGACCTTATATGTGCTTGTAAAGTGTTACTTAATTTAAGGGGTGCGTGGGCTAGGACACAGGGCATCAACTTAGCCAAACACGCCATCTCCCTCCGCCCACTTTCGTCAAACGGGCCACTTTACTAAGTTCCTAAAAGCAACCAGATGAAAAATCCATGTCTGACACTTGATTTGAAAATTAAAGGTCTAGACAAACCTTCTGGAATGCTGTAATGGAAATGCTGTGTTCAGCTGACCGGGGCACAGACAGCCCCATTCCTCCCCATAGTCACACAGATACCCAAAGTGACACAGTCTACCCGAAGTCACACAGCTACTCGAAGTGACTCGGACACCCAAAGTCAGACAGACACCCAAAGTGATGTGGACACCCACCTTTGTTCCTGGCATTCCAGGGATCCCATCTCGGCCATCCACACCCGGCAAGCCCTAAAGACACACGAAGAGGTACATGGTCTTAGAAATACAAGCCTTACTCTTCTTCCCTACTGCATAGGCTAAAGGTTTATTCCGAGCCAATCACCCGGTCAGGACCTACCGCGTCCCCTTTGGGTCCTGGGAGTCCGTGCAGTCCCCGAGGGCCTTGTCCTCCCTGTGGGCAGAGGAGAGAACAGACAAGACTGTGCTGTGCAGGCCATGTCCTGGGAGGAGAATGCCAGCACCCTGCTTGGGTCAACTGAGCTCACCCTGTCTCCCTTGGGCCCGGCTTCACCCAGAGGTCCTCGCTGCCCTTGGTCTCCCTGTGTGAAAACATGGGCAAACATTATTTACTGTTGTCTTTTCAAAATTAGAAAACATCACTCATGTTATTCAAACATTGTTCTGTCATTGACTTCAATCTACTGTAGATGCCTAAGTTCAAGAACCCTGTTTATAATAAGGCCTTGAAAACTGACATTGCCAGCCAAGTGCCAGTGGTTCATGCCTGTAATCCTAGCTCCTCAGAAGGCTGACAGGAAAGACTATGAACCACTTACCTCCAATTAACCACCAAAAAGCTGGAAGTAGAGCTGTGGCTCCAGAGGTAGAGCGCCAGCCTTCAGTGAAAACACTCAGGGATAGCGCCAGGCCCTGAGTTCAAGCCCAGGACACAAAAGAGTTGGTATTGCCATCAGGACTGTTTTCATTTGAAATGCACAATGGATGAAGGAAGTTCCACACTACAGCCAGCAATTAGAACCCTGCATATAAGCAATCAGTTTGCATCTAAATACAAGCTAATCCTGTGCACTGTGACTGTGATCTAGGTTCCAATTTGTCACCAGTTATTTAATTCCCATCAGTAATAATGATTTCTGTCCCAGCTACCAGGCTCCTGTTACATCTGATTCAAGCAGCCTCACAGAGGAGTACCTGTGACATAGCTTTTCTGAATGGCCTGACCACCCCTATCCTTGGCTGATTCAGATCAAAGTGCTCAGCTTGGCATTGCACATTCTTCTTTAGAATATGGTTCTCCCTGTCTCCTCAGTCTCAGCTCTAGGAAGTCCCTGGCTCTAGGAAGCAGTGGCATGTGTATGATACTTTATGAAGCATATTCAGTCCATCCCCTCCTGCCTACCAACCCAGATTGGCTCTCCAAACCAACCTTCTCTTAAGTCCTCTTGCATGGACAGGTGGTTCATATGCTCTAGCCTTTGATTGATTGATTGATTGATTGTGTGTGTGTGTGTGTGTGTGTGTGTGTGTGTGTGTGTGTGCTGATTCTGACCTCTGGGCTTCATGCTATTGCTTTATATTTTCCACTCATAGTTAGCACTCTAATACTTGAGTCATGCCTCCTGTTCCAGTTTTTTGTGGGTTAGTTGGAGCTACAAGTTTTGAGGGGTCATCTGCTGCAGCTGGCTCTGAATCACCATCTTCAGGTCTCGAGCTCCTGAGTGGCCAGGATTATAGGCATGAGCCACCAGTGTCCAGATCTAAGTACTAGATTTTGTAGTTTATCAGTTACACTGGGCTACAGGACCTTGATAGTGAGAAATTCTGTTTATAGCTTTCCTACTTTTTCTGTGTGATTCCTAATGGATCAGGGTTTTATCTATTTACTCCTGAAAGAGGCTTGAGGCATCCATACATATGATCATCAAAGTATGGGAGAATTAGCTCAAAAACCACAGTAGCAGAAAGTTAGAACAACCCAGACCATGAGTCAGGCCGCCTGATGTCCGAGCAAAAAGGACAGCATAGAAAACAGAAATATTTCATTGAAATACTTAAATACCTAAGATGAAGATTTAAATGATGCTTACTCTATAAAAATATCAAATTGACACTGGCACCAGTAGCTCACTCCAGTAATCCCAGTTACATTGGAGGTTGAGAGCTGAAGACTGCAGTTCCAAGCCAGCCTGGGCAGGAAAACCCATGAGTCTCTTTAACCACTGAAAACTTGCAAGTGGAGCCATGGCTCAAGAGGTAAAGCACCAGCAAACTCAGCTCAGGGATAGTGCCCCGAGTTCGCCCCAAGACAGGCACACATACTTACAAAATCACATTGGAGGACTGTATCTCTGTGCTCAAAGGAAGATCATAAGTTTTAAATAAATACAATAACTTTTGACTGTGTTCCCATTCTTAATTATTCACATGCACATGCTATTTGTGCATACACACAAATATATGTATTACAATCATCTACTATTGCTGTAAGCATGTGAATACAGACCCCCACTTACCGGTGCCCCAGGGATACCCTGTGGCCCAGGCTCCCCATCCAAGCCCCGAGCACCCTGCAGAAAACAAGACAAAGAAGTCAAACTGACATTGGTCACGTTTGTTTAATGAGATATGTCACATATGCTAAATAACAGAACCATTTTCTTAAGGAAATGAGACAGCCAGATAACAAGAGAGTGTGTGTTTTAATACAGAGTGCATCAGTGAGCCCCTTGACTATCTAATCAGGTGTGAAACCTAGTTGACATCTGCTCATCTCACCCACAGTACCTCAGTGACCTCACTCACACCATGCTGGGTATTTTAAGTTAATATTGCATCTCAACCACAAGATCTAAGAACGCTGGTGCTTACTGGGGCCTGGCGGTCACCTTCTGGGTCTTCAGATGGCTGTGGGGCTTCACCAGTGGTGAAGCCTCATCCTACCCCCACGGGCACCTGGACAGTGCCGTGGGAGGGAATCCCAGGACTCGGGGCCTATCCAGATCTCTGAAAAGTTAACCCGTGTCATCCAAAAAAGCAAACTCTTAGGAGCCCCCTCTCCTCCTCCTGGCTCAGGCTACGTGTGTGGATGTGCAGTGATGACAAGACTTCTCCTGAGCTTCAATCAGCTGCTGACGTGAAAATGGCCTCTGTCTGACTATCTTATTTTCACTATAACAATCAAATGTGATTTCAAAGCAAAAAACTGTGTTGGGTATTTTCTCAAAATGTTCTTTGACAAAATGTAACCTCATCTTGAAAGTGAATAAGATATCAGCAAAGTAAGTGAATCACATATGACGATGGGAGAGAGCGGGGCTGGGAACTGTGAAGCAGTCGGTGCATTCGATCACCATCCCGTGGGAGACCCGTCTGTCATAAGAATTAAAACACAGAAAGCTCTGGATAGCAAGTTCAGACAGAACTACAGGCAAATCATGAGAGGAGCAAAAGGACCACAGAGCCTTGGAAGTGTTCATTCCTGAGCATTAGAGCTGAGCAGGCATTCCAGTCACCAGAGGAGAGGGTTGTAAGATCCAACAAAGAACTTGCATTCATCATTCGCCTTGAATTAGAGGAGTGAGCCCAGCTTGTGCATGATGGAAACGGCTTTAATGGTCTCAGACAGCCCCCTCTGCCTGCCTGCCATCTCAGCACACAGTGAATGAGTGAATGAACAAAAGGCAGGCAGGCAAGGGGGCGGTCAAGCGGGAGGGAGGGAGGGAGGGAAGGAAGGAAGGAAGGGAGGGAGGAAGGGACAGAAGGAGGGAGAAAAACAGAAAAAAAGAGAGAGAAAGAGAAAGGAAGGAAGGAAGGAAGGAAAGGAGGGAGGGAGGGAGGGAAGGAGGGAGGGAAGGAGGGAAGGAAGGAAGGAAGGAAGGAAAGAAGGTTGGTTATTTTAAGTGGCCTAATCTTAATCTTAAAATGCTTAATACCCGGTGCTATGACAGCATTATCATCACCATCTTACCTTTTCTCCTTTGTCTCCAACAATGCCAGTGATGCCTCTCAAGCCTTGCATTCCCTGAAACGTAAATGAAGAGTCTGTTATTTCATTTACAGTGTCCACTTCTGAAAGTTTACGTTCTATCACAGAAGCTAATCTGGGCATTCGTTTTGATTTTTAATCACCAAGAGTAAGACTATGACTGGGCCTGGTGGCTCCTGTCTGCCCTCCCAGCTACTCAGCAGGCAGCGCTGGGAGCCTGCCTCGGGAGCCTGCCCTGGGCAAAAAGTACAACTGTTTGAAAAGCAAACTGAAGCTAGAATGGCTGGGGTGTGAGCTAGGAGCTAGTATTTTAGCATGGGATCCTGAGTTCCAACCACAAATACCAGCAAAAAATAAAAATTAGAAAATGGTAACACTAAGAAATAGTCATTCTCTAGCCAATTTTTTCTGGTTAGTAAAGAAAAAAATCCAAGAATTCTAGTGGTGAATTATACTTTTATAAAATTTGGTAGGCTTACCCAAACCTTATGCCAATTGAGTTGGCACAATTACCAATGTCAGAGCCTATAAAATTAAAAAAAAGATGGTTCAGAGCTAGACACTGGTGGTTCATACCTGTGATCCTAGCAACTCAGGAGGCTGAGACCTGGAGGACTGTGGTTTGAAGCCAACCAGGGTTGAAAAGTCTGTGAGACTCCATTCACAGACTAGCCAGCAAAAAGCTGGGCTGGAGGTATGGCTCAAGTGGGAGAGCACCAGCCACGCAAGCAAACTTCACACCCTGAGTTCACACTGCAATCCCATAAAAAAAAAATCATGCATCTTTTACATTAGCCACCCCTCTCTTCCATGTGTGAAATAAGCATCCAACTCTTAGCAAAGTGCCAATCTGCACACCTCTTTGAACCCTGTTAAAAGCTTGTCCATTGAGGATGTGCAGTGTAAGCAGCACCACACTGCAGCTTAAGAGATTCGCTCTTCATGGGAAGACATGGCTCGTTGGGACCAGAGCTCACACCTGTAATCCTAGCTACTCAAGACACTGAGATCTGAGGACCGCAGTTTGAAGCCAGCCTGGGCAGAGGTTCATGAGACTTATCTCTAATTAACCAGCAAAAAGCTGAATGTAGAGGCCTGGTTCAAAGTGGTAGATCACCAGCCCTGAGCAAAAAGCTAGGCAAGAGAGAAAAGCTCTGAGTTCAAGCCTCAGGACTGACACACACAAACACAAGAAGACATGGTTAGGATCAAGTGGCACTGTGGTAGGTGTAATGCTCACACACTGGACCAAGTTGCATTAACCCGGTGCTCATACGCCCACGCCAGGCAGGATGCACTCTGCTTCCATCATCCCATGTAAAAGCACTATGGTATTGAATAAATACACCCTCCTGTGCTCACCATTTGCTTTCCACTCGCCTGGCTCTATATCAGCTATATGGAGAAGGTTTTATTTGCTAAAAAGATGCTCATATGTATAATGGGGACCTTTTTCTTATTTCAAAAAAAAAAACAATTATCTCCCAAAGACACGTTGGTGAGAAAACAGAGAATATCACGTTCAGATTATTATTTCAAATGCTATCTTGAAGTTACTCGGCGTCGTTTTTCGCACATTTGTACATTGTGGATGAATAGTTTTAAAAGCACATTACTGGAGGGCCTTGAGCGCCAACTTCTCCCAGTTCTCCCTGGTCGCCTTCTTCACCCTGAAAAACACCACCAGTGAGTACAGAAAGAGGCCTGGTCTCTCTACTAACCATGTACATCCACTTGACATCCCAGGATTATTCTACTACACTCTCTTACATCAGTTTTGTGGGTAATCCATATTCATCACAGAATCTCAGATACCCTGAGAATACTAACAAATAAAAGCCACTCAAATCCCACCATTCTCCCATAGGTGAACAGCACAAAGCTGCTCAATAATCGTAACTTTAAAACAATAGACGTGGAAGGAGCAATTCATTATCATTTTTAGCAACAGCTGTTTGAATGAATAAACGCTGGTCTATAATGTTGCCAGCCCTGTACCTTATTTATCAAAGTTTCAGTGTCCATTTCTCCATCCATAAGCAAGTTTAAAATGTTCCTAATCAATTTACAGAATAAATTCAGGGCAAAATTAAGAGACTGAATGCAACCTTCCCGCCTCCAGGCTTTGCTCCATCATCGGCCTCCAGCTTGGGGTTAGTCCACCTGTGAGGTGCCCCGCTCATTCCTCAATGACCTGCTCCGTCCATCCCCTTCCCTCCCTTCCCAAAGACACCATTTAAAGCTTGACATGACACAAACTGTGAGACAATCTGAAGGAATGTCAGATTGTTACATTAAATGAAAAAAAATATGGCCATTTCACAACAGTTTCAAAATCAGTTCCCCACTGAAGACAATCCCGGTTTTGGATGACAGATGACTGGCTGTACTGTCAGGGCAGGTTCAGGGCAGGACGGAGCGTACTTGGTGCCCAAAAGAAGCAAAACAGATGCCGAGGCCAGGAAAGGACCGAAGACCACTGTGAGCTGGACTGGCTCTGCAGAGCTCCTCACCAGCACATGTAACTTAGGTTCATTCCATGCTTATCTTTATATATACTATATAATATATATTTATATATGTCATATTTAATGTGCCCAGTCCCCTGGGGTTGGACATGCATTCTTCAAGCCTGTGTTCCCAGCACTTTGCATAAACCATGGCATACATAAACCTGGTAAAATATTTTTCGTATCTTCAAAATTACAAATTTTAAGATTCAATTGGGGAATAGGTATGTGGAGACATTTCCAAAGTACACAGTATTTTTCCTGTCTTACTCCAATTTAACATCAGAAACCCAGTGTTGCCTTCTAGATAAGTAAACCGCTTCAATTATTCACAGACTAAGTAACAAAAGACTTAAAAAATAATGCCCAAACTGTAATACTGTACAGAAAATTGGACTATTTATCCTGATTATGTTATTCAACAGATTAATTTTAGGCAAGGAGTTAAAAGGATACTAATGATTAATGACATTCATGAACTGCCTAAACAACTCTTCATTTCTCAAGAAAAAGACCTCACAGCAAGCATTTCTTGAAAGAGAATAAAATATAAAAGATCATACTTCATTACTCCCTATAATAATTCCTTATAGTTATAATTCCAGTGACTACCACTTCCTGATCACAATTTAACAGTTACTTTCCTTACCTTGTGTCCTTGTCTTCCTGGTTCTCCAATTTCCCCTTTGGCCCCTTTATGACCCTGAAAATACAAAAATCAATAGGTAAAATCATATGAGGCTTGGCACCAAAAGTAGTCAGAAGGTTCATAGCCTGTCATCCTACCTACTCAGGAGGCTCAGCTCTGAGGATCTTGGTTGAGAGCCAGCCCGGGCACTCGACTCTTATCCACAATTAACCAGCAAAAAAAATCCAGAAGTGCAGCCCGGATACCCCACAATAGATGAGTGGATCCCCCCAAAAATATGGTGCCTATACACAATGGAATTTTACAGGACCACTATAAAGAATAACATTACATCATTTGCAGGGAAATGGATGAACCTGGGAAAAAAATCATGTTAATGAGGTAAGCCAAGCTCAGAGACACAAATGACCTGTTTTCTCTCATGTGGAGGCTAGATCTAAAATACACCGGACATGTAAATTATTCAGGACTCTAGCCATTGACACACAGTGAGACCAAAGGAGGATGCTCTTAGGGGAGGAACACAAAGGCACAATGCCTGTGGCCATCTGGTCATATATAATAATATATATTGAAATGAACTCCAGGAAATGGAAACAAGAAGTATTTTTTTCTTTATTGTTTTTCTTTTCTTTTGGTCTTGTTTGTTCATTTCTCTGTCTTTGGGAGGGTAAGGAGGACACAGAAATGGAGGATAAAGGGTGAACAGATGCACCTGAAGCACTCACTAGACACTATGTGGAAAAAATGACTATACAACTTGTGGGTGGGGTGGAAGGGAAAAACTGGGAGAGAGTGAGGGAAAGGGTGACATTGTCCAAAAAGAAATGTAGTACTTGCTTGACTTATGAAACTGTAACCCCTCTAATCATCCCATAATAGAGATTTTTTAATATTTAAAAAAGAAAAAAATAAGCCAGCTGGACACTGGTGGCTCAGGCCTGTAGTCCTAGTTACTCAGGAGGCCAAGATTTAAGGGCAGCGGTTTAAAGGTCGTGAGACTCTTAACTCCAAGAGACTACTCAGAAAAAGCTGGAAGTGGAGCTGTGGCTCAAGTGGTAGAGCGCTTGCCTTGAGTAAAAGAAGCTCAGGGATAGTGCCCAAGCCTTGAGTTCATGCCCCAAGACCAGAAACAAACAAAAAAAGGCCAGAAATAGAGCCATGGCTCAAATGACAGACTGTCAGTGCGTGTGCATGTGCGTGCGCATACAGTATGCCACTCTGCTGCCTTAAATATCCTTATGAGCATCATGTGTATTACACAGATGTTGTATATAATAGATACCAGCTTTAGTTATTTGAAAACCCTGTTCTAGACTGCTCTCACTCCATCAACCAGCTCAGCAGCATGATCTGTAGGTCTGCCTCCTCCTGCTGAGATCCCTCTTTCCCAGGCTTGCTCCCTCCAAAGCTGGCTAAGAGCCCAGAATCTTCTGCACCCAGAGATTTCTGGAAGCCACAGTCCCGATCTCACTGTCTCCTGCTCTCTGGAGCTGCTCTGAACCCTCCTCCTTATCCTGCTCCTTTCTAAAAGTGAAGGAAAAGCTAGGGTCTAAGTGGGACTCTCAGATGCACAGCTTTTGGTCTCTTTTTGTGCCCAATGTTGAACTTAGGGGTTAATCTTTCCTGTCAAAGTAGTTGTTTGGCCTAAGCACCATTATTTTAAGGGTGGGTTCCATCTTAATTAAACCGAAACTAAGATTCAGAGATAACAGAATGAAAACCATTGATCTCCAAGGTTTAGCATTTATTCTTTTGACTTTATGAAATATTTTGAAGTAATTATGATGGCAGATTGAGAGAAAAATATAGGAAAGTCAAATCTTTCTGCTTATATTATATAGTTTTTCTACTTTAAATCTTAATGAGTCTCAAATAGATGATATACAAACTGTTCCCTACTCCCATGGCTCTTTCTCCCTATGAGGTCCACTTGTGACCCTTGATTTTGTATTGAGTCTCAATCGTTGATTTTGTATTGAGTCTCAATCGTTGTGTGTGTTTGCTTGCACACTCATGTACATACATGTGCACAAATACCAACACTGGGATTAAACTCAAGGTTGGGCACCGTGTCTCAGATTTTTCGCTCAAGGCTGATACTCTACTGCTTGAACTACAGCCCCACTTCTAGATTTTTTTTTATGGTTAATTGTAGGTAAGAGTCTCAGACTTTCCTGCCAGGACTAGCTCTGAACTATGATCCTCACTTCTCAGCCTCCTGAGTAGCTAGGATTATAGATTTGAGCCACCAGCACCAGCAAATCCAGTCTATTTTTGGCATCTCTTCCCTGAACTAAAGACACAACTATAATTAAGCACCTGGGTCTCTAGAGCACCTGTCAGGAAGAGCAGCCTGCATTTCCACGTTGAATCCCCACTACAGACTAAGTAAACTCAGACTTTACCAGGGGGTCTGTACAACAAGTACGCCAGTGTTTGAAGTAAAGGCTCCATTTCCACACTTTGGAAAATAAAATAGTGAGATTGTTCTCTTACCCTCATGCCTGGTAGGCCTGGATATCCGGAGCGAGCTGGTGGGCAGGAATTGGGACACTGCCGCAGAGAGAGAGAGAGAGAGAGAAAGAGAGAGAGAGAGAAGGGGGGATAATCTAGATTCATACTTTACAACAAGGTGGATTTTTCTAAAAGATTCAACATATTGAACCACAATGTACTATTGACATTGAATAACTGAAAATGTCCTTTTCCTTTATAAAATTTTACTTTTATGCTCAAATATTCTAGTTGCAGGAAAAATGTTGACAACACAGCAAACACATTCCATGTCAACCATCTATATTTAATAACTGTTAACATTTTGCCACATTGATCTTAAATCCAATGATTAAGGATATGAAATGTTAGCTGGATTCAGGTGTCTCTCTCCTGTAATCACAGTTACTCAGGAGGCTGAGATCTGAGACATCGAGGTTCAAAGCCAGCCCAGGCAGGAAAGTCCATGATACTCTTATTTCCAATTAACCACCAAAATCCCAGAAGCAAAGCTGTGGCTCCGGTGGTTGAGGACCAGCCTTTAACACAAAAAGCTATGGGACAGCACTAAGACCCTAAGGCCCCAAGGCCCTGCATTCAAACCCCAGTACTAACACACACACACACACACACACACACACACACACACACACACACACACACACACACAAGTGTGCCACAGCCGTAATACTGCCTAGTCCATCTCCCTCCACTTCCCTTACTAAATGGCCAAAATGGCACATATTACGGCAGCCATCATCATTGCACAAGTGGTCTGTATATAAATCAATGCCTAAAACTGGGTGCTTTAATGATATCACATCTTAGGCATGAAGTCTACAGAAGAACAAAACATTGCAATAATGAAAATCTGCTATAGCCTGACTGGGAATAAGCCACAGTATCCTCTTGCTTCAAACTGTTCTGACATTTCAGGAAAAGTAAAATGCAGAAGCACAAAACATTTCAATGACAGTTCATCTGACAACTAATGGCCTCTGAATTAAAACTATATTTTCTTCAAAGAAAAATATCTTACCAGTGGATCTCCATCATGAAATCCAATTGTTCCCTAAAGCAAATAAAATAGGAAAGTTAGGACTATAAATAATTAACTCAATCCTATTACTATAAATCCCCTGAGCAATACTGTAATAAATACATCTGTTTCATAAAATGCAAGGGAGAACTAGCAGCATACGATATGCTGATATGCTGAGGACTGGACTCAGGATCCCTACTGCAAACTCCTCAACTGCAGTAATGATTTCTTCAGGGAGATAAGATGAGAGGCAGAGCAGAAAAACAGAGAGATTGCTCAGGTCCAAATTAAAACACAGATTATCTCCATATTTTAATTCCTATATTTTAAATTTGTTAGTATGAAGTCTTAGTAAAAACTAGTTCTTTCAAAACTTCTTCTTTTATATGAGCATTTAGGAAATCTCACGGGTCAAAGACTTCAAAAGTAGTGAGTAAAACTTGCTCTGTGAAAAATCACTTTTCCCTTGATTGTGTTCCCTCTGCTTTTCTGCCCCTAAGAGGAAAAACGGTGCTCTGATGGCATGAAAAACTTGGTAGCCATTTCAGAAGTGCAGGACAATGGCCCAGTGAATATGCACTTCCATTTTTGTTTCTTACAGTTCTTCAATCCCCACACTCGGAGCAAAGAGAAAATCAAGCTGCAATAACTTACGCTGGGCCCTGGAGGGCCGGGGGGCCCCGGGGGTCCTCTCTTCCCAGGGTCACCCTAAAATCATCAGAAAATTGAGATACAGTGGTTTCACAAAGCTCAAACACAAAACAGTAAACCACAAAGGCATGTGAAAATGTATTACTCAAAACCCCTACAGAGCTCAGTCATGCATAAAACCTGCCACCAAGGTCCAATTTAGTTCCATAAAACCAAATAATAGAGGCCTAAGATCATCAAAGCATAAAATAAAACTATGGGAGATTCAGGGGAAAAAGTAAAACCACTTTTGTTTTCTATATGACAATTAATCTGCTCTGAAAACAAACTGGAATTCCTTTGTGTTTCCCTAGTTGACTGACAAGGAACTAGAGCAGTCCATCCTGCTAATGCCATCAGATGACTGGAGCAGAGAGGAGTGCTCAGCCAGGCTGAAGCTGGGGCAGGGGTGGGGCGGCAGGCCTCTGCGGGGCCTGAGTCTTGTAGCTGAGGCTCATAGGAGCTCCAGCCAGGCTGAAGCTGAGAGGGGGGTAGCAGGCCTCTGCCGGACCTGAGTCTTGCTCTGAGTCTTGTAGCTGATGCCCATCTAGTCCCTCACTTCGCCTGTCACTGGATTCTTGCAATGGAAATAAATGCAAAGAAGGCTAAATTCAAATAAGCTGTTCAGATAACAATAGATGCCAAGCCAGTTTGGCAGACTCTCAACTGTAACCCCAGCTACTCAGGAGGCTGAGATCTGAGGATCATGATTCAAAGCCAGTCTGGCCTCGGAAGCCTGTGAAAGCCCCAAAAAGATAGGAATGGAGCTGTGGTTCAAACGGCCAAGCACCAGCCCTGAATAAAAAAGCTAAAACACAGCACCCAGGCCTTGAGTTCAGTCCTTAGTACTGGTACAAATAAGTGGGTTTATTCTAAACATTTAATGTTCATGCTCATTAGTAATATTACTCTTGTCTACATGTTTTCCTTCTTGATGTTATGCCAATAAAAGCAAGAAACATAATTACTTTAAATATACAATCATTTCATATTTTTTTGCTCCGTAAGTGAATTTGCAAATAAAAAGTTCATGTAGAAAAACAAGAAAGGTGCTGGGTTCAGTGTGTGGTTCAAGTGGTAGAGCACCTACCTAACAAGTACAATGCCCTGAGTTCAATCCCAATGTGGTCAAAACAACAACAAAAATAGGGTATATAATATGGCACTCTTTCCCTAAATGAGTTTTCAATGATCTATCTTCTCATAACATCAGTACTTCAACTTTTAGGATATGTGTGCAGAATATCTCCATGAAGCCCTTTTGCCAGAAAGAGCTCTGTGAAGTTGACCTCATTCATGTTTAAGTGTTTAAGTTAAACTTTAATAATCTACACATGAAAATGAATAGGCTACTTTTTATATCATGTGGGAAATCTCACATAAAGCCTCTGGACCCCAATCCTAGCTGAGAGTCTAGTAAAAGGGTTCACCCCTTACTTGGGGAAAATAGTCTATCTGAAAACTTGCACAAACAAAAGAAACAAAAAACAAACCACACATTAAATTCTCTTGGTAGCATTTTCATCCCATCAATATGCTGAGCTGGAATAAAATTCACCTGTCATCTTTGGAGCTTCAGGCAGAAGCGTGGAGTGAGGATGATTGACTCTCTGTGGTAATATTGTTAGCAAGTCAGCAAAGACCTAGCACAGGGCAGCGGGTACTCACACTGGGTCCAGCACGGCCGAGTTCTCCGGGGAGGCCCGATGTCCCAGGAGGGCCCTGTGGGCAAAGCAACAGGTGACTCCTAGCACTGGCAGAACTGAGAATCTGTGCCAGAGCTGGCTCCCAATGAAGCACTAACATCTGAGAAAACTCTAATGACAAAAAGAGCAGAAATCTCCTACATTTGTAAATATTTTCTTTAGCAGAAGAATAGGGGATGATCGTGAGCAGCTACCTAAGGTCACTTAGAAAACCCTATACACTTCACTGGTGGGAGTGGAAATAGCAAAGCCAGACCAGATTTAAGAAGTAGATCATTTTTTTTAACACATGGTATTTCCAGAACGATGATGTAATACGTACAGGGGGTCCAGGAATGCCACGGCCCTGAAAGAGTAAGATAAAATGTTCATGGTGAGCATATCAGACCCAAGTACAGATGCACATAGCTACATAAAACGTTCATGGCCAGCATATCAGACCCAAGTACAGATGCACACGGACGTGAGCCATGGAAAACCAGAAGGCCCTAACACTAAACATGCCATACTCATCCTAAGAAATGAAAAGGAGCAACTTGCCCTACTCCTAAGCTATGCTAAAGACTTCATGCGTGCAAAGAGAATCAAAGTGAAGAAGGCTTTGGTGCTGATCATCAGAGGGTTTATGCCATTCTAGGCAGATCACAACCAGACCATTGTAAATCTTTGTTTACAGTGTTTTATTGATTATATTATTAATTACAGTGGGCATAAAGAATCCTACACCTGAGACAATGTAGTTTTACAGGTTGTAATAAAAGAGGTTTAGAAATCTCCCTAAACATGCTATCGTCATAGAAAAGCAAAAAAAAAAAAAATACATTTCCATTTGACAGGTGGAGCTATATTTCTAGACACAAAATCTAGAATATTATTTTTAAAATCTAGTAGACATTAAAATAAAGTGCTGCAATCCTGAAGTCACCTACAATGAGATCCTAATTTGACTATGTTAAATATATTTTTTATTTATTTAGTGCCAGTACTGGGGCTTGAACTCAGGGACCAGATGCCGTCCTTTAGCTTTTTCACTCAAGGCTGGCACTCTACCACCTGAGCCACAGCTCTACATTTGGCTTCTTGCCCATTAACTGAAGAGTCTCACAGACTTTTCTGCCTGAGCTAGTTTTGAACCACAAACTCAGATCTAGGCCTCCTGAGTAGCTAGGATTCCAGGTGTGAGTGGCCAGCACCCAGCCTGTTTTTGTTTTGTTTTGTTATTTTTTGTTATCTTTAAGTAGTTGTACCAAGAGGTTTCAATTCCACATGTCAGTTTTTGGGTGCAATCATTGCACCTTGATCAATGTCACCCCGTCCACGTTCTCCACTCTCAATCTGCCCCAAGTTAAATTTGATTTTAAAGTTAGTCATTCTTCCCCCACTCCTTTACATTTCCTAACCCTTATCAACACCAGGCTAGCGGCAATCAGGGACTGAAGCCACATTCTGTTCATTTCCAAGCACAGAGCTAGTCTGTTACCCACTCTGAGAATGTGCTTGCTATGCTGAAAACTGAACCCTCGCTGGGTTTTCTACCTTCGAGTTCCAGTTTTAATTCCCCTTTGGGATTTCTTGTTATTCTTTCTCCTGCCCACATTGGCTACAATAGCATTTATTCACAGCTATTTGATATCATCTTCCTGCTAGCTTTCATTCCAGTCTTGCTTTCCTGCAATCTCCATAGTAAAGAATCACCCAGAATCCACACAGGGCCTGTGGTAGTGACACTGTTCTTTCTAGTTATTGAGACAACCAAAACAAGTTCTTCATAGTATGCTAGGCTTCTCAAAGTATTCTTTGAAACATTCCTCATGTGTACACATAGATCAGTTTGAGAAGCAAGTGTTATGACTGAATATAACAATTAATCATGTATTTCATTACTAGAGTTGGATGTTGGACAGATTTCTATATAATGTTGATATCTGAATTAAACAGAATATTTCACTGCTGAAAACAGGCAGCCAGTGCAGAAACTCACAGGTGCAATGAAGCAGTACACATTGGGGAAAAGGAGCAGAAACATACAGATGGATGACAAGAGCAAAAGAGAAATAAAGAGGAAAAGCAGAAAGGAAAAGTCATGCACAATGTAGGACTGGGTGGTGGTGGAAGACTAGTCTACCAATTAGAGCGGCGACAATCTCTCACTGGTTGAAATTACACTTGTGATAAACCCACTTGTGAAGACCGCTGTGAAGCATGGTCTGACCATTCGTAGTTAGGCCTGCCGATTTTATGCAAGGAATGTTTTCTAGAAATGAGGTAGAGAGGATGTCATTTACAGAGAAATACTACCAGCAAATAGAAATATGCACTTCATACCATACATTCAAATATCTCTAAGATTTTTCCACTCATAATAGGAACATTGACCACTTCCTTCTGTCTTAAGTAGAACTCTGCATTAACTGTTGCTGACAGCATATGTCAGAATTTTACCTAAGAATAGGAGGCTTCCACTTATGTGGTTTTGTAGCTACTTACAGGAAATCCTCGAGATCCAGGAATTCCAGGCTCTCCCTAAAAAATAAAGGGAGCTTCGTTGCACTTGGCTTTCATAGCACAAATATATCAACAGGCAACCTGCACAGATATTGAAACCAGTAAAACTCTCTATCTTGGTATTTTTAGACCCAAACTTTGCTGGAAAAAGTGTTTTATCTGGCTTGTAGTAGTTTAGTTGACTTGTATTGTTTATTTTAAAATATTTTAGCTTATTTGAAAACACTACAATAAGAGGATACTTCAGCATTTCATCCCAACTCACAATTAGACTGTGGCTCACTTACTTTTTGGCCTCTAGGTCCAACAGAGCCAGGAGATCCATCAGGTCCTGTTAGTCCCTGACAAAGCAAGATCTGATGTTAGAGCCACCATCGTACTCGTTGGCAGACTGCTGGGCAGAGCTTCTTCATTTTGTTGATTATCTACAGGATAGTTGCATTATGTATAATGCAAATATTTACAAAGTAATACTGCTCCATGCTCTTACTCAAAAGTAACATTTGGCATGAGATCTGCTTGCTGCTTATTTTCTATTTAAAAATTATAACATATTCCTAAATTTCTGGTAACTGTCCTTTGTCAGGAGGTTCAATAATCCCATATTGCCTTCTGTGTCTGCTTGGAGACAAAGCAATTACAATGCCCTAATCCCTAAGTCTATAATTATGATGTCCTAACCCCTAAATCTATTATTTATGGTCCATCAGTTTTGCATTTCTCTACATCAATTTTTCTGACGACTCCACAGAGTGGATCAAAGAAATCAGAAAAGTATTTTAAAATGATAGGTGCTGGAAATTTGCTGAAGACAAAAATTATTAAACCACATGCAAAGGAAATTTCAACAAACTGTCTTTGATTTTGTCTTTTGCCTAACTACAGCTCTGTAATCTGGGCACACCTGGACACAGGTGTTGAGCTCTGGGGAGGTGAAGGTCATCTCCACGTTTCAGCAAAGAGAACGCACAATGGGAGCACGCCTCACCCCTTGTGCAGGGCGCAAAAGTCAGAACCCTCGGCCCTCTAACTCCACCTGCCTGCCCTCCAGCGCCCATCCCTGCCCATGTTCTGCATGCAAGTAGCTCATCTTCTTCCACGGTGACTGGGTTGACCAATAATGATAACGGGCAATAGCTACTCCAATAATGGCTGGACCACCCGGAGGCCACGTCCAGCAATAAATCATCCATAGGGTGTGGTGAGTTGGGTCTGTTACTGGAACGTTCTCTGAATTAAGCTGAGGATGGACTGTGGTATTGGCAGCACAGTGGCACCAACCCTGTGGGAAAGGCAGCCCCTTGGGACACGGTGGTCTCCATGTCTGCATCCGGTCTAGCCAGCTGCCCAGCACACAGCACGCTCAAAACCAGACACTGAATAGGATGAGCATAGCTGGCCTTTGCGGTGTTCGAGAAGTCGGGGTGTCACTCAGCACCTGTATTTTGGGCTCAGATCCTGACTGCTATGGAGTGGCTGTGCAGCTCTGGGCAGGATGTGTGACCCTGAGCTTGAGCCTTCCCATTCCCACACAAAACCTCAGCACTGTCCTTCTCCATAACATTACCAAAGTACAAGCTTCACAAACAGCCAAATAACAGAAGACAAAGAAAGTGGAAGTTTAAGGTCTTTGAGTTCACCACTAAGGAAGCAATTTGGAAGCTTGTCAATTTGCTTGGTTTCCTTATAGCCAGACATAAACCCAAGAACCTGTGGTCTAGTTTCTATTTCATTATTCTCAAAATGTCCATTCTTAATTACAGTTAAAAAAAAGTTTTAGGGCTGGGAAGTTGGCTTAGTGGTAGAGCGCTTGCCTTGCATGTCTGAGGCCCTGGGTTCGATTCTTTAGCACCATATAAGCAAAAAGAAAAAAGCCGGAAGTGGTGCTGTGGCTCAAGTGGTAGAGCGCTAGCCTTGAGCTGAAGAGCTGAGGGACAGCACTCAGGCCCAGAGTTCAGGCCCCACGACCGGACCCCCCCCTCCAAAAAAAAAGTTTTAAATGTTAAATCAACCAAAGAGTAGAAGAAGAAAATTGTAAGTTCCAGAAGTCCTGGCAACCCAAAAGTTGCCATCTATAAAACACACCAATAATTACAATGATAAAATAAAATTGTTTATAAATGATTAATAGACACTGACTTATCACTATCATGATTAATATAAAAATCATTGTCATCACTGTCCTTCCTGTTTTCTCCAATTGTTCACCTATTAAGAACCTCAACTTTATCTGCATGAGGCAGACCTGAAGAGACTGAACAAAAAAAATTGACAGAATAGGTTTTATTTTGCTAGCTTAGCCACCCAATAATTTGGGGTTCCTGAGTAAACCACTGTTCTATATTATTATTCAGTTTCCTTATGTGTGGGAAACAATATTAGACCAATAGCCTTTACAGGTTATTTAAGTCTAAAGGAAATAATATTGTAAAAATACTTGCAAAAAAATCACTAAACCAATTCCAACAGTTAATTTCTCTCTTAGATGTATGGCTTGGCTGACACCCTGGGACCTGTCTGGATTTTCTCCTTTTATCTCCCACCTCCCTCCTTTCTTTTCTTTTTCCTCCCTCCTCTGTACCCAGAGACTGTGTCACTGCCCTGCCCTGTTTCTCCCAGAGAACCAATCAATGTCAGTCCACTGATCTGAGAAACCAAACTCTTCACAACTTTTAATATTTGAAATGTGGTTTGCTTTGCCTTGTGGAGCTGTAAATATAGACAAGGAAAAATATTTATCATTGCTTTTAAATTGTACTTTTATAAATTTAAAAGCATTTTTGTGTGTCCAAAATTTCTGTTGAAGTGAAGCAGTGTAACGCAAAATCAGGGCCAGCCTTTTGATGATCTGAGATGAGCAAGGCCAAGCATGTGTGAAGCAAGCTCTGAAGCAGCAAGCTACCAGGCACTGTGAGCCTGAGGATCTGGCCCGCACAGCCCTGCCATCGAAGCACACTGGAGGGTATGTCAGGAAGAATGTTCCAGACAGCTCCGACCACACAGAAAGACTCCTCATAAATTACATACACACATGTGCACACACACAGGAACTCACTAACTGGTGGACAGGTAAGTCTAACACTCTATCTGAAATTACACTGAATCTAGGCAGAAACCCTGGTTTGTGCTTCCACTCCTGAACTGTTTTTAATGTGATTGGAACTTATCTTCTCACCTGACACCAAAATTGAAGTTTCAAAACAGAAGTAAAAATAAATTCAACTGGTGTTAAGCTATTAGCTTTCTCGGTGACCTGTATTTATCAGACAATTTGATCATCCTCTGAGACAGCTTCAAGTAATTTCATTCCACAAAGCCTGACCACACTCTCATTGATGTTCTCAGTTGGTGTGGTCTGATTTGATTGAAGCCCCTGCAACCTCCGTCCACCCCCGACTCCACTTCACCACCCTGGGCAAGGCTAGGAGGAATGGGGCATGCAGGTGAGCTGGGCGGGGCGCGCAGGTGAGCTGGGCTCTCTGTGAGAGTCAGGTGCAGGCGCTAAGTCAGGTCAGTGTTTGCTGGGGTATTGTCAGCTGTGACTTGTCCACGCTCATAGCCATCTCTGTCTGTCTGCCTGTGTCTGACTCTCTCTCTCTCTCTCTCTCTCTCTCTCTCTCTCACACACACACACACATACACACACACTCTGGCTAGGCGAGCTGCTCATCAATACTCCTACTCACATCTGCCCCTGGCGTGCCAGGCTTGCCCGGTGCTCCTGGCTTCCCAGGTTCTCCAGCAGGACCCTGCACAGGGAGAGCAGGGACAGAAAACGAGGCACAGTTGAGACTCTGGTCCCGTGTGTCTGCAAACACATCTATCCAGCAGGGACAGGAAACGGGGCACAATTGAGAACTCTGGTCCCGTGTGTCTGCAAACACATCTATCCGAAGGTGGTGGGGCGCCGTGTGCCATCAACTCACCGGAAGGCCGGGTGGGCCCTTTGGGCCTCGGTCACCCTGGAGGCAGAAGGGAAAAAGTAAGGACATTTGTGAGTGTGACAGGCCAGACGTTTTGCTAACTCACCTTGCTACCTCACTTCAGATACGAGACCAGGATTGGGTGTGGAGCAGAATACGGAGGGACATAACCTTGGGATGGCAGGGCAGGGGTGAGGGTCTGTCTTCCCCCTGCAAATCCACAGGCTACAGGACCCAACCATGAACCTTCCAGCCCCTTCCACCCCTATCCTAGTGGGGAGTCAGGAAGGGGACACCTGGCTCCCTCTAAAAGCCCATCCAACCCAAACAAGTGAAATAAGAGCAGGACAGCACAGGACTGGGGCGCCGAGGGGAAACACACAGAACCTGGACAAGGAAACTTACATCCACGCCATCGATGCCAGGCACTCCAGGTGGCCCCGGGGGCCCAGGGGGGCCTTGCTCTCCGGGAGGACCTCTCTGGCAAAAACAAAACAAAACAGCACACAGAGTCAGCGAGGCCCCAAGCAGGGCCCAGGCCCTGCGCTCTGGGCACCCTGGATGTTTGAAAGCCAGCCCAACACATGCACTTTCAGGGTCACAGGGGTTGGGCGCTGCCGCATTCTGAATAGGGTGGGTCAGCACTGCCCGGGACACCCAGGAGGGTGGAGGAGGCCTCACAGGCCTTACCTCCTCAGGGCCCAGGGAGAAGAAGGAGGGGTGAGGAAGGGAGGGTCTGATGCCTGGTGTCCCTAAAAGGGAGTGGGCAGCACCAGACACCTTGATTTTAATTAGAAACTGCAGGGCAGAGATTTGGCAGGACTTGACAGGAGCTGAACGTAAATCTTTGGTCCTGTAGAATGGGGTGGGTGACTCTCCAGGCAAAGGCTGGGAGGGGTGGGGGCAGGGGCTCCTGGCCCAGGGCCAGCCTCTCTTCAGGTCTACCTGCCAGGGAGCTATGGCGGGTGGGTGGGGAGGGGATGCAGACTGCACCAGCTTCAGGCGCCTGGCCCCCAGCCCAGGCAGGCGCTGCCTTTGAAGGCACCCGAACCTGGCCTGGCGTCTGAAAAGCAGCCCTGCTTAGGGAATGAGCAGGGTTTTTTCTGCTTCTGAATTGGAGTGAACGGAGGGGGAAAGAAAAAGAAAGCTTCTTTCATGAGGAAAACTTTGTTTTTCTAAACTCCCAAGGCCGGCCGATTACAATGGGATCTTTGTAAGGGAGCTGGAGTCCTCTCTACTGGGCCTGCCCAACACCCTCACCTGCCCCCCACCCCTGCCCAGCCCCTGCCTGCCCAGCCCCCCTGCCCACTCCCCTGCCTGCCCCCCACCCCTGCCCAGCCCCTGCCTGCCCAGCCCCCTGCCCACTCCCCTGCCTGCCCCCCACCCCTGCCCAGCCCCTGCCTGCCCACCCTCCTGCCCACTCCCCTGCCTGCCCCCCACCCCTGCCCACCCCCCCTGCCCAACCCCTACCTGCTCCCCACCCCACCCTCCTGCCACTCCTGTCTACCTGCCTGCCTGCCCCCACCCCTGCCCACCCCCTGCCTGCCTCCCACCCCCTGCCTATTCCTCACCTCACCCACCCCCTGCCCACTCTCTGCCCACCCCTGTCTGCCTGCTCCCCACCCCTGCCCACCCCTTGCCTAACCCCTACCTGCCCCTGACCCCTGCCCACCCCCACCCACCTCTGCCCACCTCTCCTAATCCCCATCCCACCCACCTGCTCCCCACCTCACCCACCCCCTGCCCACCCCCTGCTACCTCTGCCCACCCAGCCCACCTGCCAGCCAGTCCCCCCACCCCTGCCTACTCCCCTGCCTGCCCCCCACTCCTGCCCTCCCCCCTGCCTACCCCCTCGCCCTTAGGGAAGCTGCTGGGATTCCAATGGGATGGTTGGGATGGGGCTGCAGGGCTCAGGACAAGAGGCACGGATCTCCAGCCCAACCGCACTGACCAGGGGCCGATGAAGAATCACCTCAGTGCCTGGCCCGAAGGCCAGAAGAGGGCGAGGGCATGGCTGGTCCACGCCCCGGCGCTGCCTGCTCCCCGCAGAGGCATCTGTACACCTCCATCCCGCTCACCTTGTTCGTAGTCTGACTCGGACAGAGGGACAGGGAGACAAGGGTACAGAGGGACAGGGAGACAAGGGTACAGAGGGATGGGGGACAGTGCCACAGGGTGACAGAGGGATGGGGGACAGAGGGACAGAGGACAGAGGGACAGAGGGATAAAGGGACAGAGGGACGGGGGACAGAGGGATGGGGGACAGAGTGACAGGGGGACAGAGGGACAGAGGACAGAGGGACAGAGGAACAGGGGGACAAAGGGACAGAGGGACAGGGGACAGGGGGATGGGGGACAGAGGGACAGAGAGACAGGGGAACAGAGGGATGGGGACAGAGCAACAGGGGGACAGAGGACAAAGGGACAGAGGAACAGGGGGACAAAGGGGCAGAGGGACAGGGAGACAGAGAGATGGGGGACAGGGGGACAGAGGAACAGGGGACAGAGGGACAGAAGACAAGGGACAGGGGAATGGGGGACAGAGGTGACAGGGGGACAGAGGTGACAGGGGGACAGAGGACAGTTGGACAGGACAAGGGGACACAAGGACAAGGGGACAGGGGCACAGAAGGATGGGGGACAGGGGACAGAGGGACAGAAGGGACAGAGGGACAGGAGGATGGGGGAGAAGGACAGGGGGACAGAAGGACAGGGGGACAGAAGGACAGGGGAACAGGGGGACAGGAGGACAGGAGGACAGAGAGACAGAGGGGATGGGGGCAGAAGGACAGGGGGATGGGGACAGAGGGACAGGGGGTCATGGGGACAGTAGGACAGGGGGATGGGAGAGAGGGACAGAGGGACAGGGGGATAGAGAGACAGGGGGATGGGGGACAGGGGAACAGGGGGATGGGGGACAGAGGGACAGGGGGACAGAAGGACAGGGGGACAGGGGGACGAGACAGAGGGACAGGGGAACTGGGGGACCCAACTTACTTGCGCCCCACACAGGCAGAGCGCGGACAGCAGCAGCCCCAGCGCCCCGCGCGCCCCCGCGGGCCGGGCCATGCCGCCCCCGCTGCCCGCCCGGACCCCACCTGGACCCCCTGCCCGGCTCGCTCTGCGCAGGCTGGCCCGGGTCTGAGCGCCGGCTCTGGCGCCGGCTATGAAGGTCCTGGGATTGGAGGGGCGAGGGGGCGGGGGGACGGGGAAGGAGGGACGGCGCCTTAGCCCTTCCCCGCCCGGGCGGGCTCTCCACCCACCCCGACCCCGCTGAGAGACTGGGGGCGGGGATGGGGACCCCACCAAGGACCGACACAACCCGTGCTCCACCTGCCAGGATGTGGATCCGAACGGAGCAAGGGCTTCGGAGAGCCGGGACGGGCAGGGGGAGGCGGGGAGCGGAGGGGAATGGAGGGGAGGGTGGGAAGCGGAGGGGAGCCGAAGGGAGGGGAGCCGAGGGGAGGGGAGGGCAGGGGAGCGGAGGGGAGGGCAGGGTTGCAAAGGGGAGCGGAGGGGAGGGCAAGGGAGGAGAGGGGAGGGCAGGGGAGCGGAAGGGAGGGCACAGGAGCGGAGGGGCGGGGGAGGGCGGGGCGGGGCCGGGCGGACTCTCCAACCCAGGCACACACCGCGGTTCTGTCCTGCAGCTCGTGGCAGGTCTCCCTCTGGGGGCGCCGGGGGTCGCAGTGTATCAGCATCCACTGTAGCTCGAACTGGAAGAAGAGAGCGGTCTGTTAGGCCCCGTGAGAAGGCGACGGCCACTGAAGACGTCCAGGGAGACATCAGGTGGGGCTCCCCCGAAGGAAAACCGGGGCGAATAGCCGGAGTTCCGCGGGCAAAGCTATCAAAATGAGGCCCCGCCCACCCCGCGGCTCCGCCCACCCCGCGGCTCCGCCCACCCCGCGGCTCCGCCCACCCCGCGGCTCCGCCCACCCCGCGGCTCCGCCCACCCCGCGGCTCCGCCCACCCCGCGGCTCCGCCCACCCCGCGGCTCCGCCCACCCCGCGGCTCCGCCCACCCCGCGGCTCCGCCCACCCCGCGGCTCCGCCCACCCCGCGGCTCCGCCTGTGAACGAGCTACTGGAGAGGCTGGGGTCTGGGCTGGCTGTTTGAAGTAGCCAGCTCTGATCTCCATTCAGAAAAAAAGCCAGAAGGGAAGTGTGGCTCAACGGGTAGAGTGCCAGGCTTGAGCAGAAAAAGCCAAGGAAATGCACACAGCAGGCCCTAAATCCCAACATTGGCACCAAAAAAGTAATAAAGCAAGCAAGCAAGCATCTACCAAGCGGCCTGAAGGGGCTAAAGGGAAGAGGCGTCCCAGGGGAGGAAAGAGTTAAAATGGTTGGGTTTTGCAGATCGTATTATTGTTAGACACAAATTTTAAATGTGTCCTGATACCTTCTTCCAGTTTTAGTAGTGTGTATGTGTGTGTGTGTGTGTGTGTGTGTGTGTGCGCGCGTGTGTGTGTGTGTGTGTGTGCAACGGGAAAGAAACAGAGCAAGGGAAGAATTGCTGAGTCTACATCTAAGTAAGAGCCTCAATGACAAGGAGAAAGAAGAAAAGGAAGAAACTTGGAGACATACTCAAACATGAGGCGTTTGTTTTTAGCAGTGTGGGGTTTGAACTCAGGACTTTTCCCCTGAAGTGCACCCCTGCCTCAGTGGCCTCCCTTCGTGGAGAAGTTTTGTTGCCAAGACAATTCACATCAGCCCCCCCAGATCTTGGCCAGCACATCTGCTGTCATCATGAAATGTCTGATTAGGAAATCTCATCTCCAATTGGAGCATGACTTCTCTCAACTAGTAGTGATTTTCATTGATTTTTTTCTACTGCTACAGAATATCCCCAGTTTAAGCTACAAGATGGATGACTGCAATTGAAGACAACAAAGGTGATGTCTTCCTTTCTACCAGTAAGAGCAGGACAGGTTTCTCTCCACCATGAGGCAAACAGGAGGCAGTGCCCTCACTCTCCTCCATTGCCAGTCCTTCCCTCACAGTGCTGGCTGGCCTCGACTTTTCCTCTTGCTCCATTATTGTTTGGTTCTCCCAACCCCACCAAACCTTGGCTCAGCTTTTTTGCTCAGGACTAGTGCTCTACTGCTTGAGTCACACCTCCAACCTGTCACTTTGGTTAACTGGAGAGAGTTCTGAGGATCTGTGTGCTTTGAACAGCTAGGGTAGCTGAACCTACAGGCATGAGCCACTGGCGCCTGTCAAGAGAAACTAATTTTAAGACAGAACTTACCTATAAATCCTCTGCTCCGTGGTGGGAATGGCTGAGTCGGGAGATTCAGATATGCTGCTCAAAAAGCTACACAGCTGCCGGGCATCAGTAGTTCATGCCTGTAATCCTAGCTACTCAGGAGGCTGAGATATGAGGATCGCAGTTCAAAGCCAGCCCAAGCAGGAAAGTCCATGAGACTCTTGTCTCCAATAAACCACCAGAAAACCAGAAGTAGAGCTGGGCTCAAGTAATAAAGCATTAGCCTTGAGCTGAATAGCTGAGGGGCAGTGCCCAGGCCCAGAGTTCAAACTCTGCAGCCAAAAAAAAAAAAAAGCAAGCTACTCAGCTTCTTACAGTAAGAAGCTTTGGCCAAGCTGGGCGCCAGTGGCTCACGCCTGTAATCCTAGCTACTCAGGAGGGTGTGATCTGAGGATCGGGGTTCAAAGCCAGCCCAGGCAAGAAAGTCCGTGAGACTCTTATCTCCAATAAACCACTAGAAAACTGGACATGGCGCTGTGGCTCAAGTGGTAGAGCGCTTGCCTTGAGCTGAGGAGCTGAGGGACAGCACCCAGGCCCAGAGTTCAAGCCCCAGGACTGACCAAAAAAAAAAAAGAAGAAGCTTCAGCCAAACACTTTCTATGAGAGTAATTTGGTTTACTTGAGGGGGGGATTTTATTTGAGATTTTGTTTTTAATTGCAGAGCAATTTATAAGGAAGATAAAAATAGAATGGAATAATGTTTTCCTTACTGGCTACTAACTATGTCATCTGACAAAGCTCACAGATGGGTAAAGTGAGATCAAGAGATTAACTCTGGCCACAGATCTCATAGTAGAGCTGTGCTTCCAAAATTTCTGACACTACAACTGAGAACGTGTTTCTACAACCCTGCCTGATCTCCAAAAATACACAAGGTCTCCACAGTGAATCCTCCTTTCAAACTGGCAACCAAAGCATTTGGTGATTGAGTACTTTGATGAAAGATGAACAGAAAATAACTCCCAGCACCAGTGAATCAAGCCTGTAAACCCTACCTGTTTGGGAGGCTGAGACAGAGAGGGCCACAGTTTGAGCAGAAGAGTTCAAAAGCCCCTTTTCATCAGAATAGTTCAAAAGCCCCTTCTCAATCCATAGTTGAGAGTAAGAGACTGGGCCTAGGATCCCAGCAATGACAGGTATGCCAAAGACATACTTGAACAGGAAGCAGAAAAATTTTCCTAAAAGTAGTCAGCAAGAAACTGTGCTAGCTGCTGGGTTTCAGTGGCTCACGCCTGTCATCCTAGCTACTCAGGAGGCTGAGGTCTGAGAATTGTGATTTGAAGCCAGCCCGGGCAGGAAAGGCCATGAGACTCCTATCTCCAACTAACCACCAGAATACTAGAAGTGGGGTTTTAGCTCAATGTAGTGGAGTGCCAGCCTTGACCACAAAAGCTCTGGGACAGCACCCAGGCCCCCTGAGTTCAAGCCCCATGGCTGACCAAAAATATCTGCATTGGAAGCATGGCTCAACATCAAAGCACCAGCCTAGCAAGCATCATTGGCCCAGAGTACAAAATCTAGTACAATAAAAATATGAAATATATATGAATATAGAACCAGAAATAGAAATTAACATGTGCAAGCTTGTTTGTACTGCCTGCTAGAAAACTTCAGAGCTAGACTGAAACACTTCTGCAAGATTTCATACCTTCCCCTGTTTTCTATGCTTGTTGTAGAAATATATCCAGAAGCAAAATTACTAGTGTTCCTCTAAAAATTCATATTCAAGTATATAAAAGTAACACATAGCAAAGACAATTGTAGTTCTTTTTCCTCTTGCCTCAATGACTAGAATAGAATTTTGTCAGGATAGGTAGAGATGCTCAGGGGATGGGAAGGTGGTTCAGTGGTAGAGTGCTTGCCTAGTATGCATGAGGCCCTGGGTTCCATTCCTCAGCACCACATAAACAGAAAAATAAATAAAAATAAAATAAAAGGAAAAATAACTATTAAAAAGAGAGAGACATATTTACTCTCAAGGTAAAAAAAAATCACCCAGTTTTATTCACCAAGTCCTTGACATCTCTCAGCAGGCATGCATTGTGTGTGGGTGAGCTCAGCGTTCTGAAAATGATTCAGACCTGAATTGCTCTGAGAAGCATTAATTATATAGTTAAACAGAAAACCATATCTTTTATTTAGATATAGTTTGCTGAAGTTAATTTTGCAAAAGTGAAGTACTTCATCAAGCTGTTTTCTTCCAGAAATATGATCCTCTCTGTAAAAATTGGCACCCCTGTTTAAATATATAAAATGTCCCCTGTGGCACTAAATGATGGGAAGTGAGATGCAGTCAGGTAGACCTCCAGACCGAGGGCTCGGAAGCACACCTGGGCCCATAGACACCACTGGTGCACTAATGACCCATTGCACAAGACCTTTTGGCATGCAATATGAATTCCAATTTACATGCTAATTATGTTGAAGGAAGGGTGTCAGAGTGCTTTGGTTAAAGTCCCTTTCCTTACACAGCTAAAATGCTAATCTTTACGCATTTCTCATTTTCATCCCTGGAGTCATTTTTTTTCCTTGAATACCACTGACAAAAAAAGGTGACAAATAATTTAATTTGGCCAACATTTCTGAAGTTGCAATACAAGCCAAGGACTAAAGGAACATTCCAGAAAACAGATACTTGCTTGCTGGGTGCTGATGCCTCACACTTGTAATCCTAGCTACTCAGGAGGCTGAGATCTGAGGATCATGGTTTAAAGCCATGCCAAGTAGGAAAGACCATGGGACTCTTATCTCCAATTAACTACTGGAAGTGGAGCTGTGGCTCACGTAATAGTGAGCTAGCCTTGAGCAAAAAGGCTAGGGACAGTACCCCGGCCCTGAGTTCAAGCCCCAAGACTGGCACACACACACACACACACACACACACACACACACACACACACACACACACACACACACACCAGACACTCCTATCCACAATCAGTTCACAACTTTGTAAACAATTATAGGAAAAAGAAAACCTTTTATAAACTATTAAATAAAACATGATATATTCTAGCAAAATCCATCCTTTTCAACCTAAGATGTTTCTCCAATATCTGGAGGAAAACTGAGCAAGTAAGCATGAAAAACCTGATGTCTGTCCATATCTGACCTTTCCTATAGGATACCAACACTTAATTCCTGAAGTAACAACCTGGGTAGTACCCATCCGACAGCACACTTAAACAACTTTATCACCAACACTTTGTTTTTACATGACTAGTTCTGCATTGACTTGTACTCACTGGATTCGGCCTTAGGTACACTTGTACTCACTAGATTTGGTCTACTATCACATGGACTTGTACTCACTGGATTTTGTCTACTATCACATAGATCTGTACTCACTCGATTTGTCTACCATCACATGGACCTGTACTCACTGGATATGTCTACCATCACATGGATCTGTACTCAGTGGATTTGGTCTAACATCACATGGATCTGTACTCATTGGATTTGGTCTGTCATCACATGGATCTGAACACACTGGATTTGTCTACCATCACAGGATCTGTACTCACTAGATTTGTCTACCATCATATCGATCTGTACTCACTGGATTTGTCTACCATCACATGGATCTGTACTCACTGGATTTGATCTGTCTCATATGGATCTGTACTCACTGGATTTGATCTGTCATCACATGGACTTGTACTCACTGGATTTGGTCTCTCATCACATGGATCTGAACTCACTGGATTTGGTCTGACATCACATAGATCTGTACTCACTGGATTTGATCTATCATCACATGGATCAGTACTCACTGGATTTGATCTATCATCACATAGATCTGGATTCACTGGATTTGTCTGCCATCACATGGATCTGTACTCACTGGATTTGTCTGCCATCACATGGATCTGTACTCACTGGATTTGGTCTGTCATCACATGGACCTGTGCTCACTGGATTTGTCTGCCATGACATGGATCTGTACTCACTGGATTTGTCTACCATCACATGGATCTGTACTCACTGGATTTGTCTACCATGACATGGATCTGTACTCACTGGATTTGTCTACCATGACATGGATCTGTACTCACTGGATTTGTCTGCCATGACATGGACCTGTTCTCACTGGATTTGTCTACCATGACATGGATCTCTACTCACTAGATTTGTCTGCCATGACATGGATCTGTACTCACTGGATTTGTCTTCCATGACATGGATCTGTACTCACTGGATTTGTCTGCTATGACATGGATCTGTACTCACTGGATTTGTCTTCCATGACATGGATCTGTGCTCACTGGATTTGTCTACCATCACATGGACCTGTGCTCACTGGATTTGTCTACCATCACATGGACCTGTGCTCACTGGATTTGGTCTGCCATCACATGGTCTTGTACTTACTGGAACAGATTCCTGGGGGTGGTCTGCGAGTTTCCCCAGCACAGCAAAGCCATCCACATCCACCTGGCCTCTTGGTTTTATGGGTAATGATTCGATCCTGACACAGTCTACAAACAGAGTGGCACTGGTCCTTTCCACTCCAATCATGACCTTGTGCCACTGGGCATCAAACAAGGAAGGCAAGCCTGAAAAGCCTGCTGTCTGGAGGCTTCCGTCCAGTCCCTTGTATGAGAACACAACAGATTTTGTCTGACCATTGATCTTCACTCCAACTTGCTCCCTCCCCTCAGGGTCCTGGATCTGCCAGATATTCCAGTTCTTTCCAAGTGTGCTCCCATTCATCCGGAATGTTGTTAAAAAGGAGTATTCTTCAGGCAGCCCATGGGGATATAAATGCCTGCGTAAAATGTGAAAGTAGTCAATGTGAGTCTTGTCCTGTATTCATATATATTTACCATCTTTTATGCTTTTTTAGATTCTAGACTTGAGAAAGGAAAGTATAGAAAACTATGCATTATTTGTGCTTGCCTGTTCATAGGACCTGCCCAGAAATTAAATCATTCAATGTTCCTTAATGCTCTATCTTAAAATACACATTTTAAAAACCCTCTCTTTCCCAACTGCCATAAAACCCAAACAATATTACTATTTATGCTACCCAAAGAGCTACTGTTCAGCAATTTTCGCCAGCCAAAAACAACATTCTTGCAAAGCTCTTGGCAGTATTTCTTTCACAATGAGCAAAGAAATCACTTGGGGTCCATATTAGCCCCACTGGTTGAAACTTTTTAGTTAAAGTAGCTTTTAATGTTTTTAATTGTGTGTAACATATTAAGATTATTTTCCTTTCACCTGATATTCTCCCCCACAATTATATTCTCATCCTACCTAAGCATTTGAGTTATCATTTGCAACTGTGCAGACTTTACTCACAATCTTCTTAAGGCTGGGAATGTTCAGCTTTCCCAGGGAAGTCTGAGCTTCACCTAGCCACTGTCTACTAGTCACCAGGTGTTTGACCAGTGGAAGATGGCAAGTTCTTATCTGCTCCAGCACACTTGCACTTTACGCCACTGACCAACACTGTGTCATTGCTGCTTCCCTTACTTTGACTGCTTATTACATTTATTTATTTGTTATTTAAGAACACTGAACTTTGAAACTCAGAAATGTAAAAATGCAAGGACTGAAATTATAACTTTTTACCTTCCTTCCTCTAAGCTTAGAAAAATTCCTAAACAAAGAAGATATGGTTGGTAAACTAGGTATCAATGAATTGTTTGCTAGACAATAAAATTCAGCATTTCTGTAAACAATAGTGAGCTAAGACTCAGCGTTCCAAATAATCTTCCTTCAAGTCAAACTCTTCTTCTATAGCTCCCTTCTTTTGAAGACCTAGGAATAACTATCTCAGTGAATGGTGATTTTTATTTTATTTTATTATTGGTGCTGGTCTTGGGGTTTGAACTCAAGCATGGATGTGGTCCCTGAGCTTTCATGTTCAAGGCTGGAGTACTGCCACATGAGCCACAGCTCCACTTTGACTTCTTTCTAGTTAATTGGAGACAAGAGTTCCTCGACTTTCTTGCCCAGGCTGGCTTCAAACCACAATCTTCAGATCTCAGCCTCCTGAGTAGCTAGAGTCACAGGTATGAGTCAACAGCAACCAGCTACACACTTTTCCTCTCCTTCCCTCACCCTCTTCTCTCTCTCTCTCTCTGTCTCTCTCTCTCCCTCCCTCCCCCTCTCTCTCTGGTAAGTTAGTTATTATTGAGGCATGAGGTTTTTGTAAATAAAAAATAAATATGAACGTTTTTTCATCTCTTCCTCAAGTATTATTTTATAGTCTTAAAACATTGATGTATGTTACCTACTTAGTTGTTTATGGGTATAGTGAGAAAAGCTTTAGAATTAAATTCATTCATTAAAACAATATATTTGTTTTGACTCAGAAAGTCATAGTAACATGCTCAAGTGTCTCTTGAGCGAAGACATCCTAAAGTTAAGTTCATTGAAGCTTTCCTTCCCAGCAAAGAGTTGATGTTCGAAGGAAGGCATCTTTCAAATTATCTTTGACTTGGTATATGTCAACTAAAAATAATGGAAAGTGGAATGAGTTTCTAAAGGACTAGTTCATTCATAATATATTGTTAAACAAAAGGTATCTATGTGTATCTTCCTCTGCACACATATTAAAATAATATATATATATACAAAATAGTCATATATATGACTATTAGGATGTTATATATGTACACACACACACACAGATATATATATATATATATATATATATATATATACATATATATATATCAGGGTAATCATCTTTCAAACTAGACTAGAAAAGAAAAGAAAATACATTTTATTGCCTATATTAATAAAATCTATGTGCATTTCTATAGACCTAAAACTATTTAAAAGTCTCACAAATCTCATTTGTAGAAATGTTAACCCACTGTCTTTTTCAATTCTATTCTTATAAAAATGTTCTTCAGATCTACCAGTAAGCCAAATAGTATATATGATTTAAAAGGAGCTGAGTCTATAAATTATCTATGATATTACAATTTTCAAGAGTACCTAATTTTCTTATTTATCTTTTTTATGCCTGTGCTGGGGTTAGAACTCACTTCCTGTGTCTCACAGACTTTCCTACCCCATCTGGCTTTGAACCTTGATCTTCAGATCTCAACTTACTGAGTAGCAAGGGTTACAGGCTTGAGTCTCTGGTGCCTAGCCTTATTCATCTTTTAAAGGAAGATTAATTCATTTTTGAAATGAATTAAATGTATAATTATAATATTCACATCTGTATAATAAAGTATGTTCATAACAGGAAAATTAAGTTACTGAAATACTTTTCTAACAATGGTACAACTCAACATTTACCCAGATACTCATGGACCTCAATTAAATATCATTTAAAGAGCTTGAAGCTTAGTTTCAGAAAAGCATGCCAATGAAGTGGAAGATTTATTCCCCCCCACACACACCCTTAGTATTAACACTAACATCATTTCAGTCTTCTTGTCTGGAGCCTGCCAGGAGCAGAGCCCTGGACACGCGCTTCTGTTTCAGCACTGGGGCACTGAACAGCGCCCTTGTGTGCTTCCTAACCACACTGCGGCTCCTGGGGAAAGCATGCCTCAATGTGGCACTTTCCACACAGGGCCCTTTCAGCCCAAACCAGACAAATTATGTTTAAAAGAAACAGAAAGCAAGGAAAGAAGAACATGTCCTGAATCAATGAATAACAGTCTTGGTGATGGGCTTTTTTTTTTTCCTGCAATGAAAAGTCTACACTGAGAACATGAAGAGCAATACTCAAGCATTACACAATGATAAATGAGCAAATTCCTTCATCATTAAACAGAACCGTGATCCAAGAAGTGTAAATCTAGCATTACCTAACTGCCCCAAACTTAAAACACATTTGAGGAAGGTAATTAGACAAGCTATTCCTTTATATAATACCTGGTTGGGACCCTAAAGTCTACATTATTTCCCAGCTTGTAGGCCACTTGTAAGGCCGTCGACCCCACCACCCTCTGGACAGCTCTTCTGGAAGCCGCTTTGTCCACCTGGAACTGAGAAATCAGATCAAATCCTACAGAAAGGGAACACAAAACGAAAGTCAGAAATGATACCGGCCTTATTCCTTGCCCCAACTTTCCCAAACCAAAGAACACAGCCAGTCTGGAAGGAAACCATTTCCAAAAAGATAGGTTGCTACTTGCCTGGCAAGTCATCTTGGCCAACCCTAATCTTGGGACAGAGTTCATTCTCTCCATTGGAGATTGAGTTGATTGGGAATCCTGAAAAGAGATGGCGTATCAGCCTCCCTCAGCCACTACTGTTGAGCAGGCGAACAGTAACAACAGCAGCTACTTGTAAGCACTCTGATTCTGCATCTCAAGATCATAACTCTTTCATCTTCAACGCGGACTGGGGCATGCAAGAGCAAGGTCGCTTATTAGTCTGTTCTGAGAGATGTTCCTTTGAGGGCAGGGTTAGAAATTTGTTCCTTTTGGAGCCACAGCCTCCATGTCCTGAATGGCCTGGGAGCACAGGCTTGTTTGGAAATTTTCTGGTGGTTTGGGTTGGAAAATATGCCTTAAATATCATGTTTGGAATTTCAACGAGAGTGTTGTTAGCTTCAGGCCAGTTCAATGAGATTTTGGAAAATGTCAAATCGAGTGAAGCCTGAAGGTGTGGCAGAGTCCTGATGTTGGATAATCATGCATAAATACACAAAGTATATTTAATTCAGTATATTTGTTTCGAGTGGATTATTGCTAATGCCCTGGAAGTGGGAACAGTAGCAAGAAGGAAATAATCATGAGTGGGCTAAGCCTAGAACTCAACAAGGCAGCTCTGTGTCTTGAGCTTCAGAGTAAGAGAGTTTTTTTTTCTCATCAGCATCAAAAAGTGCTTGTAACATCCAACCTGAAGCCTTAATGAGATCCACCTGATGCCAGAAATGCTCTTTCCAGGCAGAGTTTGACCTAGCAGTCAGAGTACACCAAATCTCTTCTTCCCACCCCACCTCTCCCCAACCCGTCTACCTCCCCCTCCTCATCCACCCAGGCATGCATCCTCTCCACCTGCTAGTCCCTGCTGGGCCAGGTGCTGCCTTGGTTGCCCTGTGACCACCGTCAGGACTTCCTTTTCCACGCTCAGCCACCAGCATGTCTCTGTGGCCCAACGCATGAGTGCGAGTGGAGGAAAGGTAGGAAGGACCAGGGGCACGCAGCCTTCCCGCTGCACCCCTGCTTCACCACAGCTCCAGTTGTTTCTGGTGATAAGTGAGTTTTCAAAACACAGAAACTGTGTCTCTTACTTGGGCGGCGCTTGGAAGCTGCCGAGGCCCCAGGTCCCAGGAAGCTGCATACCAAGAAGAAAACTGGAATTTTCCTGAAGAAGATGGAGAAAAATCATTGCAGCAAAATCCCTTGAGAAGACCACTTCCCCATGTGTGTGCCTGGTTAGCTCATTCACGCCGGTGACGAGAGCCCAGGGCAGAGCTCTTCATTTGCACTCAGAGATTGGTGAATGAGACCTGGCTGTGGCTCCTGTAGCCTCTGTTGCTACAGTATCCCACTCGCTGGCTGTTTCTGTGTTGTCTTTTATCTTTGATTTTCTGTCTCGCTCATGGTGGCCTCTCCTCTCTCGTTTCTGACTCTCATTTTCTACCTGGAACGTGCTTGCTCTCCTGCCTTACTCCCATCCTTCTTCATTTCTCCCTCTCTCCTCCTCTCACTGTAACCGCTCTGTAGAAACAGACCTTGATTCTAAGAGACCCTAACTCAGGCCCCAAGCAAGTCTCCCAAGTCACAGTCTTACCAGCAGCTCCTCATTTTCGTGGGTTTTCTTTGGTGGCCCACAGTCCCTGCAAGGAAGGAGCTGGAGGGGAGTCAGTACACATCCAAGTTCCTCTTGCCGTCTCTTCTGGACACCGAGTTCTGGCCCCGACCTCCGTTGCTCCTCCTTGTGAGGTCTAAAAGCAAAGGGAGAAACCTGGGACTTCAGAGACACCTCACAGTGGAATGGAGAAGGGGTGGGACAGGCAGGGTGTGCCCAGGCCTGGCCCCAGGCGGGGCCTCCAACTGAGGAGGCCACAGGGAGGGATTGACAGCAGGGAGGTTTGCTGAAAAAGAAAAAGTAAAATCAGGATGTGGGGAAACTCACTAGAAGTATTCAGGCAAGCTGCTATAGGAAAACAGTGGACGCTTTCACATGTGCTATAGGAAGACAGTGGCTGCTTTCAGGTCTGTTATAGGAAGACTGTGGTTGCTTTCAGATCTGCTATAGGAAGACTGTGGTTGCTTTCAGATCTGCTATGGGAAGACAGTGGCTGCCTTCAGATCTGCTATAGGAAGACAGTGGACGTTTTCAGATCTCCTATAGGAAGACAGTGGACGCTTTCAGATCTGCTATAGGAAGACAGTGGACATTTTCAGATCTGCTATAGGAAGACAGTGGATGCTTTCAGATCTGCTATAGGAAGACAGTGGACGTTTTCAGATCTGCTATAGGAAGACAGTGGATGCTTTCAGATCTGCTATAGGAAGTCAGTGGCTGCCTTCAGATCTGCCATAGGAAGACAGTGGCTGTTTTCAGCGGCCTGAGACACCCACCGAGCTACTAGAGAAGGCAGCAGTGGAAGAACCCACAAGGGCTTCGCTGCCCTCCGTCCAGGCCTAAAGCCCCATTTATTCCAACTTTGCTAGCCATAGACCTAAGATAAATTAGCTAAACTGTTACTCAACTGCCCTAACTATAAGGGGATGTGGGGAGGTGGGGAGGGAAGGGATGGTAGGAAACAAACAAAGGAGGGGGTAACAATGTTTGACGAGAAATGGACTCATTACCTTACTCATGTAGCTGTAACCCCTCTGTACAGCATCTTTATAATAAAATAAAATTTAAAAAATAAATAAATGAGATGCAAGTACTGACATACAAACAATAATTTTGGATTGGGTGGGGGGTGGGGGGAGGATGGGAAGGGATGGGAAGGGGAAACAAGGGAGGAGGCTACAATGCTTGATAAGAAATGTACTCATCATCTTGCCCATGTAACTGTAACCCCACTGTACAGTATTTTCACAATAAAAATAAAATAAAATAAATAAAAATAAAATAAAATAAAAAAACAATAATTTTGGTGGCTTATGACTGTAATCGCAGCTACTCTGGAGTCTGAGTTCTGACGATTGAGGCTCTAGGGGAGCTCAAGCAAGTAAGTCCGTGAGACTCTTCTTTCCAGTTAACCAGCAAAAAGTCTAAAATAGAGCTATAGCTCAAGTGCTAGACTGCTGCCATTGAGTGGAAAAAACTAAGGGACAGTGCACTTAGTTCAAGTCCTAGTACCAGCGCGTGCGCACACACACACACACACACACACACACACACACACACACACCACATACACTTACCACAGACACCTACCACACCCACACTACACGCAGCTACCAAACCCACACATACACACACCACACATAAATTATTTTGTGAACTAGATGAGATTAGTGAAAAGCAAGGGGTGTAATACTGAGCTAGTTTAATCATCTAACATTGCATTCTGTGTGTCCTTCTGTTGCTTGAGCCTAACAGTTTTTTCCTTCTACCAACCCCACTATAAGGTAAGACTGAAATCACCCTTACTCACTGGAGGACAAAATAATTGCCAATATGGAGTGATTTGCTCAACACTCTATGGCTATGAATCTTATGCACTCTCTCAAATCTGTGGCTGGAAACCTTGATAAAATGAGACATCACATCTCGAGTTGTTTCTTCTTAATCTTTGCAATTGTGGGGGCTTTAAAGTTGTATCCCGCAAACAAATTGGGAGTGTGTTTCTGGAGCCCAGAGCTGGAGAGAGATGGTCCATCCACACCACTGTGACCCGTTCTAAGGCTGATGGCTGGGGAGAAGGCAGACAAGCCTGCACAAGCCATGAAGACTGCCCAACTTTCGGTCCAACTTGGGAAACCTGGATGTTGAATCTGTAAAGAGGGATTCATAAGACCCAAACTTGTCATTGTTGTAACAAGTCACAATGTCAATATTTTTAAAGTCATTCTACTTCCTTGAATTTCCTTTAGTTTTTTTTAACTGATTCCATTTAAGTTTTTTTTTGGGGGGGGAGTCCGTCATGGGGCTTGAACTCTGGGCTTGGGTGCTCGCTTTCTGTGCTCTTCAGCTCAAGGCAAGCGCTATATCGCTTGAGCCACAGCACCACTTTTGGTTTTCTAGTGGTTTATTGGAGATAAGAGTCTCACAGATTTTCCTGCCCGGGCTGGATTTGAACCTCGATCCTCAGATCTCAGCCCCTTGAGTAGCTAGGATTACAGGCATGAGCCCGGCTTAATTATGTATTTTATTTTATGTTAAACTAAAAGTTTCTGCCAAGCAGAATTAGAAAGTTACCAAACTAGAAAGATAGACAACAGACTAGGAGAAGATATTTACCAGCAATACATCAGACAAAGGCCTCATATCCAAAATATACAAAGTGGTCAAGAAACTAACCCCTCCCAAAGCTAATAAATCAATCACTAAATGGGCAAAGGAGCTAAGGAGATACGTCTGCAGATGAGAGAAAGCATGTGCTGTTTGTCTTTTTGAGCTTGGTTTACCTCACTTAACATGATTTGTTCTAGGTCAATCCATTTCCCTGCAGATGACATACTGTTATTCTTTCTAATGGTGGTATAAAATTCCACTATGTCTGGGTATCATATCTTTTGGATCCACTCATCTATGTAGGGTATCTGGGCTGTTTCCAAATCCTTAGCTATTGTGAATAGTACAGCAGTGAACATGGATGTGCAAGTGTTTTTATGGTATCTTGAGTCATGATGATCTAGGTACATGCCCAGGAGTAGTATGGCTGGGTTGCAGGGAAAGTGTATATTTAATTTTTTTAGGAGGCTCCAGACTGCTGTCCAGAGTGGCTGTAAAGCTTCCAATCCCACCACCAGTGCAATTGGGTTCTATTTCCCCACATCCTCTCTAACATTTGTTGTTCAAATTCACAATGTTGGCCAATCTAACTGGTGTGAGATGGAATCTCAGAGCTGTTTTGATTTGCATTTACTTATGGTCAGGGTATAGAGTATGTTTCTTTGCCATTCTTGCCTCTTCTCACAGAGAGACAAGGCTTCCTCTGCCTCCCTGTGGCTTTCCACAAGGTCCTATTATTCTGCTCCATCAGACTCCTCTCTCCTCAGGCACCTCTTCTGGCTCAGGACAGAAATGCAAATGCCCAGAGCCGCAATGTTTATCAAGCCAGTCAGGGTTTACCCCAATAAACTGGAGGGGCCTCTTGCAGCCTGACATCTCACCAGCTAAGCCAGCTCCTCATCCTCCTGGAAAGAGACATTTCCCAGAGGCTTTCCATGGAAGTTCTTTATTTGCAGTTTAATATCTTACTCTGGTAAGAAAAAAAGAGAAACAATTTTCTGTATAACAAAGTGTTTAGGAAATCCCTTCAAGTATTTAGAAAATCTTGCCTCTGCAGTTGCCTCTCCACAAACCTCTTTTTTTTTGTTTGTTTTTGGTTTTTTTCTTGGCCCAGTAGTGGGGCCTGAACTCTGGGCCTGGGCACGTTCCCTCAGCTCTTCAGCTCAAGGCTAGTACCACTTGAGTCACAGCGCCACTTCCGGTTTTTTTCTTTTTGCTTATGTGGGGCTGAGGAATTGAACCCAGGGCCTCAGGCATGCAAGGCAAGCGCTCTACCACTGAACCACCTTCCCAGCCCCTCCGCAAACCTCTTTCAGGAATCCCCCTCCTTGTGAGGCATAAGTTGTGAGGTCTGCAAGTTGAGGCTACTCCAGGGAATGCGTTAGTGATGGCCCCTCAGCTCAGGAGATGAGCCCGGCGTGGCGGCTCACGTTTGCAGTCCCATCTGGGTGAGCACCACTCAGAAATGCCAGACCAAGGGAGGGAAGGGATGCCGTCCAACAAGGAACACACTCGTGACCTGACTCATGAAACGGTAACCTTCTGAACTGCACCTTCATAATAACAATGAAATCACATGTTAAAAATGGCAGGCCCTCTCCAAAAAGCAGTGCAAATGCCAAAAGGGTGGAGGGAGTGACACAAGTGATAGAGACCAGCTTAGCCAGTACAAGCACCGAGGTCAACCCCAGGTACAAAACCAGGAAGAGAAGGAAGGAAGGGAGGGAGGGAGGGAGGGAGGGAGGGAGGGAGGAAGGGAGGAAGGGAGGAAGGAAGGAAGGAAGGAAGGAAGGAAGGAAGGAAGGAAGGGAGAAAGGAAGGGAGGAAGGGAGGAAGGGAAGAAGGGAGGAAGGAAGGGAGAAAGGAAGGAAGGAAGGGAAGAAGGAAGGGAGGAAGGGAGGAAGGAAGGGAGGAAGGGAGGAAGGAAGGAAGGAAGGAAGAATTCTTAGCCAGTATAAGCACCGAGTTCAACCCCAGGTACAAAACCAGGAAGAGAAGGAAGGAAGGGAGGAAGGAAGGAAGAAAGGAAGGAAGGAAGAAAGGAAGGAAGGAAGGAAAGAAGGAAGGAAGGGAGGGAGGGAAGGAGGGAGGGAGGGAGGGAGGGAGGGAAGAAGAAAGGAAGGAAGAATTCTTAGCCAGTACAAGCACCGAGGTCAACCCCAGGTACAAAACCAGGAAGAGAAGGAAGGAAGGGAGGAAGGAAGGGAGGAAGGAAGGGAGGGAGGAAGGAAGAAAGGAAGGGAGAAAGGAAGGAAGGAAGGAAGGAAGGAAGAATTCTTAGCCAGTATAAGCACCGAGTTCAACCCCAGGTACAAAACCAGGAAGAGAAGGAAGGAAGGAAGGAAGGGAGGATAGAAGGAAGGAAGGAAGGAAGGAAGGAAGGAAG